GAGATTTCAGCTGTTCAGGTGCAGCGACTCGCTCGGAAATCGTACGATGACCAATCTGCGCTGCTTGACAGGTTAGAGATGCCGTTGAATCACATTCCCGTTGCTTTGAACGAATTGGCAAAGCTAGGATGTTGGGGGAGGCATGATGGGAACATCAACAAAGAGCTGATTGCTTGGTTGGGCCATCCCGTTCTCCCTCAGATAGTGCAAGTCCGTCTCAACGTGTTGGTCGAGAAGCCCAGGGGAACCCAGAAAACCATTCGAAGTGTGGATATGCCGTTCTTACTTCCTCATTTGATGTTCTCGCACTTTTACAATGCTGACAAATCAGAATTCTGCAACAAGTACTTGGGGCTGCCACCCGATGGGAAATCCCATTCTGATAAGCTGGAAGAGTTTTGGCGTTGTGTTATAGAACGGAAGGATCCCAGGATTATGAACCATCCGATGGCTCGGGTGCCAAACTGGCAGAGATGGGCTATCCCTATCTGCTTGCACGGGGATGCAGTCCCTGTCGTGAGGGTTGGGAAACCTGGCAGCAAAAGTTTAGATTGCATCAGTTTCCAGAGCTTGGTGACGCACGGTAAAACGCAGGCTGTGAAGTTACTTGCTTTCTCGATTTTCGAAGCAAACAAGTTCAAGACTTGCGCAGGAATCGTCGGTACCATGGATACTGTTTGGAAGGTGTTGCTGTGGAGCGTTGGCGCGCTATTCGAAGGTAGATTCCCCGCGACAGACTGGCATAATCGCGAGTACGCGGCTGGTTCCAGCGAGCACTTGTTGGTTGGCCAGCGCTTGTGCTCAGAAGCTGAGCCGTACTTCTGCGTTCTGTGGTCCATCACTGGTGATTTAGACTGGTACACGAAGTGCCTGGGGCTGATCAACTATAACGCAGACGACCCTTGTTGGTATTGCCCTTGTGATAAGCGGAAGCCACGAAATATGTGGCCGACGAATTTCACGAAACGGTCCCAATGGAAGAACATGTTGCGAACGAAGCTTGACTGGATTGCAGACGGGGGCTCCAGACACCCTTTGTTCACCACGTTTGACTACATTTCAATGTTGAACGTGGAAATGGACGAACTCCACGTATTGTATTTGGGAGTTTCGCAATACTTTCTCGGATCGGTGCTTTGGATATTGTGTTTCACCATTTTCTCTGATCGCACCCCAGAGGAAGCCATCGACGTCGTTTGGCGTGAGATTTTGGACCAATACCAAAAACAGAACACTCCAGTACAATATACTGCGATGTCGCTCTCGTTTTTTTATTCCTTCTACGAAAAGGGACGAAACGTACCCTCGCTTGAAAGGCAGAGGCGCCGAGGTCAAGGGCCTCGTGGAGCCGTTGAAGGAAGTGTGGGCGAAATTCAAGGGGCCATCTGCCCATGACGGCAGGGTCGCATCAGCGTTAGGGAAGCTGGCCGACATGCAATCGATTTTAGACGACTTCAAGTGCGAGATGTTTTTGCCGACTGAAATTTCAGACGCGTTCTTGGCGCGAACTGAAGAATTCTTAGCTGAATACTCATACCTGGGCGTCCAGGCTGACATACGCAATGAAACGTTGTTCTCAGCTGTTCCAAAGTTGCATTATATGTGGCATTTCGCACACAGGTCAAGGTATATCAACCCCAGGCGCGTTGCGACCTTCATCGGGGAAGACTTTGTAAAACTGTGCAAAGGCATTGCTGCCCGATCAACCGCAGGCACACAATTGCATAAAGTTCCTGGTAAGATGATGGACAAGCACCGTTGGGGCGTGTATTTTGAATCTTTCTCTACGTGAGAAGTGGCATGGTAAAACATCATCATCATAGTCATCATCGTCACCATCATCATCATCAGCATCATCATCCAGAGGGCCCCGATCCCTGGGCGTGGCGGCGTCGTGGACCCCAAGCCCTCGGGGCGGCGCGGTGCGTGAAGATAGCCGCGCTGGGTCCCGTGTGGCCGTGCTCCCGTTGGTGCAAGCACTGGTTGGGGGGGGCCGCACCTGGCGGTGTTGAGGTCAACCGCTTTTAGGGCCGTCCCCAGCCTCTTCCTCTCCTCCTCCTCCTCCTCCTCCTCCTCCTCCTCCTCGTCTTCCTCCTCCTCCTCCTCCTCCTCCTCCTCCTCCTCCTCCTCCTCCTTCTCATCCTCCTCCTCCACCTCCTCCTCCGTCTCCTCCTCCTCCGCCTCCTCCTCCTCCTCCTCCTGCTCCTCCTGCTGCTCCTCCTCCTCCTAGACAATGGTAGTTGGCCTTTGGGCCCCCCCCCCTCGTCGCGAGGGATGCCCTTCGGGGGCCCCCTCGCCTACGGGGGCCCGTCGTCGTCGTCGTCGGATGAGGAGGTGGAGGAGGGGGAAGGGGAGGAGGAGGAGGAGGAGGGAGGAGGATGGGGGGGGGGAGGAGGAAGAGGAGGAGGAGGGAGGAGGAGGGAGGAGGAGGAGGAGGGGAGGGGGAGGAGGAGGAGGAGGAGGAGGAGGAGGAGGAGGAGGAGGAGGAGGAGGAGGAGGAGGAGGGGAGGAGGAGGAGGAGGCTGGCCGTCGTCGTCGTCGCTTTCGCTCCCCTGCCCGCGCCGCGCGCGGCCGCGCTGCGGCCTGCCTGCCCCCCACGGCCGCCAACCGCCCGCCCCCGCGCCCGACCGAGCGGGCAGGGAGGGCGGGGGGGAGGACGGGGAGGGGGAGGGGGGGGAGGAGGAGGAGGAGGAGGAGGAGGAGGAGGAGGAGGAGGAGGAGGAGGAGGAGGAGGAGGAGGAGGAAGAGAGGAGGAGGGAGGAGGAGGAGGAGGAGGGGGAGGAGGAGGAGGAGGAGGAGGAAGAGGAGGAGGAGGAGGAGGAGGAGTTCCTCCTCCTTCTCCTATAACTCCCTTCCTGTGGCCATTTTGGGTCTAGCGGGTTAAACTCCCCTTCCGAGTGCGCCCCGCCCTTTCCGCAGGGCACCGATCCGCAAGGTGCCAATGCATGGGGCACCAACCCACAAGGCACCACTCCAACAGGACACCAGCCCATAGGGTACCGCTCCATAGGGCGCCACTCCTTGAGGCACCACCCCAATGGGCACCAGCCCTTAGGGCACCGTGCCATGGGCACAAGCCCCATAGGGCACCAGCACATGGAGCACCCGCCCCGCAGGGCACTACCCAATAGGGCACCGCCCCATGACGCACCACCTCGCGGGGCATCTGCCCATTGGGTATCACCCCGTATGAACGCGTGGATGATCAAGGAGCGATCGACCAATCTATGGGGCAAACTAAGGGCAGACTAAGGGCAGGCTAAGGGGCAAACTAAGTGCAGAAACTAAGTGTGCCATGGGGCGGGGCCCATAAAAAGTTACCGGTCGCCGGACGACAATCTAAGGGCGCGCCCATAACTTTAACTTAACCTTAGTTTTCTGAGGGCAACGGATGCTCAGGGCTACAGGCGGATTTGTGACGAACCATAAAACAACATACCACACCAAAAATACAACATAAAAACATCAAAAACACTAAAGAAACATCGTCCCGAGGCCATTTTTTTGTCTATCTTTGAATATTCCTCCTGTAGGGGGACATGCCCGACTCAAGCCTGGGCTCCCGAGAGCGAGAAGCCGCAGGCTCCGGAGCAGGGTCAGGCACGCTCGGCGAGGAAGGGGCCTCTTGGGCAGGGCGACGCTGCCTCCCCTGGCAGGAAGGCACCAACTGTACACCAACACCGATCCCGGCCAGGATCGCCCTGGGCCCAGGATCGGTGCATACGCCCTCCCCCCCTGGTAGGAAGGCACCAACTATACACCAACACCGATCCCGGCCAGGATCACCCTGGGCCCAGGATCGGTGCACACGCCCTCCTGCCTGGGGCAGAATGCACATACACCGATCCTGTGCCCAGGACAGGCCTGGCCAGGATCGGTGTGGGTGTATCGTTGGTGCCCTCCGCCCCTGGGCCAGCCGACACCTGTCGCTGCCTCCGATCGACTACAGTGGCGGCCAGTCCACAAGAAGCCTTCCACGAGAATCCCAACCCTGAGACCAAACAACGGCCACTGACGCTTGGTGTGGGAAAGTCGCTGCCTTAGATCGATGAATCCTTGTTTTAAGAGCGGCATAAACATAAACTTGTGGCGCTCCGCGGGGAGCGTCAAAATCTTGTGTATGGCGTTTTTTTGTCTTCGATATTCCGGGTCCCCAAACCGTGCGGACAGACCGTGCGGTGACCTCGAAATCCCCAAAGACCTCACCGCACGGTCCCTCACCGCACCAGTTCCCCGAGCTGCGTCCAGCGGCGGCTACGAGGGCCCCCACCCCAAAAAACAACAAACACCGCTGTCTCAGTAGAGGCCTCCTAGATGGGCCCGAATAGATGGGGCCGGAAGATCGCGCCGCATCGGCGATGAGTTGGCGGTGCCCCTGCGACGTCGGCGGTGCATCGGCGACGCCGGCGTGGAGAAAATCGGCCCCACGTCGAGCCTCATCGCCGATGCGTCGCCGATGCGGCGCGATCCTCCGACCCCCATCGACTCTGAACCCATCGGGGAGGCCTGGACTCCACTCGCCCTCCTCCGACGATCGCTGCCGTTCCACGATCCCCCCGGTCGGCGCGCCTGCAACACCCAGCAGACCGCCCTCCGAGCTCGGGGAGCGCTGGGCTCGGCTGCGCGCAACGAGTGACCCTGGGCAGGAGCGACCTGTGGTGCGCGGCTCCAGGGAGGCCCCACTTGAGCGCTCAAGGCGCCAGGCCCCCGTGGGCCCGCACAGAGGGTCGCTCTGGCGAAGGCTCATCCCTGCGTGTCGACGATGAGCGCGCAGCCGCTGCTCGATGCCCCCCCTCGGGCGTTCACTAACGGGGGGGCGATTAATGGGGGGGTAAGAAAGGTGCCCCTTTCGTGCACCTTTCGTACCCCTTCGGGGCCCTCGGGGGCTCGATTAGGGACCCTTTCGGGCCCCTTTCGTGCAACCCTCGACGCCCCCCTGTTCATCGCTCCCCCATTGCCGCACGCCCAACCCCCCCCGCCCGGCCCGGCCGCCGGCTGGCCTCCCTCGAGGTACTTGCCCTCGCCCTTGGAGGTCCAGGTGCCCGCCGCCGCGGTCTTGCCGTTCGTGCAGAATCTGGCGGCGGGGGCCCGGAGGTCCGGGATCGGCAAGACCCGAACGCAGGCGTGCTGTCGTTGCGAACAGCAGGAGCAGGGGGAACAGCAGAAGCGGAAGTTCGCAGCCGGAACACGAGGAGGCGGAACAGGAGGAGGAGGAGGAGGAAGAGGAGGAGGAGCAGGAGGAGGAGGGCTGAAGCAGAGAACAGCAGAGGGGGAAGGGGAAAAGGAGGAGGAGGAGGAGGAGGAGGAGGAGGAGGAGGATATGGAGGATATAGAGGATATGGAGGATATGGAGGAGGAGGAGGAGGAGGAGGAGGAGGAGGAGGAGGAAGAGGAGGAGGAGGATTTGTTTGCACATAGTAGGCCTCCGAGGGCCCTTGCTGTGCTCCACAACCATGGAATGAGAAGCCAGTCCTGGGGGAGTGGTCCAGACCTCCCCTGATCATTGTTGGTGGCGAGCGAGAGGAGAAGGCCTTCTCAGAAGTCGGCGGGACTTCTCAGAAGCCCCCGCGCCTTCTGAGAAGTCTTCTGTGTCTTCGTGGAAGGCTTCGAAAACTTCTCAAAGGCTGGGGGCCTTCCGAGCCTTCTGAAAAGGTATTTTCCTTCTCACTTCCCCCCATCGCTCGCCGCCGAATGTTCGGTTGCGACTGACGAGATCGGTCGCTACGAAGTTTGATTCAAATTCCCGTGTCGGTCGCGAACGATTTGCTGCACAATCGGTTGGTCGCGACCGATTTGGAGTGCCGATCGGCCGCTCCCGATGGCGACCAGCAAAAACCTGGTATCCAATGGCCTGGCTCTGGGTAGCCACGTGGCGAACAAAAACACGACAGAGTATGGGTTAACCAGTGTCGAATCGGGGAATCGGCTCGTATCCGGATGTGCGTCGGATCGTGCCGCACCAGCAGGACATCGGAACAACATCGGATTGGCCGCGCAAGGACGAGGGGTCATCGGGATAGCTGAATCATGTCGGATCGGGACGGTCGAAGAGTATCGAGTCGGAGCACACCGAAAACCCCTTGCGAAGCCGAGCTGCGCCCCAGTTGAACGTCTTGGCTGTGCTCGGACGCGGCCAAAGGGGGTGTGCGGGCTGCACTGGATGGCCGCCGAAAAAAATCGGTCGGGCGAGCGTCCAGCCGTGGCGACGATGAGATAAGAACAAAATCCCACCAGCCCTTTGGGCGACAGGTGGTCCAACGAGGATTTTTTCCGCTTCCACAACCCCTCTTCACTTCGGGCAGGGGAACCCTTCCCCTCCCTCCCGTGAAGTTTCATGAGGGGGATCGCGAGGTGCTGGAGGCTCCCTTGTCGGCCGTTGGGAATGCCATTGTTTGCCACGCCTCACGAGGATCGCGGCCCCCGAGGGGGGGGACGCAAATCGAGTACCCCCCCCTTTTTTGACCGACCGCCTCCAAAATGGCCCCAAAAGCTCCCAAGAGGCCCCACAGAGGGTCCCCCGAACGCCCCAAGACGCCCCAAGAGGGCGCCAAGAGGCCCCCGAGAGGCCCCCGAGCGGCCTCAGACAGCCCAGGATGACCTCTAAGATGGCCCAACATCGCCCAAGCTGGCCCACGATGGCTCCCAAAATGCTCCAAGAGGCCCCAAGACCACTCCAAAACGGCTCGAGATAGCCAGCCCACTCAGACGTCCCAGGGTTTCTGAATGGGCTGACTATGCGTGTCTCTTCCTCTCTCTCCCCGTCAGCTCTGATGGGCATCGTTTCTGGATGGCCTGGTGGGGATACTTTTTCCCGTCGCGGCCGCAGGCGAAAGCGCCAGCAGCGTCAGCAGAGTTAGCTCCGGCTACGAGTGACCTAATTGCCGGCGCGCGCGCCGAGCAGGGCAAGCCCTACCGCCGGGGAAAGCCGCTGCGCCGAGGCGGAGCTGCGCCGAGGGGGGGGGGGGGGGCTGCAAGCTGCGGGGGCGGCCAGGAAGCTGCAACATGCGTGTGCCACGGGAGCTGAATCTGAAGGGGCCCCAGGACACACAAATAAATACACACAAATAAAAACATTCCCCATATTTTCCTATATTTTCTGGGTTTCTGTATTCCCCCCCACACTTCCCATATTTTCATATATTTTCTGGGGAATCGAGGATTAATTGTGTCTGTGTGCTTCTTTTCCTCCTGAGAATCGCCAGGCACGTGAACTTAACCTTGTCGCCACAGGGCGCCAGAGGTCTGGGCAGCGGACCGACAGGTGTCACGCCTGGCTGTTCAAGAAGGCTGAGCCACTCCTTAGGGAGCCCACAAAGGACGTACGCGCCCAACTATGTACATGAACACGGCCCCTCGATCCGCGAGACTGGCCGCGTTATTCGAACATTTGCGCAATGCGAACTCTCGAAACCAGCGTGGATTCATGTACATGTACGTCTTTTTCCCGCTCCTGACTCCTGAGTGAACCAGCGGACCCGTATCCCATAGGGCCAGCTGCCAAACCCAAAGCCAGGGAAGCAACAACTCTCGTGCCGGAGCTGGTCGGAACGCACGCCACCTGAACGCCGGGTTGCCTCTCCCGGCACCACGGACCACGCGTGCGGCCTGCAATCCTGCGTCCACCGGATGCCGAGCGCCAAACGTCGTGAGCCCGCCAATGGGACGAGCGTGGAATGAAGCGTCCGTGACCTTGCGACCCGGAGACCCAACCGCCGAATCCAGCCAACCAAAGAATTGAAAGGTCCGGGCCACGGGCCTATCAAATTAGCAACGCGCGAGCCTAAGAGCACAGCGGCCGAGCCCGGAATCAGAACCTACCGCCGGTGGGGCCGCAGGCTGAGGCTGAGCTGGCTGATTGCAGGCGGCCAGGGTAGCTGATGCACACATGCGGGTGAATTGGATCCTGCACGCCAGGAGAAGTCGTGACCTGTTCTGTACCTACAGACCACACGTCTGCCTAGCGGGGCGGTGCCACCACACGGGCAGACCCGGGAAGGCGGCGCGCAACCAGGAGAACAGAGCCCGAGAGGTGCAAGCGCGCTCGGACTCGAGTGGGTACCGTGGGAGGACGTCACCAGGTACGCAAACGGACCTTGTCGCCACAGGGCGCCAGGGGTCGGGGCCACAGCTGTGGCAAGGTACGTGCCAAGACACGGCGGTCACGATGCGACAGACTTGCTGAAACGTGAAGTTTCGACGGTCCGCGCAGACATCTGGGACCGGCGCTGATCCCCCCTCCCTGGCGCGCGGGGCTCCTCGCCAGGGGCGGCGCCGGAGGCGCCGCGGGCCCAGCGCGGAGCCAAGAGAAACCCGCGCGGGCCGTCCAGGGCTTCTCCTTCGGTGGCAGCTCATTGGAGGGGCCCAGGGACACACACACACACACACAAATAATAAATAGACACAAATAACAGGATTCCCCATAGTTTTCCATAGTTTCTAGGTTTTCGTCTTCCCCCCCACTTCCCATCTTTTCCCATATTTTCCGGAGGATCGACGATTCATTGTGTCTGTGTGTTTTGTTCCCCTCCTGACTCATGGGAGCTTCCCGTGCCATCTTGTCGGCTCTTCCGAATCGACGCTGGTCGACGCTCTAAATCGACGCGACTCGACGCTAATAATCGACGCTAATCATCGACGCTGGCCGACGCTAGATCGGCGCTATCCGCTATCCCATCGACTCCCAGACGCCATAGTGGACGCCAGTCGGCGCCAGAGACAGAGTTACGAGGGCACACCAGGCGCCTATGATTTGCCACAACAAAAAAACAAAGAACATCAAGATCCGAAGAAGAACAACAAAAACTCATGAACATAAACTTTTGGCGCCCCGCGCGGATCTCTTGGATCCGCGCATGTGCTTTTGTTTACGCAGAAAGCATCTATACACCACCACCGTGCCAGGCCAGGGCCATCCTAGGCCCTAGGATGGTGTCTACGCCCTCCTGGCCGAGCCAGGAGGGTCTATACACCATCCTACGGCCCAGGATGGCCCTGGCCTGGCACGGTGGTGGTGTATCGATGCCTTCGTCGGATTGTTATCCTTCGAGCTGTCCCTTCCTCGCAGCGATGGGGGCTCCTCCTGGCCAGAGCCGCTGCTGCGCCACCTCGGCCCCCCCCCAGCCGGCTCCCCGAGGTCGTGCGCCGGTCCTCCGGCGCTGGCCTGGAAGGCCAAGGGGGGGCCTGGACGAGGATCGAGGAGGAGGGGAGGAGGAAGAGGAAGATGGAGGGTCGAGGAAGAGGGGGGGAGAAAACGAGGAGGGTCGAGGAGGGGGAGGATCGAGGAGGAGGGGGGGGAGGGCCGAGGAGGAGAGGTGGGAGGAGCGAGACTGGGTCGGAGGGCGGGGGGGGCAGGATCGAGGATCGGAGGTGGGGGGGTCGGCGGCGGCGCGGCGAGGGGGGCGGACTCGATGAACTCCGCGACGGTGTGCTCCTGCGGGGCTGTCGCCGCCCGCGCGGCTGCAGGGGCCGCGGGGGGGGCGCAGGGAGGGCGAGGGCCGGGGGGCGAAGTCGCCGGACACCTCGGCGCCGCACCGCCGACGCGTCGCCGAGGCAGCCAGAAGGAAGGTCGAGGGTAGGGGGACGAGGGTGGGAGGTGGGGAGGGGGAGGAGGAGGAGGAGGAGGAGGAGGAGGAGGAGGAGGAGGAGGAGGAGGAGGAGGACGTCTTTTGGGACGTCTTTTGAGGTGGGGGGGGCGCCCGTGGCGCCCCCCAGGAGGAGGAGGAGGAGGAGGAGGAGGAGGAGGACGAGGAGGAGGGACTCGAGCGCGGCGGTTCCCGGTCGAAGGTCGAGGTCTGCGGGCGCTTGCGTCCGTGCACGACGGCTCTCCAGCCTCGGGGCGCCTTCCAGCACCTGCGCCTCGCCGGAGGTGTCCGGGGTGTGCCCGAACTTATGTCGGGCGTGTCCCCCTGCAGGGGGAGTTTCGACGACAAATAGAAATGCCCCCAAAGTACCCCACAAAGGTCCAAAACTATGCAAAAAATAGTCCCTGGACTACTTTTGGATAATTTTTGGGTATTTTTGGGGTATCTATTATTTTTCGTCGACATAAGCCCGACATAAGCCTGGGCCCTCCCGCACGGCCGCTGGAGGCCCGAGGTACGGCCCGAGAGGCGCCAGACCCGAAGATCCTGGCGGGGCGCTCTTGCCGCAACGGGCGAGCTTTGCCCCGCTTCTTTGGACGCCCGAAGTGGGTACGGAAAGAATGGGCACAATGCCCAACAGCAAATATTGTCCCGAACCAACAGCGGCCGCTGTTGGGCAGGCGGCCTTCTGTCTCAAATGGACACAAGCCGCGGCGGCGTGGACAGCGAGTCCTGTTCAAAATGAACAGGAACTGCTGTTGGGCAGTGTACTCATTCTTTCCGTGCCCATGTCGGGCGTCCAAAGCTTCGGGCCCTGGGACCCTCCCGGCTCGATCTGGCTCGAAAAGTTGGGGCCAAAGATTGGGCCCAGGGCTCCGGTCGAATCTGGCTATGATGCTTCCACATTCTGGTGACGTCGGACCTGAGGACCTCTGCCGGGCTGCGCTCTGACCAGGATCTCGAGAAATTCCAGCTGTGCCGAGGTCTCTCCAGGACAAGCTGCGATGTCGGCATCTTCTTCACCCCCTCCGAGCCTTGGTGGAGTCGGGATGGAGAAACTCGGGCTCCGCATCGAGCCGCATCGTTGATCGATGCATCGGCGATGCGGCGTGATCGTCCGACCCCAAAACGCCCGGGGTCCAATTGCACAGGGGCACGGAAAGCACAAACATTATTTCACTGAGTTTCGCGCGGATTCCCTGGATCCGCCCTGCCTCCCTGGCTCGCAGAGCGCGCCATTGGCGGCGTGTCCAGCGCCGCCAGGGGGCCCCAGCGCTGATCAACAAAAATCCGCGCGGAACTCCGCAAACTTGTGTTGCTAGATCTTGTGGCTCTTCGGTACGTTTGTGGACGCTCTCCGTGCCTCCTGTTGTGCGGGCGAAAGTTCCGTGGATACTCGATAGCTTCGTGGCCGTTCTTCGGTACGCTCGTGGACGAAAGTATTTCCTGCCATGCTTTGATCCTCGGGGCTCCGAGTCGAACCACATCGCCGAGGCATCGGCGAACGGTCGCCCGGCCACACCTCGCCTGGGCCCCTCTCGGCGCGGCCGGGCACCGAGGGCACCCGGGCTTCTGGCGGGCGGGCGGTCGCTGCTTCAGCCACCATGCGTCGACGGCGGCGGCGGCGCTTCGCGAAGGGCTCCGGGCGCGTCTGGAGGCTGTCCGCTGCGATCACCGCGGGGGTTGCGAAGGGCATAGCGAGGTCAGCAGCGAATGCTGAGGTGGGTTGTATCTCGCTGGACCGAACTCATAAGTGGGTTGCAGGTGCGCCCGCCGCAGACGCCGAATCTTTCGTCGAAGCCAGTGGGTGGGTCGCGGGTGAACCGCGGCTGGGTCGCCGGTGGGTCGCGGGTGGGTCACGGGTGAGACGAGGGTGGATCGCGGGGTGGGTCGCGGGGATGGTCGCGGGGTGGGTCGCGGGTGGGTCGCGGGTGGGTCGCGGGTGGGTCGCAGAAGGGTCGCGGGCCGGGTGCGTGTGCCGGCTTGCGAAGGATCGGCGCTACGTCCCCTGGTGTCTGCCACTCGGAGCTCATCTTCCACGAGATCTCCGAAACGACGTCCACCTACCTCTCGAAGTATAAACAAGAGATAACAGATGTAGCAACGGTCGGAACCGAAGAGCTTGACAAGGCTTGCTCCACCAGGCATCCACTTCGCGATGGCCCGGTCGTCACCATGCCAGGAGTCATCCGTCTCGATATTCTTCGGTCACGATGCGCTCGAGGCTGCGGCCGACTTAAATGGCCGCGGCACTGTTGAGCCTGAAGACGTTTTGTTTATGGCTGAGTCCTCGAGACTCAAGGCCAGAGGATACTTGTTGGTGGTGAATGTGGTGTCCGTGCAGGTGTCGGCAAGGCCCCAGCGCTGAAGGGTCTTAGCCCATAGGCTCATGACGTACTGCTCTACCTTCATCCATGCCTGTGTGAAGTAGTAGTTTGGCTCGTAACTCCGTATTCTAATCCACCACGTGCATCTCCAAGGCGGCATCTCTGTTCGGCGCCTCGGTGGCTGATGGTTACGGTGCCTTGCGGGGCACAGATCTTTACGACTGCGGCTGGACCGCTGCGCCCGCGCACGTCTTCGGTGGAGGCAGCTCGGTAGAAGTCGACCAGATCGCATGGTTTGTAGTCCAGGGTCTGTTTGGCGACTGTGGCGTTGGTCTTGGAGGCTCGGTTGGTACGGGGGATGGTTGAGGCTTCTTCAATTCGTTCCAGGGCGATCTCCCTTAGCCGGCGTGAATAGCAGGCCGAGCCTGCTGTGCCACCCAGGAATGCCAATGTGTCCGGCAGCATCCGCGGTTGCGATCCGAATCGTGCGTCGTATGTTTTTGCGCCTCCGTAGGGCATGAGAATTGCCTGCGCGCGCAGCCTACGCGCCGACATTCTTCAATGCAACGCATGGCGCGTCGTAGGATTGCGCCGCGTCGCTCGATCACTCGGGCGCGCTGGTCGGGGGCTCGCACGCGGACCGCGATGCCGCGTCAATCGGAGAATGGCTCAGCTGCGGCACCGCTGATGCCACGTTCGCCATCCACTATAAGAGTCTCGACTGGTCCGCAGATCGAGACCCAGCATGTCTGGATGGCGGAGCTCAAATTCTCAGAGAATCGGCGTCCAGCATCGCTGGAGTCATTCGAGAAACTTCGCTGCGTGCCATCGGTCGGCTCTATCGAGCATGTGCCGGATCGGGCATTGGCGATAGACGGGTGCGCCCCCTGCCGCTTCCTGACCGGGGGCCGTGACCAGTTCGACCGAGGGCGTGCTTTGCGACGCGTTGCTGGCCCATCAGGCGCTGCGCTCGCGGCGTGCATCTACCGCGCCAGCGGCGACTTAGGCGACTGTGCTCAGGCACCGGGCTGCTGCGAATATCTTCTCCATCTGAGTCCGTGTAGCATGCCGCCAGCGGGCGTGTAGTTGACGGGTCCTGCGATCGCGCGGCGTTCTTGCGATGCATCGCTGGCTCGCAGTATGCGCGAACTCTGAGTGATGCCGACGACGGCCCAGTCTTCTGGGGCATAACCCGTCGTGGCGCCCACGACTCGAGGTTGCGGTCCAGGAGCTCTGCGAGCTCGGGGCGCTGATGAGTCATGCGGTGTCTGTGGTTCGGCCTCGTCAATGAGATCGTCGCGGTTTGGAGCTGGCGGCGCAGGGTCTTCGATGGTGCCTCGGTCCGGAAGCGGCCCGTCGGTGATGGGGCTCACCTGTGATCCGCGGATTTCTGCCGCGGGATCTTGAGACAGCTGCGCGCGGGCCTCGCGGGGGCAGGTTCCGCGGTGGCCGATGCGGCGCTCGTGGATAGCCCTGCGCGGCTCGTCGAACCAGCGGCATTGACATGGCAGCCTGGCGCGGTCGAGGTGCGCTCTATCTCGTGGTGGGTCTCGCGCGCGTCCTGGACGAGAGCATGGTGACTCGACTCCAGGGGGGATGGCGAACTTCCGTGGGGACCTGATGCGACGCGGGCCCAGATGGCCGCAATTCTCGCGGCACCCAGGACATTCTGGAGCGTTTGGTGCGGTCTGCCTGTCTGGCAGCTGGCGCGACGGCGGCCGTCTGCGCGCACGCGGCGCGCTTGGGAGCTCCCGGCGCCTGCGGCTGGGCGCGAGGATTGCACGTTGGTCCTGGCATGGCTGCTGGCAATGGTGCTGACGCTGGCGCGCGCGGTGCGTCGGCCCCTTCCAGGCGTTCGAGTTCCTGGAGGGCCTCTGGGCTCATGCGGGCCCCTGTGGCCAGGTAGAGCTCTGCCATCAACGCGATGGAGCTTTCCACCGCGGCTTCGGCAGTGATGATGCCTTGCGCCGCGCGCTCAGCTAAGCGTCGTAGCCAGACCCGGAGCGCCTCGGCGCGTTGGCTGCTGCACCGCGGGTTCCTGAGGAGTGGATGATCGCAAGTGTTATGAGTTGGCGAGTGCCTCGGACTGCTTTCTGGCTGGAAGACCAAGTGGACCTCCGGCTCCAACCAAGCACTGATCGAACGCAACCGCGCCCGCATGTGCGCGCGAAGATACTTGTTTCCATGTCGGCGCTGTACTGAGCTAAATAAGGATGGGATATCGACCGCGGCGAATCCGCGCCGTCGCACCTTGCTCGCTGACGAAGGTCACGCGCGGGGCAAGATCTGCGCGGTGGGCCGGCCAGGTAACCGAGAGAGCGAGGTGCGAGCGATGGCGCTCCAGCGCGGGGCAAAGCCCCTAAGGGAAGGGTCCAGGGGAGGGGCGAGGCCTGGACGCCCCGGGCCGGGCAAGATCCGGGGAGAATCCGCGGAAGTTTGTTTAAGGAAACAGTTACACACTTCGTGGTCTTCGAGGTCCCAGAACTCCATTCCCGGGCCACATTTTGAATGCCCGGAGCCAACAGTAGGCCACTTCGTGCTCTTCGAGTTCCCAGAACTCCATTCCCGGGCCACATTTTGAATGCCCGGAGCCAACTGTACGCCACTTCGTGGTCTTCGATTTCCAGAACTCCATTCCCGGGCTACATTTTGAATGCCCGGAGCCAACAGTACGCCACTTCGTGCTCTTCGAGTTCCCAAAACTCCATTCCCGGGCCACATTTTGAATGCCCGGAGCCAACTGTACGCCACTTCGTGCTCTTCGAGGTCCCAGAACTCCATTCCCGGGCCACATTTTGAATGCCCGGAGCCAACAGTAAGCCACTTCGTGCTCTTTGATTTCCCAGAACTACATTCCCGGGCCACATTTTGAATGCCCGGAACCAACTCTACGCCACTTCGTGGTCTTCGAGTTCCCAGAACTCCATTCCCGGGCCACATTTTGAATGCCCGGAGCCAACAGTAAGCCACTTCGTGCTCTTCGAGTTCCCAGAACTCCATTCCCGGGCAACATTTTGAATGCCCGGAGCCAACTGTACGCCACTTCGTGGTCTTCGATTTCCCAAAACTCCATTCCCGGGCCACATTTTGAATGCCCGGAGCCAACAGTACGCCACTTCGTGCTCTTCGAGTTCCCAAAACTCCATTCCCGGGCCACATTTTGAATGCCCGGAGCCAACGGTAAGCCACTTCATGCTCTTCGAGTTCCTCCATTCCCGGGCCACATTCTGAATGCCCGGAGCCAACTGTACGCCACTTCGTGGTCTTCGAGGTCCCAGAACTCCACTCCCGGGCCACATTTTGAATGCCCGGAGCCAACAGTAACCCACTTTGTGCTCTTCGATTTCCCAAAACTCCACTCCCGGGGCACATTCTGAATGCCCGGAGCCAACTGTACGCCACTTCGTGCTCTTCGAGTTCCCAAAACTCCATTCCCGGGCCACATTTTGAATGCCCGGAGCCAACTGTACGCCACTTCGTGCTCTTCGAGGTCCCAGAACTCCATTCCCGGGCCACATTCTGAATGCCCGGAACCAACTGTACGCCACTTCGTGGTCTTCGAGGTTCCAGAACTCCATTCCCGGGCCACATTTTGAATGCCCGGGGCCAACAGTAGGCCACTTCGTGCTCTTCGAGTTCCCAGAACTTATTCCCGGGCCACATTTTCAATGCCCGGAGCCAACTGTACGCCACTTCGTGGTCTTCGAGATCCCAGAACTCCATTCCCGGGCCACATTTTGAATGCTCGGAGCCAACACTAGGCCACTTCGTGCTCTTCGAGTTCCCAGAACTCCATTCCCGGGCCTGATTTTGAATGCCCCGAGCCAACTGTAGGCCACTCTGTGGTCTTCGAGTTTCCAGAACTTCATTCCTGGGTATGATTGTGCATGCCCAGAGCCAACTATAGGCCACTTCGTGGTCTTCGAGTTCCCAGAACTCCATACCCGGGCCTGATTTTGAATACCCCGAGCCAACTGTAGGCAACTCTGTGGTCTTCGAGTTTCCAGAACTTCATTCCTGGGGATGATTTTGAATGCCCGGAGCCAACTGCAGGCCACTTCGTGTTCTTCGAGTTCCCAGAACTCCATTCCCGGGCCACAGTTTGAATGCTGAGGCAGGCTGAGGCTGAGGCTGAGGCTGAAGCAGGCTGAGGCAGGCTGAGGCTGAGGCTGAGGCGGAAGGCAGACTGAGGCTGAGGCTGAAGCAGGCTGAGGCTGAGGCTGAGGCTGAGGCTGAAGCAGGCTGAGGCTGAGGCAGGCTGAGGCTGAGGCACAGGCTGATGCAGGCTGAGGCTGAGGCAGGCTGAGGCTGAGGCCGAGGCTGAAGGCAGACTGAGGCTGAGGCTGAAGCAGGCTGAGGCTGAGGCTGAGGTAGGCTGAAGCTGAGGCTGAGGCAGGCTGATGCTGAGGCAGGCTGAGGCTGAGGCTGAGGCTGATGCAGGCTGAGGCTGAGGCAGGCTGAGGCTGAGGCAGGCTGAGGCTGAGGCCGAGGCTGAAGGCAGACTAAGTCTGAGGCTGAAGCAGGCTGAGGAGGCAGGCTGAGGCTGAGGCTGAAGGCAGGCTGAGGCTGAGGCTGAGGCTGAGGCTGAGGCTGAGGCTGAGGCTGAGGCAGGCTGAGGCTGAGGCCGAGGCTGATGAAGGCTGAGGCTGAGGCTGAGGCTGAGGCTGAGGCAGGCTGAGGCTGAGGCTGAGGCTGAGAGGGCTGAGGCTGAGGCAGGCTGAGGCTGAGGCCGAGGCTGAAGGCAGACTGAGGCTGAGGCTGAAGCAGGCTGAGGCTGAGGCTGAGGCAGGCTGAGGCTGAGGCTGAGGCTGATGCTGAGGCAGGCTGAGGCTGAGGCTGAGGCTGATGCAGGCTGAGGCTGAGGCAGGCTGAGGCTGAGGCCGAGGCTGAAGGCAGACTGAGGCTGAGGCTGAAGCAGGCTGAGGCTGAGGCTGAGGCAGGCTGAGGCTGAGGCTGAGGCAGGCTGAGGCTGAGGCAGCCTGAGGCTGAGGCTGTGACTGCGAGTGCCGTTGCCACTGCGACTGGCATCGCGAATGCGACTGCGACTGCGAGAACAGCAGAATTCTACAACTGGATTCTCATCTGAATCTTAAGGGGAATGTTTCCAGATATGCTCCTACACATCGCTGTTAGGTTGCTTTGCCGGGATAATATTTAAACGTGTTTTCAAGTTCTCGACGCCCCCGCCATTCCAGGCCCAGAAGGGCCCCGGGCGGCCCGAGAGGCCCCAAAGATCCCCCCGAGAGGGCGCCCCAGAAGGCCCACAAGGGCACCGAGTCTGCCCTGGATGGCCCCGGGGCGGCCCCGCGAGAGCACCAGGATGGCCCCGGGAGGCTCCCCAGAGGGCCGGAGAGGCGGCGCTGGGGCCGGGCTGCTCGGGCGCGGGGGCTGGGCCTGCCCCAAGACGGCCCGAGAATCCCAGAACCGCCGGGGAACGGCCCCCCACGCGCGAGCGGCGACGTAGAAGGCTCTGAACGCCAGGGCCCCCTGGAGCGCGGCGACGAAGGGAGCTCTGATCAGCAAGGCGCACGAGAGCGAGCGGCCACGCAAAAGCCTCTCGACGCCAGGGCCCGCCCGCAGAGAGCGACGGCGCAACGAGATCTTCAACGCCGAGGTTCCTGCGAGCGAGAAGTGCCACGAACCCTCGGGCAAATTCCCGCGGCGTTCTTTCCGCCCCCGCGCCCGCCCAGGTCTCGCGACTGACGCGGCAGATGGGGCCGCTAGGCGGCCCGGCACTGCGGCGCGACGATGCCATTGCCACCGCCAGAACACTGCTAGACTCGAAACACTGTGGGACGTGCTGTTGGATGGCAGGATCGCCCCACGCGCAGTTAGCGTCGAATTGTCGTCGAACGACTATGTGCGAGGCGCGGACTTCACCGCCGGGCAGCTCGCAGGTCCGCGCTGGGTCCTTTGGCACGGATCGGTGCCAGGGCATGCGGCGCCTTAACCAGCGATGTGATTACCAATTGGGAGCTCGCTGGCGCGTTCAGTGGTGTCCTGGAACTCGTTCGAGCTGCTCCCCCGTGCTAAGGCCAGGGGAGGTCGTCGCCGATGTCGTCGAAGACGTCTTCTATCTTCTCGGGGCGTTTGACTGGCGCATGCCCTTGTTGCACGCGTGCCTTCGCGCGTTCTGCCTCGTCGATCGGACAAGCAAACGACGGGCAAGGAGGAAGGCGGCCCTGCGTTTCCATTCGCATGGCAAAACCTCATGCGCAGAGGGCCATTGTCTCCAACTCGTGGCGTTGACAACGAGACTTCCTGGCTCGCATTGAGGGTTGGCGCAGGTCGTCCTCTCATCTGCCGGCGAGGCAGAGAAGACTGGGCAAAAGGCCTTGGCTGGTGCGAAGAATGGTTCCCGGAACAACGCGTGGCCTCGTGTCGCTGTGCTCTGAGGTCTGAGATCAAGAATTTGTTGTCGCGGCCATGCGGGCGGCTTCTTTCGCGTCGTCAAATGCAACTTCGCGAACATAACTGACTAGCACGTCTTACCAACGTTGTCATTCTGTTGCGTATATATATATATATATACGACCGAAATGTTGTATCATCCTCTTGTAACCAGTGTGCGTCGGGATTGTCGGGCCGGCGAATAGTCCGGGGTGGAGGGCGCTGGGTGCTCGACGAAGCTCCCGAAGCCTCCTCGACACTGCGCGCAGCTAGCTAAACCCTGCTCTATCGTTGTCACGATGTGAAATGCTGTCTTGGCAGATGGAACGTTGCCAGGCACGTTGTTGGATGTCTTGGTAGAGCCTGATGAACAGCTTCATGCCAACCGCTGGGTTCGCGACCACTTCAATGGTGCGATTCAGCTCGTTCCTCGAGTCCACTACAACGCGTGGCATGTCGCACCGTCGACACGCGAGTCGTAACTCAAGCAGTACATCTCGGGCACGATTCTATTGATTCCCAAGCGCATCATGATCCGAACAAATTTGCACTCGTGTCGGGCGACTTCGCTACGGCGAACGGAGACGTGAGAAGATATTATGCTAAAGATGGAGCGCGCGCGTCTGTCATCCGCGCTGCTCAACAGCTCGCGCGCGTGCAGGCGCGAGCCCTATCGCAAAAAACGCGCTTGGGACAAACGCTGATTCCCCGGCCAGGAGAGCCGGGGGGCCCCGCGCAGGGGTCCGAGCTCATTGAGAGCCGAGGTTCGACCGCTGCCGCTGCTCAACCTCCTGGCCAAAAGGGGCATCTGGGGGCGCCGTGTCCGCCGTCTCCGCATCGCATGGGCGCGCAACTGAAAGCTGCGGTCGGGCGCGCCACCTGCGCTGCGGCTTGTGTTGTTTTTTCTCGAAGTCGTCGATGACCATCGCTGGATGTTCGCTCGGAGCCTCCTGCAGTGGGCCGCGCGCCGCAGCTGCGGGCCATTGGATCTAGACGTCGCCGCTGCCGCCAGGCAAGGGATCTCGCGCGTGGGCCCCGTGCTGCGCGGGCCAAACAGGCCAGGCAGCTCGCTGCCCGATCCTCTGACAATGGGTGCTGTGTAGCTGCGGGCGGTAGCTTTGTCCTGTTCACCAGCGAGGGCAATGGGGGCGCTCGCCTGATGGGCGCGCTCTTGGGCGCCGTTGCCAACTCCTTGGATGTTCGAGGGCTTGTTCATGAAGAGCTTCTGCGGCCGGCGCCCTGCCCGCGCGGCCCGGCGGCGCTGCTGGCGCGATCTCGCCGCCCGGTGCGTCTCGCTGTTGATCTGGGCCCTTCTGGCGCCAGAGGGCGCGTCCTCCTCGGGCGCTTCGCTGGGTGCGATTGCCAGTTGGATGTGCGTGACCTCGCGCACTGCCAAATGTTGCCTACATGTTGGCATGGTGAGAATGGTGCTCGGGCCCGGTCGCCACGGGGTGCTTCTTGTACTGCTCGCATCTGGTCGTCTCCGTAGCAGGCGGCGGCCTTGGCGTCGGCGCAGGCCCGATGAAAAACATGGCCACGTGCGGGGGTGACAGCGAGATCGAAGTTGGCGTAGCGGTCCAAACTGATGCCGCACATCTCATCGGCGTCGACTTCAACTCCAATGAATTCTGACGCGTGCGCGTAGATCCGATGGCAGCGCGGCGGCGCCGCGGTCGGAGGTCCAGCCACGGCCATGCCGATCATCTGTTGAGCGCGCTCACGTCGGTGCGCGCGCCGTAGCTTCAGCCGAGCATCGCGGGCGGCCTCCAGTCTGGCCATGGGGGCAGCCAGATGGAGATCTCAGGGGCCAGGTCTCGGGCGACGTTGGTCCTGATGGCCGCGGTCGGCGCTTCGGCGAGATGCTCACATCCGCAGCGTTGCGGTCTGTCTCTCTGTCTGTCTGTCTGTCTGGCAGGGCAGCTCGCGCTAGCTGGCCCTCTCGTGGGCGCGCCAGTTTGCCGAGACCACTGTCGCAAGGTGTGGTGATGTGCTGATCACCAGGAACCGCGAGTTGGCCCGTCGGAAAGGCGGTGGCGCCCGCGCTGCACTGACGGTCGATGAGGCTCATCTCGCGGGGGCCGAATAGAGCTGCAGCCCTGCGCGGTGCGTTGACGGAAGGGCGAGCTTCGTCGGGAACTGCCGCTGGCTCGGCGGCGGCGGCAGCCGCGTTGGGGAATGGCGGCGACGCTGGCAGTCGGGATGGCCCTGTAATTGGCGGGCCGGCGCACGCGCGGCCCTGGGCCGCAGCGAGCGAGGCTGCTGACCGCAAGCCGTGGACTGATCCAGGCATCTGCCAGGGGCCGTCGGCGGACGGCTGCGGCGTCGCGGCTTGGCCGCGGCCGAGAAGTGCCCTCAGCGACCGCGGAGGCAACTCCCGAGATCCCGGCGAAGGGGGCGGAGTCCAGGGCGCCGTCTACGGGTCCAGTGCCCGCGCGGCCTCCGATCTGGCCGCCGACGCCGCTGCCCCGCGGTGACGACGCAGTCCCTCGCGGGCACTCGGCGCGAAAACGGTGCTCGCTCCCGCGGATGCCGAGCGTCGTGGCGGCCCCGTCTTAGCCTTGCGGAGTGCGGCGTTTGCCGTTTCCCCTGACTGGCGAGCGCCCGCAATTGCCCAGTCCTCCCTTTGGCCGCCGAGGATAACCGGATTTTCTTAAATTACGTCTCCGAAAGTTCCATGAGGAATGCGCGCTTGCCTCTGCCTTTTTTGGGGGAAGGCGCTGTTGTTCTTCTTACGAAGCCGTCGCACCTTACGAGTAGGGCGTTGCGTGTGCCTGTGCCACTGTCGCTTCGCAGACTTCCTCTGCCGCGACAGCTGGGCATCTATCTAGGCATGGCTGACGCCTCGGAGCCCTGGCGATTGGCGGCTGACCTCTCCACCAGGGTTCGAGCATGTGTCTGAGGGGGCCAAGCTGTCGTAGTCGGCGGCCGGATAGGCTGCCTGATGGCGCGGCGCATTGCGACGGGCCGGTAGCGCGCGTCATGGCACTTCCCGTGCCAGAAGCTCGGCGGCGCTGGTTGCCCAAGTGTCGAGGCCTAGAGTGTGCCAGAAGTCACGTGTGCAATTGCTGTTGCGATTGGTCATGCCCGCGGAACCTCAGCAAAATGGCAGCGTGCGAAAAGCGTTCGCGATGTTGCTTCGTGCATGATTCACGATGTGACCCACGCGCCTGAGCGTGGTCGTGAGACTGTCGACTCGGCCTCTGCGGCTGGGTATCGGTTGCCGTAGGGCTGGAACAGCGTCGTGAGTTGGCTGACTGTGACGCCGACCGCTCGAAAGAGCAGCCCGCTGTAGCCTTCCCAAAACATCGCACCTCCACCGTCGCGCGTAAGTCGGAATCGCAACCCGAGAAAACGCGAGATCAGAGCGTCGGGGGTTTCGTTGCGTCGCCTCGACTCTTCGCCGAGTGGGCCGAGCTGCGTGGCGAGGTCCGCGATGAGGTCGGTCATAGTGTCCTCTTGCTGGCCGTTGGCAATGCTTCCATCCGTCATTGCCGTGGAGCTCGTGGAGCGCGTGAGCACGCGAGCGGCCCCACAGCGGTTGAGCATGACGGCGACGAAATTCTGAACGCTGTCCAGCTCGGTGGCTGGCGGCATTTGATGGCGCCGCGGCCGCAATCGCCCTGTGGGCCGGCTCCATCAGGTATCATGCCAGCGAACCAGAAACGGACGGCCACGAAAATCACGAGGATGCTGGCCCAGAGCGTCAAGATGGATATCCTCCTCGATAAAACCTCACCACGATGATGGCTGCGCAGGCGCCTTGGGGTTCGGGCCTGCACGGGACGAGCGCCAGGTCGACGTGCGGGACAACCATGATGATGCTGTTGTCAACTTTGGTCGAAGCCGGGGTCGGTGAAACCGATACGTTTGCTCGAGGTGTTCCACTCGGGTGGTGCGATGTGCTCACAAAGACAGCCAGCACGATCGCGAACGTACCGACGCACGGCGCTAGACCACGAAGGAACCTCGCACTCATGCCCAACGCGATGCTGCGGTCAGTTCATGTGGGGTTGCGATGGATAGAGGAACCTCGTGCCTCGAGGCGCTCATGCGGGCGATTCGCTCCTCATCGTGGTTACGCCTTCCGCTGCGCCCTCGCAGGTGGACCAGATGTCTGAGGCGGATTGCATATTGGCTAGCAGAACCGCCAAATCCACATGCTACTCAAGGAATAGAGGATGGTACCGATGCAGAGGCGAAGGTAAATGGGAAGGTGCGTCCACACCTCGCTCTTCGCACGCTCCGTGGATCGCGAGCTGGGATCGCTCCCAGCTCCGCCACCAACCACAACTTGGGGGGAGTGGAAACTGTACGGAAAAAACAAAACATGGCGTCAATCAGCTGTTGCATGCGCGGCTTGACTCTCCGTACAATATACAGATATGCGTCCACGCTCGGACCAAACAGCCGCGACCCCTCCTGAATGAGTGATGGGGGGGAGGACGACGACGACGACGAGGAGGATGAGGAGGAGGAGGAGGAGGAAGAGGAGGAGGAGGAGGGGGAGGGGGAGGAGGAGGAGGAGGAGGAGGAGGAGGAGGAGGAGAGAGGAGGAGGAGGAGGAGGAGGAGGAGGAGGAGGAGGAGGGGGAGGAGGAGGAGGAGGAGGAGGAGGAGGAGGAGGAGAAGGAGGAGGGGGAGGAGGAGGAGGAGGAGGAGGAGGAGGAGGAGGAGGAGGAGGAGGAGGATTTGTTTTTTCGCTCGTGGCTGAACTGAAAGCAGCTCCCACCTCGTGCCGTGCTCGGCGCGCGGGCGCCCCAGAGCCGAGCAGAGAGGCCGTGGAGCTCCTGCCCGCCACGCGGGCGGCTCAGGGAAGGCGGGGAGAGCATGGGGAGCATGGGGAGACCAAGAGGTGCCGATGCCGTTGCTCCCCCACCACAGGCAGGAGGGAAAGAAGGTCCTCCTCCTCCTCCTCCTCCTCCTCCTTCCCCCCTCCAACTTATGGTGGTGGTGCTGGCGGAAAGAACGCCCATCACCCAGACCTCTCCCGAGGTGCGTTCTGACCAGCATCTCGAGAGGAATCCAGCGGTGGCGACGAGGGCCTCCCAGGAGGCCCAAAAAGGGGAAAGCGGTTGGACGCCCGAAATGGGCACGGAAATAATGGTTACAATGCCCAACGACAAATGTTGTCCCAAACCAACAGCGGCCGCTTTTGGGCAGGCGGCCTCCTGTCTCAAATGGACACCGGCCGCGGCGGCGCGGAGAGCGAGTCCTGTTCAAACTGAACAGGAACTGCTGTTGGGCATTGTATTCATTCTTTCCGCGCCCATTTCGTTCGTGCACTCGCCATCGCTCGGACGTCCATTCCCTATGCCTTTTTCGTTTTCGTGCGTGGCTTTTTTGCCAGATGATCAAGGATGCTCCTCGATGGTTCTCGCCGAGAAAAAATGCACACGTCCGAGCGATGCCAGGTGCAAGGGCAGCGGCATGAGTACCTTGTCCTCCTCGGAGCGTCCCCAGACCCCCCCAGGCCCTCCAAGATAGCCTGGAAGAGACCCCCCCCCGAAATGAGACCCCCCTCCCTTTATTACGAAATCTGGAGTACCTTGTCCTCCTCGGAGCGGGCCCCTCCCCCCTTCCTCCCAGAGGCCTGGACGCTGCGGACGGGGGGCGGCTGCGCCCCACGAGCCGCGCTGCGCTTCCCCGGCGGGCCCCCCTTTCGTGGGCCCCACGCAAATCGCGGAGCTTCCCAGATTTTTGCATGCGTGCTTGATCTGCGTCCTCCCCCCCTAAAACATGGCTAAGATCGGGATAAATCGCTCCAGAGCGTTCCGGAGCGCTCTCAGAGCGTTCCGGAGCGCTCTGGAGCGGCCGCGGCGCCCAACTCATCCTCCAAAGCCGCCGATTCTCAGAGATTTCGAGTTATCCCGGTCCGATTTCGTCCCGATCTTCGCGTCGTTTTACCCCCACTGCCAGATCTGCCCGTCTTTCCCTGGGAACCGACGATTTGGGTCCTCCCCTCCTGAGTTCAGGGGCTCCCGGCCCTCAGCACTCGAACCGGCCCGGTCCTGCTACTCCTGCCCGGAACAGGGCAGCGCCTGCGAGGTGGAGAGCCTGCGCAGGCAAGGCAATGTGCGCCTGATCGGCGAAGCTGCCCCGCTCTCCGCTCTGAGTGCTCCTACCAGACGTCAGGCTCGTGTCGTGCCGACTTCGGCGTTGGTTTTTGACACCGCGGGGATCGTTCAGCCTTGAAAGATCGGCCAATTCCGAAACGTCATTTGGACGCCCGAAATGGGTACGGAAAGAATGGGTACGATGCCCAACAACAAATGTTGTCCCAAGCCAACAGCGGCCGCTGTTGGGCAGGCGGCCTTCTGTCTCGAATGGACACAGGCCGCGGCGGCGTGGACAGCGAATCCTGTTCAAAATGAACAGGAATTGTTGTTGGGCATTGTACCCATTCTTTCAGTACCCATTTCGGGCGTCCAGACGAAACGTCAGACCGTTCAACATCGACCGATTCTGGGTTGCCGGCGGTGTTCAACGGCGGGGTCGCCGACGGTGGACAGGGCGCGAACCTGCCGTAGACCCAAGGGTGCCTACAGTAGGGGCTCGACCACAAGAGGCCTTCCACGATAGACCCAACCCTGAGACCCCAGGACGTCCACAGATCTCTGGTGAGAAATCTGCCTTCAGTGCGGTAGCGACTTGGTCGCCCCGTCTGTATAATATGTTGTTTCTCCACATCGTGAAACGCCAACTCCATCCCCGTTTGCGTACGAACTTGATAGTCCCAGCATCATTAGGCCTGGACCATTCTCTCTTGTCAAGAAAGCAACGGAAGATGGATTTCTCCTCGCGGGAATTGTAATCCCCTTGCCGCCTTCCACAACAAAACAGTTAAGACCCAAAAAACCCAGGGTACCCTGGAGGCAAGCAAGGTGTTTCTTGGCATGGGTCTCCACTGCACAGCCAGCCAGAACCAGTCATGAGGATGCAATGTCAGGACGCAGGGCGCCCTGGGACGCTGCAACAGTTGGTCAGCGACTTTGGCCGACTGAGGCCTCACAACAAGGGCAAGGATGCAGGGGATCCCTGGCAACGCGTCCCATCGCCTCATCCACTTTTGGGGGGCCCAGGGCTGCAGCGAAAGACGACGACTCCTCACGGTGAAACTTTGAGACAACGTGCACACAGCGGAGCGGGGCAGGGATCCCAAACCGCCGACGTCATGATTTTTTCATGACGTCGACTCCCAGAGGTCTGGACCCATTCCCCGGGACTGGTTTTCGTCCTGGATTGTGTTTTGACGGTCCTGAGGCCCGGTACGAGCCCCCCGAGGCCGACAATATGCAAAAATCTCCCGTCGTGTTTTTTTCACGACTCGAGGTGGTCTGGGATTGGCAGTGCTCCTCTTCGTGGTTGTCGTTGGCCTCCATCAGCGTGAGCACCTCACAGGCGCACGGGTGCCCGAGAGGGCACGAACCCAGACATCCGACCGCTCCAAATTTCTTCGATGCTGTGGGCCCCAGAGGTCTGGACCACGACGACGACGACGACGACGACGACGACGACGACGACGGCGCCGACGGCGCCGACGGTGTCAACGACGACGCCGACGACAGCAACGACGACGACGCCGACGGCGATTCATAGGGCCGGTTTTTCGTCCTGAGTCGTTGTTTGACGGTCCCGAGGCTGGGCGAGGGCCCCCAGAGGCCTAGCCCCGAACCCGCCGCTCCATATTTCTTCGTGGCGTCGGACCTCTAGGAATATACACCCATCGCGCTGGAGACAGAGACAGAGACCTCCAAGCGACGTGCTGCTTTCACTACACGTCGCTGCAGAGACGTCCAAACCACGCATGGTGCAAGCATGTGCCACTGCCAAAACACTGCAAAGATACAGGATAGAGCACGAACAGGCAAACTAGAGAAGACTCAACAGATCAAAGACTAGAAATGCGCGCGAAGAGATCACCTGCAAGTCGGCACAACATATTGATACGCCCGCGCTTAAGTGGCATACCGAGTGACCCGCAGGAGTCGCTGAGCATTGAGAAGTGATGGCAAGGAGATGCGTGTGTGCGTGTGTGCGCGTGGGTTCGTGCGCGCGCAGGTGGGTGTGTGCGCGCGTGTGTGCGCGTGTGTGTAGGTGTGTGTGTGTGTGTGTGTTAGTGTGTGTGTGTGTGTGTTAATGTGTGTGTGTGTTGGTGTATGTGTTGATGTATGTATTGGTGTACGTGTTGGCGTGTGTGTGTGTGATGTGGTGTTGTTAATGATGTTAAGTTTGTTAATGTTGTTGTTGCTGTTGTTGCTGTTGTTGTTGCTGTTGTGTGTGCGTGTGTGTGTGTGTGTGTGTTTGTGTGTGCGCTGGTGTCTTGTGTCGCCTCCTGAGGACCTCGTGAGAGTCTTTGTGAGGGCATCTTGGCAGTCTAGAAGCCCTCTTGGGCTGTCCTCAAGCCATGTTCAACCAATTTTGAAACGCCCTTGTGCGGTCTTGGGCTAGCTGGGAGCGCTCTTGTGTCATCTTGACGCCCCCTTGGACGTCTATCTGGCCCCCCTTCCCCTCCTTTGACGCGTTCTGGCACCCCCGACGGGTCCAAAACGGCCAGAGGCGAAATGAGTGCACTCTGGGCCCCCCGGGCCCCCCACCCCATATGTATGTGTATCTCTCTCTCTCTATATATATATATATATATATATCAGAATATGAATATTGCTATTCTAGCGACGTGTACTACAATCCGCCGGCCCTGTCGGCGTGTGTGAGGGGCTTTTCCGTTCGAGCCGTCATCTCCGTCATTCTTTGTACTCGTCGTCTCTGTCCTTCCCTTTCCCTGGGAGACCTCTTCCCCTGGGCTCCAGCCAAGCCGACCTTGAGCAACCTCGTAATTGAGTCGAAGGGAAGCCCCTTCCCTTTGATCCCTCCCCCGCCGGGAGGGGGGGGGGTAGCGACCCCCCCCCCGGGTCAGATACGACGCCCCCCCCTGGGACTCCTCTTCCCCTGGGCTCCAGCCAAGCCGACCTTGAGCAACCCCTGGGCTCCAGCCAAGCCGACCTTGAGCAACCTCGTAATTGAGTCGAAGGGAAGCCCCTTCCCTTTGATCCCTCCCCCGCCGGGAGGGGGGGGGGGGTGTCGACCCCCCCCCCGGGTCAGATACGACGCCCCCCCCTGGGACTCCTCTTCCCCTGGGCTCCAGCCAAGCCGACCTTGAGCAACCTCGTAATTGAGTCGAAGGGAAGCCCCTTCCCTTTGATCCCTCCCCCGCCGGGAGGGGGGGGGGGGTGTCGACCCCCCCCCCGGGTCAGATACGACGCCCCCCCCTGGGACTCCTCTTCCCCTGGGCTCCAGCCAAGCCGACCTTGAGCAACCTCGTAATTGAGTCGAAGGGGAAGCCCCTTCCCTTTGATCCCTCCCCCGCGGGAGGGGGGGGGGGGTCGACCTCTACGACCCCCCCCCCTGGGGACTCCTCTTCCCCTGGGCTCCAGCCAAGCCGACCTTGAGCAACCTCGTAATTGAGTCGAAGGGAAGCCCCTTCCTTTGATCCCTGCCGGGAGGGGGGGGGGGGGTCGACCCCCCCCCGGGTCAGATACGACGCCCCCCCCTGGGACTCCTCTTCCCCTGGGCTCCAGCCAAGCCGACCTTGAGCAACCTCGTAATTGAGTCGAAGGGAAGCCCCTTCCCTTTGATCCCTCCCCCGCCGGGAGGGGGGGGGGGTAGCGACCCCCCCCCCGGGTCAGATACGACGCCCCCCCCTGGGACTCCTCTTCCCCTGGGCTCCAGCCAAGCCGACCTTGAGCAACCTCGTAATCTCTTGCTGCGCATTGCGAACAGGGTCGGCGGCGCCGGCCGTCAGGCCTTCGCAATACATTGTACTAAATTATAACATATTACCTCACATCCGGTCACCTTATATTATATGGTTACTATACTATAGTATTCCATATTGCTATAAGGTAATACTATATTAAAAGATACAACAAATATCACATGGTACAGTAGACTATCTTATGCTGTGATGTGGTATCATATACAAACTTATAATATGGTACATGATGCTTTTACTACAAAATGAGTATACGCATTGAACAACATTGGAATGCTACATGATATCATTTATTGTTATACCATACTGTTTTGTATTATATTAAATTATATTAAATGACGTGGTGATACTTAGTATATCACCATGAATGGTATTAAGCTGTAGTGTAGTACAACATAGTATAACATGTTATATTCTACTACCTCATAGTATCATATGATAGTTTACTGAATTGTATCATCTACCAATATCGCTGACGCCACATCCGCCGACCCCCATAAGTGTACAGTGCCTTCTACGGCCTGGGCGGCGTCCAGGGTGATGGTGGTGCAGGTGAAAGCGAGAGGATGACGTGGGAGAAAGAGGATCATGAGGAGGAGGAGGCGGAGGAAGATGAGAAAGAGAAGGAAGATACCTTGATCGGGCGCCCATATCGTCAAACATCGAATGGCCTTCGGCGCATCCGCCACCGTGCGTGGGCTGTGGGTGAGAGGCCACTCGGGTGGCTGATAGGGCCTCGTTGGAGGCTTCTCGGGGGCCTCTTGGAGGCAGCTTTTGAGCCTCGTAGGGGCCTCCTGGGGGCCTCTTTGGGACGTCTTGGTGGCATTTTGGGGCCCTTTGGGGGGGGGCTGATGGTGGGGGGGGGCTGATGGTGCCGTCGTGATACCCTCTTGGGGCATATTGGGCCCCTCGAAGCCGTCATGGGGGTCTCTCTTCCCCAAAAACTCCACGACTCCTTCGATTCCGCTACTCGCGTTGGTTCTTCCACGATTTGTCCAAATTTCCCAGGAGATCTCTGGCTTCACCTCGACCCATCTGGCCTACATCGGATTGCGCCGATGTCCACCGAGTTGTTGGCTTTATTCTTATAAGTCGATTGGGGAAAAGTCCTTGGTGATGTCGGGGCAGGCTCAGTCAGCAACGAACCCGTAACTCGGATCGGATCGGGCCGTGCGTCGGATCGGGCGGTATCGGCACGGCGTCGAAGTCGATTCGGACCAGTTGTGCCGGGATGCACACTGGCACCTTGAACACATCGGGCCACATCAGATCTGGGGACTTCACAATGTACCGATATCGCTACTTGTAGAAGAAGAACAAGCGACATAAACATAAACTTTTGGCGCTCCAGGCGGATTTCTTGGATCTGCGCTGGACCCCCCTCCCTGGCGCACGGAGCGCGCCAGGGGCGGCGCCGGAGGCGCCACCGGGGGGGCCCAGCGCGGATCCAAGAACTCCTCTCGGAGCGCCAAACGTTTCCGCTTATGCCTTTTTTCTTGTTCGAACTCCCTGGACCTCTCCTGGGGTGCGCTCCGACCAGGACTTCGAGGCGATCCCAGCGGCGGCGACGAGGGCCTCCTATAGGAGGCCCAGGCGGGCGACAACGAGGGAGGGGCAGCGCTGTCGGCATACTACCCTCTCCCCGTCTGGATGTCGGGCCACGCGGGATCGCTGGCGCATCGAGGTCGAGGCGGGTCGAGCCCAGCGAACGTCGCACTCGAGGCGGACCGATCGTGATGGTCCCGCCAGGGGCCCGTCCCGGGCCGCCGTGATGTCCCTGCCCGGGACGGGGCGTCGCCTCGCCCCCCGCGGGGAAGCAGTCGGTCCTCCTCCTCCTGCTCCTCCTCCTCCTCCTTCTCCTCGTCCCTCCTCCTCCCCTCCCCCCGTCTTCCTCGTCCTCCTGCCTCCTCCCTCCTCCTCCCTCCACCCTCCTGCCTTCTGCCTCCTGCTCCTCCTCCCCCTCCTCCTCCTCCTCCTCCTCCTCCTCCTCCTCCTCCTCCTCGTCCACGCCCTCTTCTTCATCCTCCCTCCTCCTCACCTCCTGTTGATCCCTCGTCGTCGTCTTCCTGCTCCTGCTCCATTCCATCGTCCTCCTCCTCCTCCTCCGTCTTCCTCTTCTTCTCCTCCTCGTCCTCATCCTCCTCCTCTTCCTTCTCCTCCTCCTCTCCTCCTCCTCCCTCCTCCTCCTCCTCCTCCCCTCCTCCTCCTCCTCCTCCTTCCTCCTCCTCCTCCTCCTCCTCCTCCTCCTCCTCCTCCTCCTCCTCCTCCTCCTCCTCCTCCTCCTCCTCCGCCTGTCCTCTACAATCACACGCTATGAATATTACTCTCCTGTCTCCCTTGACTCTGTCCGAAAGATGTCCGGTCCTCTCCGCGTATTGTTATCTACACGCAATGTTCAGACGTGTTGCTCATTGCCCTTTTGCCACCCGATTGCTGTCGGTCTTTGAAAGCTGTTCTCCCGCTGCCGCATGTGCCTCATTTTCGGATCGGCGCGCTCTCAACCCAGCAGGGACGACTTCTCGTCTGGATCCGAGTCCGTTTTCATTGTTGTCGCCTCCCCCCTCATTTCCCCTCCTCCGCCCTCCCTTGGTCCTCCTGCTCCTCCCGCTCCTTCCACTCCGCTTATTGCTGCTGCTGCTGCTGCTGCTGATCGTCCTCGTCCTCCTCCTTCCTCATTCTCATCTTTTTCCTCCTGCCCAATCTTTTCCTCCAATCCACGCAGCTCCCCTCATCCGCTTGCGCAGACTACGATGGGGGTCTTCGTTGGAAGACGAGGTCGGCTATGACACGCGCACGCGGATAGAGAAGCAATCAGCGCAACGGGAAGGGACGGGAGGGAGGGATCGGATGTCAGATGTGGCGCGAGCGCACCCAGCTCGCATCTCTCTCTGTCTGTCTCTCTCTTTCTCTCTCTCTCTCTCTCTCTTCTCTCTTCTCTCCTCTCTCTCATATTCTCCCATCCTCTCTCATACTCTCCCATCCTCTCTCTCTCTCTCTCTCTCTCTCCCATCCTCTCTCTCTCTCTCTCTCTCTCTCCTCTTTCTCTCTCATCTTCTCTCATCCTCTCTCACACTCTCTCCGCCTCCCCCTCCTCCTGACTTTCCTCCCTCCCCGCAACTCCTCCACCCGCGCGGAAGCGCGGTGGTGGTGGTGGTGGGGCGTACCTCCGTGTCCTCGCAGGAGCGGTCCCCGTAATTCGGGCAGTACGTTTCGTTCTGGGCGGCAGCGCTGTCCACCCCCTCCTCTTCCTCCTCCTCCTCCTCCTTCCTCCTCCTCCGCCTCCTCCGCCTCCTCCTCCTCCTCCTGCTCCTCCTCCCCCTCATGATGATGATGATGATGATGATCATCATCATCCTCCTCCTCCTCATCATCACCATCATCACCATCACCATCACCATCACCATCATCATCATCATCGTCATCGTCATCATCACATCATCAGCATCATCATCATCATCATCATCATCATCATCATCATCATCATCATCATCATCATCATCATCATCATCATCATCATCATCATCATCATCATGATCGTCATGATCATCATGATCATCATGATCATCATCACCATCATCATCACCTCCTCCTCCCCCTGCTCCCAGGAGGCACGGCTGGGCGCAGCCTCCGCGCAGTGTGCGTCCTCGGTGGAGGCACGCCTCTGCCTTGGAGTGATCCCGCCTGCCGTGGGTGCCCACTCCCCCGGACCCCGAGCAGAAGGGGCGCTGCGCTCCGGACCCTGGCGGTGGGCAGCGACAGCAAACAGAGGAAAGAGAACTATGCACATGCACCGATCCTGGCCAGGCCCCTCCTGAGCCCAGGATCGGTGCGTACGCCCTCCTACCTCGGCCAGGAGGGCACATATACCGATCCTGGGTCAAGGATGGGCCTTGCCAGGATCGGTGCATGTGCATAGTTCTCTTCGCCCGACGCAGAGGGCACCAGACACGTGGGAGCAGAGCTGTGGGCCTTGGGCGCGCGCTTCTCTCGGGCCGGGCGAAAGGGGGGGATAGCAGAGGGGGGGTTTGAGAATCAGCTCACGTAGCTGATCTTCCAGGCGCCTCCTGGCGCCGGGAGGCGCCTATGTATCGAGGAATGGTCCCGGCGGCGGGGCCGAAACCAGCTGCATGTAGCAGATTTCGTAACCCCCCCTTTCCCTGTCCCCCCCTTTCGCCCGGCCCGATTTTCTAGGCGCCCCGCCCTGGCGACGGCCGGCCCTGGCTTCCTCGGAACTGGGTCAGCCGCTCACTGGTCCCTCCACGGCCGTGCACGAGGTTGCCCCCCGGCGCGCCGGCCTTCGGCGGCCTCCAGGAGGACCTCTCGGGGGCGCGCCTGGGCACAGCGCTCACTCGCTCTACCTGGTTAAAACGACGCGAAGATCGGACCAAAATCGGATCGGGATAACTCGAAATCTCTGAGAATCGGCGGGTTTGGAGGATGTATTGGGCGCCGCGGCCGCTCCAGAGTGTTCCGGAACGCTCTGAGAGCGCTCCGGAACGCTCTGGAGCGATTTATCCCGATCCTAGCCCTGTTTTACTGGTGCTTGGTCCGTCTCCGACTGGCCGGCCTGGGATGAGGCTCGCGGTGGACAGCCCCTGCACCAGTACAGGCTGCACGTGCGAGAGCACCTGAATCGGGGGCGCGCACGGTCGCCAAATCCATGGATCGGCGGAGGTGCCCTCCCCAAAATGCGGCGGGTGCCGCCTCGTCCCGCGGCGGAAATCCGCCATTTCCCATGGAAACTGAACCCGTCGCTAATCCACGCCCCCTAACTTTAGGTCGGGCCTGTCCCCCTACAGGGGGATTTTGGGCGAGCAATTTTCAAAATACTCGAGAAATGCTCCCCAAATGCAAACAAAAATTGTACAACAAATCGTCCCCAGGCTATTTTTTGACTGCTTCTGAATCCCCCTGTAGAGGGGCAGGCCCCAACTTAAACCTACGCCCAGGGCCGTCCCTCGGCCTGCTCTCGGTCTGGGGCCGCCCCTCGGCTTGCTCTCGCCCAGGCTCGCGAGCGGGGGCTGCCCGGCGAGGTCCCGCGGGGCCAGCGCTCGCTGCGCAGGCCGCCGGGGCGACGCGCGGCCCTCGGCCGCTGCCCTGGCGCTCCTGTTGGCAGCGATGGGGGCAGGCCGGCGTCTGGCGCGGCGCGCAGGCACTGAACCCTGCACGGTGCCCCCCCGCGCCGTGGGCGAGCCGAGGAGGAGGAGGAGGAGGAGGAGGAGGAGGAGGAGGAGGAGGAGGAGGAGGAGGAGGAGGAGGAGGAGGAGATGGAGGAGGAGATGGAGAGATGTGGAGGAGGAGATGGAGGGGAGGAGGAGAGGAGGAGGATAAGGAGGAGGAGGAGGAGGAGGAGGAGGAGGTGGAGGAGGAGAAGGGGGAGGAAGATTGAGGAGGAGGAGGAGGAGGAGGAGGAGGGGAGGAGGGAGAGGAGGAGGAGGAGGAGGGGATGGCGGAGGAGATTGAGGGGGGGTTCAGGGGGAGGAGGAGGAGGAGGAGGAGGAGGAGGATGAGGAGGGGAGGAGGATGGAGGAGGGGAGGGAGGAGGGAGGAGGGAGGAGGAGGAAGATGGAGGAGGAGGAGGAGGGAGGAAGGAGGAGGGAGGATGCGGAGGGAGGAGCGGAGGAGAAGGAGGAGGGAGGAGGAGGGAGGCGGGAGGAGGAGATGGAGGAGGGAGGATGGATGGGGGAGGGGGGGTAGGAGGAGAGGAGGAGGAGGAGGAGGAGGAGGAGGAGGAGGAGGAGAGAAGGAGGAGGAGGAGGAGGGGAGGAGGAGGAGGAGGAGGAGGAGGAAGGAGGAGGAAAAAAAAAGGGGAAAACGGTGGAGGAGGAGGAGGAGCGGCGGGAGGAGATGGAGGAGGAGGGAGGAGGAGGAGATGCGGAGGAGGAGGAGGAGCGGCCGGGAGGAGGAGGAGGGGGAGGAGGATGAGAGGAGGAGGAGGGGAGGAGATGGAGGAGGAGAGGAGGGGGGAAGGGGAGGCGGGAGGAGGAGGAGGAGAGGAGGAGGAGGAGGAGGAGGAGGATGAGGAGGAGGAGGAAGCGGAGGAGGAGGAGGAGGAGGGAGAGGAGGAGGAGGCGGAGGAGGACGAGGAGGAGGAGAGATGGAGGGAGGAGGGGGAGGAGGAGGGAGGAGAGAGGAGGAGGAGGAGGAGGATGAGGGACGAGGAGAGGAGAGATGGAGGATGGAGGGGGAGGAGCAGGAGGAGGAGGAGGATGAGGAGGAGGAGGAGGAGGAGGAGGAGGAGGAGGAGGAGGAGGAGGACGGGTTGCCCAAGCTCTTCGGAGAAACCCTCCAGAACCCCATGTCTGCTCCCGCACGGGACTGTACTGGAAATCCTTCCTGGAAGCTCGCGGGGGCGCGGGCCCCTGTCCCGTGGAGGCGGCGGCCACGGCGGTCCTGTCTGCAGGCCCAGCAGGGGCAAGAACAACTACGAAAACTCCTACTCCTCCCCCTCCTCCTCCCCTGCGAGCAGACGCTGCCTCCTTATCGTGCCTCGTGCCTCCCTCCTCCTTCCCCTCCTCCCTCCTCCCTCCTCCTCCTCCTCCTCCTCCTCCTCCTCCTCCTCCTTCTCCTCCTCCTCCCCATCTGCTCCCCTGCTCCTCCTTCCTCCTCCTCCTCCTCTCCTCCTTCTTTTCCTCTCCTTTCCTCTTCTACATGTCCCTCTCTCCTCTCTCCTTTTCATCCTTCATATTCCTCTCCCCCTCTGACCTCTCTCCCCCTCCTGTCCTTTCTCCTCTCCTCTCCTCAGCTACACTCTCCTCTCCTCTATTCCTCTCCTCTCCTCTCCTCTCCGATCCACTCCTCATCTCCTCCCCTCTCCTTCTCCTCTCCTCTCCTCTCCTCTCCTCTCCTCTCCTCCTCCTCCTCCCTTCTCGTTCTCCTTCCGGCCAATGCCTCGCCCGAGGAGCGCAAACAACAAAATGCAAATCGTCGTTTCCGCGAGTGTCGAGGCTTCGGGGATCTTCTGACCCGGGTCAACCCTGACCCGGGTCAGTCAGGCCTCGCAGAATCCTGCAAGATCTTGCGCCCTAACCTGGGTCAATGCGAAGGATCCTGCAAGATCCTGCATCCAAACCAGGGCCAGTGCGACCCTGACCCTGCAGGATCCTGCAAGATCCGGCGCTCTGGCTGACCCCCGTTTGCATTGACCCCCGTCTCTTAGGCCCCGAGTCGAGGCTGCCCTCTCCCCGAATCCCGGTCTCATCTGCCAACGAGCGCACCGTGAGGTCGCCAGACGCAGCAGCACGGGAGCATTAACCGCCGCACTTTGCGAAAGCCCCTCGTGCTCTGCGCCTGATGTTCACCCCTTTCCCCCTCCACTATCCTCTTCCTCCTCCTCTTCCTCCCCCTCCTCCTCCTGCTCCTCCTCCTCCTCCTCCTCTTCTTCCTCCTCCTCCTCCTCCTCTTCTTCTTCTTCTTCTCAGTCTTCGTCTTCTTCTTCTTCTGGTTATGCTTCTTCTTCTTCTTCATATAAATATTAATAGTATTTTTCTTCTTCGTCTTCTTCTTCTAGCTCCTCCTCCCCCCTCATCCCTCTCTCCTCGCCTCCTCCCTTTCCTCTCCTCCTCCTCCTTCCTCCTCCTCCTTCCTCCTCCTCCCCCCTCCTTCTTCGTCCTCCTCCTCCTTCCTCCTCCTCCTCCTCTCTCCGCTCCGACCTGCCTCGCCCGCCGCCTCCGCCTCTCATCCTCCTCCTTCCCTCCTCCGCTCTCACACTCCTCCTACGCCCTCCCCCCGCCTCCTCCTCCTTCTCCGCCTCCGCCCTCCTCCTCCGCCTTGCCCTCCTCCCCTACCCGTGCCCCTCCCCGTCCCCCTCCCCCACCTCCCGGTCCCCTTCCCCTTTTCCCCCTCCTCCTCCTCCTCCTCTCTCCTCCTCCTCCTTCCTCCTCCTCCTCCTCCTCCTCTCCTCCTCCTCCTCCTCATCCTCCTCCTGCATCCCTCTCCCTCCTTCCCTTCCTTCCCTCCTCCCTCCTCCCTCATCCCGCCTCCCGCCTCCCTCCTCCCTCCTCCCTCCTCCCTCCGCCCTCCTCCCTCCTCCCTCCCGCCCTACTCACTCCCCCTTCTGCTCTCCTCCCTCCTCCCTATCCCCTCTCCATCCGTTCACCTCCTCCTCATCCCTCCGCCCTCCCTCTCGCCTTTTCCTCCTCCTCCTCCGCCTCCTCCCCTCCTCCTACTATCCCTCTGTCCTCCTCTCCTCCTCCTCACTCTCTCCTCCCCTCCCTACTCCTCTCGCTCCTCCCCTCCTCCTCCTCCTCCTCCTCCTCCTCCTCCTGCTCTCGCTGGGGCGCCAGCCTCATTTTCGGGCCCCGCTCGTTCCGAATCGTGCTCCCGCTGCAGCGCTGGCATCATGTCCGCCGGCGCCCAGGCTGCACGCCCGAGCCGGCGCCCGGGCTGGCACTCGGGCCAGGTCCGGAGCCAGTTCCGGCCGGCGCCGGAAAATCGAGTTCCGAGGCGGCGCCGAAAAAAGGCCATTCCAGTACAATTTTTTCTTTTGAAAATGTTGAATTTCTGCCTTCCCCGGAGTTAGTTAGGCTTTCGCCTGTAATTCTTCCCAAAATGCTGCTCTCGCTGAGGCGCCGGCTTCATTTTCGGGCCCCGCTCGTTCCGAATCGTGCTCTCGCTGCAACGCTGGCCTCATTTCCGTGCTTCCGCTCGTTCCGAATCGCGCTCCCGCTGCAGCGCTGGCCTCATTTCCGCGCTTCCGCTCGTTTCGACTCGTGCTCCCGCTGCAGCGCTGGCGTCATTTCCCGTGCCATGCCACGGCATGCAATGCAATGCTAGGTTGATACTACGCTTCGCGGTGCTCTTCTACGCCATGCCATGCCGTGCTCTACAATGCATCGCGTACCCTCTCGGGATCATCGCCCTGCTTGACATCCGACTGTGCGAGTATAGAGGGGATCTGCGCCGTGGTAAGGGATGGGAGGGAGGGGTAGGATGTCAGATATGACGCGAGCGCACCTAGCTTGTCCTCCTCCCCCTCCTCCTCCTCCTCCTCCTCCTCCTCCTCCTCCTCCATCTCGTCCTCCCTCCTCCCCCTCCTACATCTCCTCCTCCTCCTCTTCCTCCTCGGGACGCCTACGGCCCCGGGGGAAACCGTGCAGCCCCTCCTCTTTTTGCGATGACCCTCTTGCTACGGACATCATTCTCATGATGATCGCCGTCCTCGTACGCACGACGTGGCGCGCCGATCGTGAGGCGCCCAGATCCCGCGGCGACTCGAGCCCGTGCGTGGCACATCGATTGCGCGACTGACAACTTCCGCGACTGTGAGGTACCCGACTCCCAGCACGCAGGAAGAGCCGCACTGCAAGTGCGGTGTGCTCGCTTCGCCCAATCTTGCGAACACCGAGCAGGGACTCTTCTCTCATCGGTAGAAGTATTACATTCCTAGGAGAGGCAACGCCATTCCGCAGAGAGACAGCTTCAGACCCACAACAAAAGGCTTCATACCTCTAGTCGATCAGGCGAACAACTTTAGCCACAAGAAAACACGGCCGTCTCATTCTGCAACACACCATGCGAAACAACAAGATCGCCCCAAACAGAAAGGGACACACATAGGCAGCGCGCGTCGCGCGGACTCTCCAACAGTAGGCTTGACAACACAAAAGCATCGCCCTCCAACAAAATGTTACAACACAAACTGTCACAAGCAATACAACAAACAACAAGTGCCTGAAGCACTCGCACAATTCAGCACCCACTACCTGGGAGCTACGATGAGTTAGTTATTTTAGTTCTGGGCTCCTTCTCTTTGTAAGACACACCTTATCTTCTTGTGAGCTGGTTGGTTCTGCTTTTTGGTCAAATGATGCTCGTCGACGCCGCGCTTCCACGCCAGGGCTCCACATTGCCCAGCGCTGGTGCGAACCTCCTGAGCGACTCGGCTCCCGTCGCCCCGCCTTGCCCAGCCAGGACTCGCACGCAGTCCCCAAGACGCCCCGTAACCTCAGAGCGTGCCAACTATTGGAGCGCTCCCGGCTGCCCCGAAGAATTCCGGAGACTCGGAGGACAAGAAGGTACCGATACTGCTGCACTTCCCTCTTTTTCGCTTCTTGGGGGCCTCAAGGGAGGCCATCGTCGCCACCGCTGGGTTCGCCTTTGAAAAATCCTGGTCAGAACGGACCCCAGGAGAGGTACGGGAAATGGCGGTATCAGCAACTTGTGTTAAGTCGGGCGTGTCCCCCTACAAGGGGATTTTGGACGAACAATAAAAAACACAAAAAATACTCAACAGATGCCCCAAAATACTTTAAAAAAATCCCCAGACTATCTTTGGACTATTCTTGAATATTCCCCTCTCCCCCGAGGCCTTCGGTCTCCCCCGAGGCCCTTGGGGCGCTCTGGGCAGGCGCTCCGGGCAGTCCCAGTGCGCTGCCGCCCGCCCCAACCTAACCCTAGAGGCCCAAATTTCGGCTTCGGGGGGGGGGGGGGCGGGTTTCACGGTGTTTTTTCAGTGTTCCCCGACCCCCCCCCCCACTGGAAAGCGCAGGCACATCTGGGCCTTCGGGTTGAGTTGGGGTGGTTTGGTGGGTGCTGACTTGTGCGCTCCCTGGCGCTCCCAAGCACCCCGGAGCCGCTCCCGAACGGTCCCCGAGGGCTCCTGGGCAGTTTCCCGCGCACCCCAAGGCGCTCCCAGACACTCTAGGCTTAGGTCGGGCATGCCCCCCTACAGGAGGCGGACTTTGGACGAAAAATAGCAGATACTTGAAACATGCCCCCAAATAGTCAAACATAGTACAAACAAAAACGTCCCCAGACTATTTTTCTACCATCTTTGAATTTTCCTCCTGTCGAGGGACAGGCCCGACTTAACCTTAAGCACCCGCGCGCCCCGCAACCATTCCCGTGCGCGCCCGAGGGCTCGCAGGTTCTCCCAGGCCCTCAAGTGTCAACCAGGGTTATGTCGGGCGTGCCCCTCTACCGGAGGAAAATTCCCAAACAGTTCAAAACAAAAGGTGGGAACGATTTTTTGAGTAGTGTTTGATTGTTTTGGAATATGTTTTTGGTTTTATCATATAATTCACTCAAACGTCCGCCTGCAGGGGGACTTGTCCGACCTAAAACCAGGGCAGGGCACCGTGTCCACGTCGTGGTAGGCTGGGCCTCTCTTTCCCACGCCCCTCATGCACGCCGCCCTCCGAGCTCGGTTGTGTGGCAGGTGTGTCAGAAGCCAGGCGAAGACTTGCAAACCCGTGACTGCTGAAACGGAGCTCCAGGAAATTTCTTCCGGGAAACAACCCGTTTACTCTTTAATGCGCTGAATGTTGTTCCGCGAATTCGTTTTTTTGTTTCCTGATTCTGTTCCGAGAAGGCAGCTTTAACAACCACGAATTTGCCAACCCTCGCCCAGCTTCCGAGTGTGGAGCTGGGCCACTGCTGAAAAGCAGACCAATATTGCAAGAAGACCTTGCGACATGCCGTCGAAACATATACGTAACCAAGACATCGATAGGACTGCGGCTGAGCTAAGGCCGAATGTCCAGAGCAACGCTGAGAAGATGGCTGACACAAAGAACTCTGGTCGTCGTGCAACTGGCACTTGCACTCCGCACCGGGCTCCACTCCACTCGTGCTACTCTTCCTCCTCTCCTTCCTCCATCCCCTCCTCCTGATCTTCCTCCTGCCCCGATCCCCTCCACGCCCAAATCCGACGGGTGGCAATCCAGTCCAAATCCCCCAGTGGGATACTGCCAGGCCGTAGAGCCCTCAACACCAACCTCCAGTCCAAAATGGAGGGCATCTGGCCGCAGAAGCTACAGCCAGATGGGGAATGATAAAGGAGTGTGAGTGACTGACACCAGTCGCGCTGCGAGTCGAGAAGCCGAACTGCGGGCACTTGCGAGCGAGCGTCTCGTCCCTGCCGAGAGCCTTCGGCCATCGATCGGAATGGAGCCAACTCAGACATGTCCTCGCATGGACTCGCAGTCGCAGCACCAGGACGTGCGCGTCGCAGGGAAGCCTGGGACGAGGGAAGCTGCGCGAGGGCGGTCGCGAGAGGCGGAGGCTGGGGCAGCCTCCCGAACATTTGCGACCGCGCAGGGGCTCAGCCTCCCCCTCTGGCCGTGCCCGCTCCACGGCCCCCCCCCCGCCGGCCGTCCTTCAGCTTGATGATCCAGATGCCCTCGCCCGCCGAGCCACGGTTCTGCTTGATGACGCGCGGCTGGAAAGCCATCGTCTTCTTGAAGCCCTCGGCGAACTCCTGGTGCGACCGCGGCGGTCACAAGACACGATCGGGAGATCGGCCGTGCATGTTCTACGGTGGAGGTCCGTCCACGAGAGGCGTTCCGCAAGAAACCCGACGTCCATCGAGTGGGAACGTCATGCTTTACATCGCAAAACCATCGAAGCCCAAGACGCCCAGAACACCCTGGAGGCAGGCAGGGTGCTTCTCGGCATGGGCCCCCACCGTACTCGGCACATGGGCGGCACCAGGCCACGCATGCAGGGCAACACTGCTGCACTCAGCGCGAACACGCACTTCCATCCACTGCAGCGTCGGGCACTCACCATACGCCGTGATGAAAATACCGCCCTGCGCCTGCGCAGTCGTCCGCAGACCTGTTCAGCTCGAATAAGAACTGCCAGAAGGGGGCGGGTGGCCTCGCGTCGCTCACTGCAGACACCTGCATGCAGAAAGACGGGTTCTATGACCCAACCTTACAGTGCCACCAGTCCTCTGGTGGTCAGACGTGCGTGCTGGCTCTGGGACGGTCGGACGAAACACCTCGCGAAATGGTTCAGAAATCATGGGTTAAGACATTCATGGTCTCGCGCCGGCTGGTTTCTTGAATCTCTTTACAAAATGTTCAGGGTCTGGCCCAGGGGCTCGGCATGTGCATGAATACATGCGACCGAGCACGATTGCGCGACGTGCTGCGCATGATAATGTAATGTGTACGGAGGCTGCGTTGACAAAAATGGCGCGCGCATCTTCGGTCGGTCCTTGATCCGCCTCGGGGGGCCCAAGTGGGGCCCGAGCCGAATCCAAGTGGGGCCCAGCCGAATCCAATTGGGGCCCAAGTGGGGCCCGAGCCAAATCCAAGTGCCAAGTGGGGGCCCAGCCGAATCCAAGTGGGGCCCAAGTGGAATGCAAGTGGGGCCCAGCCGAATCCTTGTGGGGCCCAAGTGGGGCCCGAGCCGAATCCAAGTGGGGCCCAGCCGAATCCAAGTGAGGCCCAAGTGGGACTGAAGTGGGGCCCAGCCGAATCCATGTGGGGCCCAAGTGGGGCCCGAGCCAAATCCAAGCGGGGCCCAGCCGAATCCAAGTGGGGCCCGAACCAAATCCAAGTGGGGCCCAGCCGAATCCAAGTGGAGCCAAAGTGGGGCCCGAGCCAAATCCAAGTGGGGCCCAGCCGAATCCAAGTGGGGCCCCAGTGGGGCCCGAGCCGAATCCAAGTGGGGCCCAGCCGAATCCAAGTGGGGCCCAAGTGGGGGCCCGAGCCAAATCCAAGTGGGGCCCAGCCGAATCCAAGTGGGGCCCAGGTGGGGCCAGAGCCAAATCCAAGTGGGGCCCAGCCGAAACCAAGAGGGGCCCAAGTGGGGCCAGAGCCAAATCGAAGTGGGGCCCAGCCGAATGCAAGTGAGGCCCAAGTGGGGCCCAAGCCAAATCCAAGTGGGGCCCCGCCGAATGCAAGTGGGGCCAGAGCCAAATCCAAGTGGGGCCCAGCCGAATCCAAGTGGGGCCCAAGTGGGGCCCGAGCCGAATCCAAGTGGGGCCCAGCCGAATCCAAGTGGGGCCCAAGTGGGGCCCAGAAACATCCAAGCGGGGCCCAGCCGAACCCCAGTGGAGCCCAAGCGGGGCCCGAGCCAAATCCAAGTGGGGCCCGAGCCAAATCCAAGCGGGGCCCAAGTGGGGCCCGAGCCAAGTCCAAGTGGGACCCAGCCGAATCCAAGTGGGGCCCAAACGGGGCCCGAGCCGAATCCAAGTGGGGCCCAGCCGAATCCATGTGGGGCCCAAGTGGGGCCCGAGCCGAATCCAAGTGGGGCCCAGCCGAATCCAAGTGGGGCCCAAGTGGGGCCCGAGCCAAATCCAAGTGGGGCCCAGCCGAATCCAAGTGGGGCCCAAGCCAAATCCAAGTGGGGCCCCGCCGAATGCAAGTGGGGCCCAAATCCAAGTGGGGCCCAGCCGAATCCAAGTGGGGCCCAAGCGGGGCCCGAACCGAATCCATGTGGGGCCCAAGTGGAGCCCGAGCCAACTCCAAGTGGGGCCCGAGCCAAATCCAAGCGGGGCCCAAGTGGGGCCCGAGCCAAATCCAGGTGGGGCCCGAGCCGAATTCAAGTGGGTCCCGAGTGGGGCCCGAGCCTGGGGCCCAAGTGGGCGCCCACACGACCCCAGGAAAGCATCAAGTTTAAGACATGTCCCCCGGGTCTGGCCAGCGCTGGTGGTTTCTTAAGCAGCGCGTCTAGGACAAGAAATGTCGAGACTCTGGCTGCAAAACTGCGTATTCTTAAGCATCGAGCGAGGTGTAGGACGGTCGGACTGCCACTGGCGGTAATCATTTTGAGCCTGGAAGTGTGCACACTGTTGTTGTAGGGCCTGCCCGGCCGCCTTGCTTGGCGGGCACCGCGAGTTGCGCTCCTGGCACCATCGCACCACCTTTCTTTGTTCCAAAGGGTCTTCCTCAAGGCGGATCTGCAAGCCTCCACCACCTCAACATCTTCGTGCATACGATGCAGACTATGGACTTCGTGGGGTCTCTGGGTGGATCTGCCGAGGGGGAGAACGTGCCGAACAAACTCTACGAACCACAGTCGATCCCGACCCTCGGGACGACGTGTATCTAATAGACAAGCGCGTTTTATCACTCGCAAAGTAGCTACTCGCAGGTGGCCTGGATCTAACACAGGGAATTTACGATACCTTACACAAAGGCAGACGTATGATTTTTCGGACGTTTGCGAGTGGGCTCTTTGCGAGTAGCGGAACGCGCTCGGCGATCGAAGGGCGCTGATATGACCGCACACACACAGCAACGCTTGAAGACACCACGGCAAAACTCAGAACGGAACAGCACGTTGAACTATACTTTACGCTGTGCAAGACATCTTCAATCCTCACGTGCGGCACTGCCACCGCCGGCAATACTTAAACAACAGCAGCCGTCCTTCTCGCCGTAGTATGCCAGTGTATCTGGCAGGCCGATGCTGAGGTCTTTGACCTCCCGCGCTGCAATCAGACTCGGCATCATCATCGAGCCTCCATGCTGGAATCGGAACTGCTCGCTGACGCCGAAACACGCACCCCGCAGCTGCTGCATCTCGCACGCTCCATCTCGCTCGACGCTCGGCCTGAGAATGACGGCCCGTAATATCTTCCCACGCGATCGGGCCTACAGGGCGGAGAATCCCTCCCGCTTCAGAGATTTCCCTCCCATGCACCACGCATCCACATACACACTTTCTTGATTACTGCGCCATTGCAATTCATCTTCCTAGGGGGCTGACGAGGAGTGGGGCAAGCTAGTCCCGACGAGGCCCCGAGAAGGCAGTGGTGCTGCGACAACGTAGCGCCCCAGTCGCTCTGGGATGGGCCCGCCCTGCGCAAGATTTCCGCTCACGACCATGGAAAAGGCCGCGAGAAGTCCCACATACTTACAAGCATCCAACCAAACTGAGGTCAAGTTTTCAAGCCACGAGTCAGCCAACAAATTTATTGGCATGAAAGGCCGACCCGCCGCTAGGATTATTAGTGTGCATCAGGACCCAAGGTCAATCCATTCCAGATAGTGCGCGACACACACGCATAGCAAACGCCTAGCAAAACTCTGGGTCACCACAACGCCTTCTTCCAGCGTTGATCTCAGTGTGGCTCGCTGGGAGGCGGCACGATCAGGTAAACACTGCCAGGCACAGGCGTAATGACCGACCCCCCCTTGCCGCAAGCGTGACATATTACAGCGTGACCAACCCCAAGATGTGTTCTGAAGATGTCCCTCCTTGCACCCGCACGCCCAAGATACAAGAGAGAGCTCGAACTGTTTGCCCCCAAACCGCTGCCCCCTTCAAAACTGGCGCCGGGGCGCACCGTGAAAACACACTCGTAACATGATGACCACAACATAAACGACTGGCTACCAGGCCATCCCGACCCAACCCGAAGGCCCGAGCTTCGGATTGGGGGTGGGGGTACGGGTTGCACATGTGTTTTCGCAATGCTCCCCGACTCCCCCCACCGGACATGGAGGGCAAGTCGAGGCCTTCGGGTTGGGTTGGGGCGGTTTGGTGGGTGGCGAATAAGCGTGTCACGGACCTACGACAGTCGTAAGGGGGGGAGGGGGAGGGGGAGGAGGAGGAGGACGGGGAGGAGGAGGAGGAGGAGGAGGAGGAGGAGGAGGAGGAGGAGGAGGAGGAGGAGGAAGAGGAGGAGGAGGAGGAGGAGGAGGAGGAGGAGAAGGAGGAGGAGGGGCCCTACGAGCGAACGCACGACAGTCGTCGCCCCGCGGCGGCCCGATGCTGGGCGACGGGCGCGCCGCGAGGCGGGCGGGCCCTCGCGGAGGACCAGGCAAACGCGACAGCACGCGCGTGCCGCATCGACCTAGGAGTCCACACCTGGCCATCGCTCGGACGTCCATTTCCTGTGTTTTTTTTTCGGTTTCGTGCGTGGCTTTTTCGCCAAATGATCAAGGATGCTCCTCGATGGTCCTCGCCGAAGGAAAAATGCACACGTCCGAGCGATGCCAAGCCCAAGGACGGAGGCGAAACACACCCTCGCAGCAGGAAGCCCTGGCCGCCCCGTTCCGCAGAGCCTTTACCAGGGCGTCCTTGGCGCCCATGAACTCCATCACATCGGGCGACGGCCAAACCTGCTGCGTCGCAGAGGGTGGAAGCTAGCGTGGCACGTATGTTGTTACCATCCCCGGAACCACCGACATACACAACACAAAACCGCAATCGTCAAGCGCCCGCCAAAAGCGAGCCAGCATACTGACAAGATCTCCCAACAGCTTTTAAACATGAACACCTGCACTCATCGTCTGGTCATGGACGACAGCAGCTGGCCACCGTTGTGGACACAGCTGCCCCAACTGTAGTACGCCGAAACCTGATCGGACAAGAACGGGAAGCGGCGCTGTAGTCTAATGGGCGTTTTGGGCGAAGAAGAAAAGGAAGGCGAGGATAACGAGGAGTCGATGACGAGGACGACGTGGCGAACGTGAGGATAGCGAGGAGGAGCATGAGGAAAAACGAGGAGGAAGAGAAGCACAAGGACGAGGACGAAAAGAACGAGGACGAGTACGAGGAGGAATGCAGAGGGCGATGATGATGACGACGACGACGACAGAGGACAGTATGAGATAAGTGGGGAAAGACGTTGCTCCTGGCACCGCGCGGGGTTCTCTTGGGGCCTGTTGGGGGCTTCTTGGGGGCCCTTTGGGTCCTCTTATGGTCTTCTGGGGTCTTCTTGGGCTGTCTGGGCGCGTCGTGGGGTTCTCTGGGAGCTTTCTTAGGCCGTCTCGGCGCTGGGGGCCTCCTGGGTCGCTCCCGGGAGTCTCTTGGGGCCTTCTTGGCCCTTCTCGGGCCGTCTTGGGGTTCTTGTGAGCTGTCTGGGTGGCTCCTGGAGCGCTCTTGGGGGTCTCTTGGGGTCTTCTTGGGACGCTCTTGGGCGCTCCTGGGGCTCTCCGGGGCGTCTTTTGGGCCTCCCTTGGGCCTGTGGAAAGCCCTCCAAGAGCGATGCGAACACGACGTCGATGCGGAGTCCCCTCTTGGCCCGATGTTTGGAAGATGTCTCGAGCGAAACGGCAATTTTTCAACAATCTGTGACCCTCTTGGACTGGCCAGGCGTCTCTCGAGGGTCTGTGGGGGTCTCTTGGGCTGTCTTGGCGTTATCTTGGACTGTCGTGGGGCTCTGGGGGCCTGAGTGGGGCCCGTGGAGAGCATTTTGGGAGCCTCTTGGAGGCTTCTGTGACCCTCTTGGACTGTCCAGGCGTCTCTCGAGGGTCTGTGGGGGCTCTCTTGGGCTGTCTTGGCGCTATCTTGGACCGTCTTGGGGCTCTCTTGGCCAGTCCTGGGGCGACCGGTTGTTACTGTGGCCCGTTGGGTGTTAGTGTGGCCCGTTGGGTGTTAGTGTGGCCCGTCGCGCGGCGGGATGGGAGTTACTGTGGCCCGCGCAGGCCGCTCAATGAGAAGTAATATGTAAAGGTATCTCATGTTAGATCTGGAGAGATTCGCAACCCTTAAGGGAATGCACTCCCGCGCAGGCAAAAGTGGCCACAGTAACTCCCATCTGGAACCAACGTGGTAGTAGCGCTGTGTTAGTGGTGTGGTGGTCGCTGTGCTGTGTTCGTGGTGTGGTGTGGTGTTGGTAATGTTGTGTTAGTGGTGTGGTGTTGGTAGTGGAGGGTTGTGCTGTATGCTGTGTTAGTGGTGGGGTGTTGGTAGTGGTGTGCTGTGTTAGTGGTGTGGTGTTGGTAATGTTGTGTTAGTGGTGTGGTGTTGGCAAGGTTGAGTTGCTAGTAGGTAGTAGTGTTATGGTAGTGGCAGTGGTGCTGTGGTAGTGGTGTTGTGGTAGCGCTGTTGTGGTGTTGTGGTTGTGGTATTGTGGTAGCGGTGTTGTGGTGTTGTGGTAGCGGTGTTGTGGTGTTGTGGTACTGGCATTGTGGTAGTAGTGCTGTAGTGTGGTAGTACTATGGTGCTGTAGTGTTGGTGTTAGGTACTATCATTCATAGGGAGTACTAGTCCCTACGGAGTACTAGCCGCAGGGAGTGCTAGCCCCAGGGAGTACCAGTCCTAGGAATTACTACCCCAAGGGCGTATTCGTCCAAGGGAGTATTCGTCCTAGGGAGTACTCGCACTACGGAGTACCAGCCCTAGGGAATACTAGTCCTAGGGAGTGCTAGTCCGAGGGAGTGCTAGGAAGTAGTGGCGCTAGGGAGTGCTAGCCCTAGGAAGTACTGGCGCTAGGGAGTGCTAGCCCTAGGGCGCTAGGGACGACGAGTAGTAGTAGTAGTAGTAGTAGTAGTAGTAGTAGTAGTAGTAGTAGTAGTAGTAGTAGTAGTAGTAGTAGTAGTAGTAGTAGTAGTAGTAGTAGTAGTAGTAGTAGTAGTAGTAGTAGTAGTAGTAGTAGTAGTAGTAGTAGTAGTAGTAGTAGTAGTAGTAGTAGTAGTAAGTAGTAGTAAGGTAGTAAGTAAGTAGTAGTAAGTAGTAGTAAGTAGTAGTAGTAGTAGTAGTAGTAGTAGTAGTAGTAGTAGTAGTAGTAGTAGTAGTAGTAGTAGTAGTAGTAGTAGAAGCAGTCGTAGTCGTAGTCGTAGTAGTAGTAGTAGTAGTAGTAGTAGTAGTAGTAGTAGTAGTAGTAGTAGTAGTAGTAATAGTCGTAGTAGTCGTAATCGTAGGCGTAGTCGTAGTCGTAGTCGTAGTCGTAGTCGTAGTAGCAGTAGTAGTAGTAGTAGTAGTGGTAGTAGTAGTAGTAGTATCAGTAGTAGTAGTAGTAGTAGTAGTAGTAGTAGTAGTAGTAGTAGTAGTAGTATTAGTCGTAGTATTAGTAGTAGTAGTAGTAGTAGTAGTAGTAGTAGTAGTAGTAGTAGTAGTAGTAGTAGTAGTAGTAGTAGTAGTAGTTCGTAGTCGTAGTCGTAGTCGTAGTCGTAGTCGTAGTCGTAGTCGTAGTCGTAGTCGTAGTCGTAGTCGTAGTCGTAGTCGTAGTCGTATTCGTAGTCGTAGTCGTAGTCGTAGTCGTAGTCGTAGTCGTAGTCGTAGTCGTAGTCGTAGTCGTAAAAGAAAATAAAAAAAAAAAAAAAAGTGGTCGTATAGTAGTAGTAGTATAAGTGAATTTATAGTAGTAAAAAAAAAAAAGTAAAGTCGTAGTCGTAGTTCCGTAGTCGTATCGTAAAAGTCGTAGTCGTAGTCGTAGTCGTAGTCTTAGTCGTAGTCGTAGTCGTAGTCGTAGTCGTAGTAGTAGTAGTAGTAAGTATGTAGTAGTAGTAGTAGTAGTAGTAGTAGTAGTAAGTAATCAACGTAGTATTGGTAGTAAGTCCGTAGTCCGTAGTCGTAGTCGTAGTCGTAGTCCGTAGTCGTAGTCCGTAGTCGTAGTCGTAGTCCGTGTCGTATCGTAGTCGTAGTCGTAGTCGTCGTCGGAGTAGTAGTAGTAGTAGTAGTAGTAGTAGTAGTAGTAGTAGTAGTAGTAGTAGTAGTAGAAGAAGTCGTAGCAGTCGTAGTTCGGAGAGCCCAAGAGGCTCTTCCGAGAGCCCAAGAAGCGCTTCGGATGCCCCAAGAGGCTCTTCGGAGGCCCCACGGGGCTCTTCGGAGAGCCCAAGAGGCTCTTAGGCGGCTGCAAGAATGTCTTCGGCGGTTCCAAGAGGCTCTTCGGAGAGCACCAGAAGCTCTTACGAGAGGCTCTTCGGTGAAGGGGGGGCGGGTGCGGAGCCTTTTTGGACCTCCCCCCCCTCTTCGCCGTACTCGAGAATTAATACACTCCGGAGGACCCCTGGCCATACTAACACCCACCGGGCCGCTGGGGCCTCTTCTCGCGCTCGGGGGGGCCTCTGGGCGCCTCTTGGGGGCCTCTGGGCGCCTCTTCGGGGCCTCTTGGGGGTCTCTTGGGCCGTTTTGGGGGTCCCCTGGGGAGCCTTTTGGGGCTCTTTCGGGCCGTTTTGAAGCTCTCCGGGAGCGACTCCAAGACAATGCCAGTTCGGAGTCCCCTCCGAACCCGATTTGTTGAAGAGATCTCGAGCGAAACGGCAATTGTTGGGGCCGTTCGGAACGTTTTAGGAGCCTCTTGGAGGCTAATGTGACCCTCTTGGGCCGTCCGGGAGTGTCTCGAGGTGTGTGGGAGCTCTCGTGGGCTGTCTTGGCGTTCTCTTGGACTGTTTTGGGGCTCTCTTGGCCAGTCCCGGGGCCTCTTCGCGCGCTCTGGGGGGCGTCTGGGCGCCTCTGGGGGGCCTCTTGGGGGTCTCTTGGGCCGTGTCGAGGGTCCCCTGGGGGGCCTTTGAGGGCTCTTTGGGGCCGTTTTGAAGCCCTCAAGGAGCGACTCCAAGATAATGCCGGTTCGGAGTCCCCTCCGGAGCCGATTTTTCGAGGAAGTCTCGAGCGAAACGGCAATTTTTCCGGAACCTGACCGGACAAGAACGGGAAGCGCAGTTTTTTATCCACCACGTGCGTCAGAGACCGTATTGGCGAGAACTTCAGAGAACATCCCTGTTGCGTTTCCTGGCTTCGGCGCCGTCTTGGAGGTATCTTGGACGCTCTTGGGGCTGTCGTAGCCTCTGGCCTCTCGGGGGCCTCTTGGGGGAGTCCCGGGGGGGGCCTTCGGGTGCTCTATGGGGCGATATGAAGCTCTCAGGGAACTCCTGGAGCCTTTTCGCGCGTTCTGGGGGACTTCTGGCCGCCTCTTTGGAGCCCCTGGGGGGCTTCTTGGGGGTCTCTTGGGGCGTTTTGGGCGCTCTGGCGGGCCTCTGCCGCCCCTTGGGGGCCTCTTGGGGGTCTCTTGGGGCGCTCTGGGGGTCCTCTGGGGGGCCTTCGGGGGCTTTCTTGGGCCGTTTGGAGGCCCTCCGGGAGCGATTCCAAGATAATGCTGTTTCGGAGTCCCCTCCGGAGCCGATTTTTTGAGGACGTCCCGAGCGAAACGGCCAATTTTCCGGAACACGGCAGACCACACAGGAGCACGGCAGACCACACAGGACACGGCAGACCCCACGGGAGCACGGCAGACCACACAGGAGCACGGCAATCCACACAAGAGCACGGCAGACCATACAGGAGCACGCCAGACCATTTTGGGGAATCCGTTAACGAAAAATCCCGTGCAGCGCGGCAACCCATATAGTTAACGAAAAGATATATTTACTCAAGGATTCAGCCAGAACGTCCCGCTTGCTTGTCGTACCTCGAAGACGCTTCCCGTCATCCGCCAACGAGTTTCGGGATGGAGCCCGTACCCCTTAGTTAGAGAACCGCCAACGAGTTTCGGGATGGAGCCCGTACCCCTTAGTTTGAGAATCTCTCTCCCTCTCTATCTCTCTATGTCTCTCTCTTTCTCTGGCTTTAAGCCCCCAAAGCTTCAGCTTCAGCACGGCAGACCAGAACAGCAGACCCGCACGGCAGACCAACACAACACACCGACACGGCAGACGAGCACGGCAGTCCGGCACGGCAGACCAGCACGGCAGACCAGCACGGCAGCCCATAGGAACATAGCAGACCAGATCATGTCATTTACGCTGCTGTTGTTGGTGATGATCATGTTGCTGCTGATGGTGATGGTGATGCGTACGATGATGATAATGATGATGATGAGGAGGAGGAGGATGATGATGATGAGTATGAGTATGAGTATGGTGATGATGATGGTGATGATGATGATGATGATGATGGTGATGATGATGATGATGATGATGAGGAGGAGGATGATGATGATGGACTTCTCGGGGTGTGCTTGGGAGATGTTGGGGTCCTCTGGAGAGCCTTTGGACTAGCAGTTTAAATCTGCGTAGCCGTTGTAACCCGACTCTCGTTTTCTTCATCGGTCTGACCGGTTTATCAGCTTACACGGCACAGCGCAGCAACACGACAGACGGCAGCAGCACGGCAGACCAGGAAGGCAGACCACAGGAGCACGGCAGACCAGAACGGCAGACCAGAACGGCAGACCGCAGGAGCACGGCAGAGCAGCACAGCTGACCACAGGAGAACGGCAGACCAGCACAGCGTTGTTGCAGCAGACGGTGCTGATACACTCTTAATTTATTGAACACGTTCCCAGCGAAATCGTCATGGTCGGCCGTATTGAGGGCACTCTGCGGGTCATCTTTGGGCCGATTTTGTTTTTGGGGGGCCGTACTGATGCCCTCAAAAACGATTCCAAGACGACGTTAGACTCATTGTTTGTTTGATGATTGTTCGGCCGTCTTGAGGGCACTCTTAGGGCATAGTCTGCCGTGCTCCTCGTCTTGGTCTGCCGTGCTCCTCGTCTTGGTCATCCTTTCCGTCGTCTTGAGGGCGCTCTTGGTGCCTGGTCTGCCGTGCTCCTCGTCTTGGTCTGCCGTGCTCCTCTCGGTTTCAGTGCCTGGTCTGTCGTGCTCCTCGTCTTGGTCTGCCGTGCTCCTCTCGGTTCCTGCGCGCGGTCTGCCGTGCTCCTGTGGGGAGCACGGCAGACCACAGGAGCACAGGAGCAGGCAGACCACACAGGACAACGGGCAGACTACCCTCGATTTTTTGAGGATGTCTCGAGAAAACAAAAAAAAAAAAAAGAGAAAAAAAAGCGAAATGGCCCTTTTGGGGAATCCCGCCAAGTGGTCTGCCGTGCTCCTTCTTGGTCTGCCGTGCTCATGTGGTGTCTGCCGTGCTCCTGTGCGGTCTTCCGTGCGAACGTGTGGACTGCCGTGCTCCTTTGGGGTCTGCCTTGCTCCTTTGTGGTTTGCCGCGCTCCTGTGTGGTCTGCCGTGCTCCTGTGTGGTCAGCCGTGCTCCTGAGGCGTCTACGGTGCTCTTTTGGGGTCTGCCGTACTCATTTGGGGTCTGCCGTGCTCCTGTGGTCGGCCGTGCTCATTTGGGGTCTGCCGCGCTCCTGTGAGATCTGCCGTGCTCCTGTTGGGGAAACGCCAGCGGCGTTCGGGGTACAACAAAAAGGCGCGTTTATGTTGTACCCGCGCGCGGTCTGCCGTGCTCCGGTGGGTTCCGCCGTGCTCCTGTGGCGTCTGCCGTGCTCCTGTGGCGTCTGCCGGGCTCCTGTGTGGTCTGCCGTGCTCCTTTGTGGTCTGCCGTGCTCCTGTTGAGTCTGCCGTGCTCCTGTGTGGTCTGCCGTGCTCTTGTGGTCTGCCGTGCTCATTTGGGATTTGCCGTGCTCATGTGGGGTCTGCCGTACTCCTGTGTGGTCTGCCGTGCTCCGGTGGTCTGCCATGCTCCTTTGGGGTCTGCCTTGCTACTGTGGGGTCTGCCGTGCTCCTGTGTGGTCTGCCGTGCTCCTGTGGTTTGCCTTGCTCCTGTGTGGTCTGCCGTGCTCCTTTTGGGTCTGCTCTGCCGTGCTCCTGTGGGTTCTGCCGTGCTCCTGTGGGGTCTGCCGTGCTCTTGTGGGGTCTGCCGTGCTCTTGTGTGGTCTGCCGTGCTCCTTTGTGGTCTGCCGTGCTCCTGTGTGGTCTGCCGTGCTCCTGTGTGGCCTGCCGTGCTCTTGTGTGAGCTGTGAGCTGCGGGGCCTATGAAGGCTAAAGGAGCCCGAGGCCCGCGGAGCACGTTGGCCCCAGGGCCTCCAGAGCCAACCAACGGGGCCTCGAAGGAGCCGCCGACGGGGAGGGCGCGAAGCGCCAGAAGCGCGAAGCGCCCAGATTTCAAAAAAAACAAGAATGCAGGCGGAGGCGAGGGCACGCATAGCGAGGCCAACCATGCCTGCCTCGCTGCAAACAAGACGCGAGGCCCACACTCACAACAAAATGACGAAAGGCCTCACGAACCACGAGGTGAGGTCAGCGCACGCATTGCCAAAGCCAAACAGGCCTGACCTCGACGAGAGGGCTGACGCACACAACAAAATGACGGTGCAGCCTCCCGAAACCTCACATTGGCCAGCACACGCATTGCACTCGCCGAACGCGCCTGACCTGCAGAGGACGAGAGGGCAGAAACTCACGACAAAAGACTGAGCAGCCTCACGAACCTCAAGGGTGATGGCCAGCACACGCAGCCGACGCTAACATGCCTGACCTCGACGTGAGGGCTGAAACACGCAACAAAGGAAGGTGCAGCCTCACGAACTCACAGAATGAAGGTGTCTGCTACCTGCAGACCACGAGGGAGGACGGACACAACAGGAAGAAGATGATGATGCTGCATCACGCCCCCTCGCCTTCATCAGCGCGGCGGCGCCGCTTGCGCCTGTCCTCGCGCGCCTCCTCAGCCGCGGCCGACCACTCGAGAAGGCTCGCCTCGTCCAGGCCGTAGGCGCTCAGCCATGCCTCCCTCGAGGCCCCCGCGGGGCCAGGCACCAGCGGCGCCGCCGCAGCCTCGCCAGCGGCCGGCGCGCCGCTGGGGGGCCCGTGGCTGGCGCTGGCGGCATCGCCACCAGGGGCACCGTCCTCGGGACGGACGCCCAGCCACTGCAGGAAGCGCACCCTGGCGTCCATCGGCACCACGTCCTCCTTGCGAAGGCTGGGCACCGCCGCGCCGACCCGCTTGTTGCCGCTGTGGGGCGTGCCAGCAGGATGCCGCCCCTGCAGCCAGCGTGCCTTCTGGTCGCGCCTGCCCTTGGGAAGCCCAGCAGACCCTGGGCATTGCTCCTTGAGCTTGGGCGCCGCGCCTGAGCGCCCGCCAAGCCGCGCGTACGCCCCGCAGTGGGTGCACGCCATCAGCTCCTGCTCGGCGGCGCCCTCCCCGCACTTGGCGAAGGCCAGGACGTGGCCAGCGAACACGAAGGCCGTCGCACCGAGGGATACTCCACCAGCGCGCGCCGCCGAGGCCCACCCGTCGCCCGAACCCGAGTCGACCTGGCGGCGGCGGGCAGGCTCCACCACGGGTACGGCGAAGGAAACAGCCCTCCGCTCGCTGCCCTCTGGCAGGCCCTCGCAGTCCTTGACCTCGATCCCCTGCCAGATGAGGGAGGCCTGCGCCACCCAGCATGAGAGCTCCCTCACCACCTCCATCGTGCCGAAGAACTCCCGCCTGGCCACGGGGCTGGAGCGGTCTGCCGTGCTCCTGTTGGTCTGCCGTGCTCTTCTGTGGTCTGCCGTGCTCCTATGGGGTCTGCCGTTGTTCGGCCGTCTTGAGGGCACTCTTAGGGCATAGTCTGCCGTGCTCCTAGTCTTGGTCTGCTGTGCTCCTCGTCTTGGTCATCCTTTCCGTCGTCTTGAGGGCGCTCTTGGTGCCTGGTCTGCCGTGCTCCTCGTCTTGGTCTGCCGTGCTCCTCTCGGTTCCTAAGCCTGGTCTGCCGTGCTCCTCGTCTTGGTCTGCCGTGCTCCTCTCGGTTCCTACGCGCGGTCTGCCGTGCTCCTATGGGAGTCTGCCGTTGTTCGGCCGTCTTGAGGGCACTCTTAGGGCATAGTCTGCCGTGCTCCTCGTTTTGGTCTGCCGTGCTCCTCGTCTTGGTCATCCTTTCCGTCGTCTTGAGGGCGCTCTTGGTGCCTGGTCTGCCGTGCTCCTCGTCTTGGTCTGCCGTGCTCCTCTCGGTTCCTAAGCCTGGTCTGCCGTGCTCCTCGTCTTGGTCTGCCGTGCTCCTCTCGGTTCCTACGCGCGGTCTGCCGTGCTCCTGTGGGGAGCACGGCAGACCACAGGAGCACGGCAGACCACACAGGAGCACGGCAGACCACACCTCGATTTTTTGAGGATGTCTCGAGCGAAATGGCCGTGGTCTGCCGTGCTCCACACGGGAGCACGGCAGACCACCTGCTCATTTTCTGAGGACGTCCCGAGCGAAAACGTCATTTTTAACATAAGAGGTTCTAAAACACCTCTGTCGGCATCTCATTTGTTCGAGGATGTCTCGAGCGAAACGCTCATTTTTCATGCATACAAAAATTTTTGATATTTTTCAACATCCCATTTTTTTGAGGATGTCTCGAGCGAAACCGTCACTTTTGACAGAAGACGTCTTAAACGATAGCCTCCAATACCTCGATTTTTCGAGGATGTCTCGAGCGAAATGGCCATTTTGGGGAATCCGCCAACGAATTCCCCCGTGCGATGGCGCAACCCATAGATATAAAGATATATATATATATATATATATATATATATATACTCAAGGATTCAGCCAGAACGTCCCGCTTGCTTCTCGTACCTCGAAGACGCTTCCCGTCATCCCGTGCGGCGCGGCAACCCATAGATATAAAGATATATATATATATATATATATTTACTCAAGGATTCAGCCAGAACGTCCCGCTTGCTTCTCGTACCTCGAAGACGCTTCCCGTCATCCGCCAGCGAGGTCCGGGATGGAATCGGTGGCCCTTAGTTAGAGAAAATGAAGCTCCAGAACCAACGGTGCACGCCGGAGGCGCTTCCCGTCATCCGCCGACGTGCCTTGTGCACGTTGAGGCGTGGAAGAATGCCCAGGGCCGTATGGTAGGGTTCCTGTATTCTAAGAAGGGCCCCTGAACCTTCGTCACGTATCCCTGCATGCATCGCCCCCACCCCCGAAGACACGATCCCTCGTAAACAAACCGGTGGAGCCGCGCTCCTTGGGTCACGATCCCTAGCACAAGCCGAAGGATACGCGTACCCAGTTTCCAAGACGGCCCATGCAAGCAACCAAGACAACCACGATAGACCAAGGAGCCTCGAAGACGTCCCACTATGGCCCCAACGGGGCTCAATCAGGCATCAAGACCGCCCAGAATGCCTCCAAGAGGGCTTCCGTCAGCTCAAGAGGGCCCAAGAGGCCTCCACGATTTCCCCAAGACGGCCCAAGAGGTTCCCACAAAGCTCCCAAGTCGGCCCCAGAGGTCCTACGATGGCCCAATACGGCCCCACGACGGCCCACGACACCCACCATACGGCCAAGAAGGCTCCAAGCCCCAAGACTGCGTGACAGAGACCCACGACGGCTCAAGACAGCCCCAAGGGACCCTCAAGACTGCCGCACAGGAGACAAAAACAGCCTCAAGACGGCCCAAACGGGATACATGAGATCTCCTCAAATAGTGAATGCAAAACATGTAACATATGACTGCCTTCCTCTTGCTCCTGTTACTCCTCCTCTTCCTTCTCCTTCGCATCCTCGTCATCAGCATCACCTACACAACGCCACCACAATACTCATCATCATCATCATCATCATCATCATCATCATCATCGTCATCATCATCATCATCATCATCATCATCATCATCATCATCAGCATCCTCATCCTCAATAAGCATCCTCGTAAACATCATCACCAGAATCTACACATCATCAACATCATTATCATCAACACCGACATTATAATCATCGTTACCACCACGGCCCTCCCAAACCAAAAGACATGAGGTGCCACACGTGACGGCCTTCCGTGTCCCCTCGAACCGTCGCCACTCAGAATGCTAGGCTGGCACGGTGGCCAGACTTGCCGCAGGCAGCTGGATACGCGTGACAGACGCAGCGAATGGGAAATGTGGACTTCTGGGGGCCTCCAGAATTCACGAAACATCCCATTAAATGCGCAATACGATCGTGCGTTCGAACAATCTAGCCTTCTTCATGCGTGCAATGATTGCAAATCTTACGATCACGGCAACGAAAACCATGGGCGCGACCTGCCAGCGCCTGCATGGCGGTGAAATTGACAAGCAAACGATAAGTTTGAATACGTGCGCTGCCAAAACGTGCTTGCGTCTCAAGCTCAGCCCTTCACCGGCTGACCTTGTGCCAGAACAGTTGAATGGACGCAGATCATCAATTTAGCGCAGGCACCTTCTGCACAAAGCATTGGAAGCACGCAACACGCACATGCACTTTGTATTCCAGTTTGCCATTATCACGCTTGGCACTTGTATGTCTGTTGCACGTTTCATTGTAATCCCAAATGCAAGTTCTTTCTGGTTTACTTTCAAGACCTCTAAACGTAAGAATGTGTGGTTCGGGCGGGGCGTTCTGCCTGGCGATGTCATTCACCACCAAAGGACATCCACATGCATGTATGGCGTGCGCGCGGGGTCCTGACGCATTCCTGAACAATGCGCGAAAATGTTTTCTGGAGTTTCGCCTTCCCCCCCCACTTCCCACATGTTCCATCATTCTCCGGGACATCGACGACTCTCTGTGCCCGTGTCCTTGCCCTCCTGAAACGTGCGCGACGAATGCAAATGCGCTCAACATCTGCCCCTGGACCTCTCCCTTGGCCGAGCCTAACAGGGCCTTCGAGCCGCGTCCGGCCGTGGCGACGGGGGGAACCCCTCTCTCCCCCGCGACTCCCCATGACTGCCGGCCGGACCCGAATGCTGGGCCCCACCTCCGAGCTCCAAACCTCAACCTCGATCTGTTCCAAGAATAGAAGGCAGAACATCCACCCCTATAAGAACCACCCCGACACGCGAGGCCTCAAGTAAACGCGCCCAAAAGCAGGAACCGAACAGGGCAGGGCTGTTTAGTAAACGCCCAGGGCCGTTTCGTAAACGCCAATTTGTCCGGTCCGGGTGGTTTTTCCTCCCTTGAAAGAGGGCACGGATGTATAGGTCCTCCTCCTCCGTCACCCTCGGGGCCAGAAGTGTAGAGACCTCCTATGAGGTCCGAGTGGAGGGGATCGGAGTATCGCGCCGCATCGCCGACGCATCGGCGGTCGGCGACGTCGGCGAAGCATCGGCGCCATTGGCGTGGAGAAGTTCTGGCTCCGCATCAAGCCGCATCGTCGATGCATCGGCGACGCGGAGCGATCCTTCGACCCCATCTACTCGGACCCAATTTGGGAGGCCTGGAATTTCTGGATCCTGCTCCTCCGCCTCCCCGCTCGGTGAGTGGCAACGGTAGGGGGGACTGGCTGAGGGGGGGGCATCGACCTGGAATCGGCGATACATCGCCGATGGATCGTCAGGCCCCCGATAATTAACGAATCCGCACGTTCCAGGGCGTGTTGGGCTATCGGGACCCTGTCGGCGATCAATGGGCGATTGGGTGTCGTTGCGGTTCCCCCTTAAGTACATCCCCTGCTAGCGTTACCCCTGACCTTGCTTCCCTGGTTTTCGGACCACAGCTCGGGCCTCTGGCGGCCGCTCGAGCGATTCTGGAACCCCCAGGACGCTCTCGATGAAGCGAAGCTGACTGAAGTCGCCCCGAGCTTCGAAAACTGTCGACGACTCCCGAGCCTAGCGCAGAACGAACTTACCACGATTTCTCGGAGGCCCGGGTGGATTTCTTGCATCTGCCCTCGCCCCCCTCCCTGTCGCGCGGAGCGCGCCAGGGGGGTGAGGCCCAGCGCCGATCCGCAAACCCCGCGCGGACCGTCGGAAGTTCATGATGCTGCAGTTCTTTGCTCTTCGACTGGCGCAGCGCGGGTCCAAGGAACCCGTGCAGAGCGCCAGACGTCTGTTTATGCTGGTTTTCTTCTTCTTCTTCTGGGCCAGGGGCAGCGCCAGTCGAGGAGCGAGCACCTGCAGAATCATACCACTCTCGACGGCCCTCGCGGAGTTTGCGGATCGGCGCCTCCGCGCGCCAGGGAGAGGGGGGCGAGGGTAGATCCGAGACATCCACGCGGCCCTCCGAGAAACCATATCAAGCACGTTTTTCTCTTCTTCGGTGCCTGGGGCCGGGAGAGCCGGGGACGCACTGACCCGGGCCAATCCAAACCCGGGTCAGTCGGGCGCTGCGGGCTCCTGCAAGACCCCGCAGGATCCTGCACCCCGAGCCCGGGTCGGTGCAGCCCCGGCCCTGCATGGGCTACTCGCAAGAGTGACCCTGGGTAGGAGTGACCTCTAGTGCGTGGCTTTTTAGGGGCCGCGGGGCGACCAAACACAAGCGCGCAAGACGACACTATCGCATCGCGTCCGACGGCCGGGGCACCCCAATGGGCCCGCACCGGAGGTCACTCCGGCGAAGGGTCACTCTTACACGTGTAGTCGACACTGCAGGCCCTGCGCAAGGCCCGGCGCGCTGACGGACCCCCCTTCCCGACGCCTCCTAAATGGGGTCGGAGCAGATGGGGTCGCAGGATCTCGGCATCGCCGTTACATCGGCGATGCATCGCCGTTGCATAGCTGCCATCTACTCCGACCCCATCTAGGAGGCCTAGACCTTCGCACGGACCCCTTCTCTCTTGGGCCCCGGGAGAGCCCCGATGGCTCTCTGGCGCAGCTCCCGCAGCGCGCCGTCGAACTTGGCTGGCCGTGGGGGGGGGGGGCGGGGGCGGCGCGCGGGGGGGGGGGGGGGCGGGGCGCGCGCCCCGCCGCTCCCCGCGGGCGCCCGCTGGGGGGGGCCCGGGCGCCAGGGCTCCGGCCCCTCCCCGCCGTGCAGGGGGCACCTCCTGGAGGCCTTCGCGTCCGCAGGAAGCAGGTCGGGCGTGTTCCCCTATACAGGCGGATGTTGGACGAGAGACATAAGAAATAGTCAAACCATATGTACCAACAGAAACAATCGCAAACACGTCGTCCCCTGACTATTGCTGGCCTATGTTGGAGGAGAAACAAAGAGAAACAGTCAAACCATACACCAACAGAAACAATCGTAAACACGTCGGCCCCGGACTGTTGTTGGCCTAGTTCTTCCTCCTGTAGAGGGACGGGCCCGACTGCACCGCAGGATCGTTTTCTCGGCGGCCAGCCCGGGGGGGAAGCGAGAGGGGGCGGGCCTGCTCCCCGGGGGGGACGCCAGACTCGGGCTCCGAGGCCTCGGCTGGCCCGAGTGGGCCATCGTGTACGGGACGTGAAAACGACCACAGCCGCTGCTTCTCTTTTGTTGCCGCCTTCCAGCCAGCAGAAACAAAGCGGTGGTTGTGGTCCTTTTCGTTCAGCTGACCGCTGCTTCTTTTTCGGCCGGCTGGAAGGCGGCGCAAACAAGAAGCAGTGGCTGTGGTCATTTTGACGAACGAACAACACACACCCATATCCAGAAGGGGGTCGTTGGGAGGAGGACTGGCTACGGGTATGGGTGCGGGTTGTCGGACCCTAGGGAACGCTCCGGTTCGAGCGGGAACCCCCATCCGACAACACGCACCCATAGCTCTTTCCGACCCCCCTTATGGGTATGGGTATGTGTTGTTGGTTCGTTAATTTTCCCGTCCCGCATCGTGACACGTGGCGAGGCCCCTTCTGTGAAGCTTGGCGCGAGCTCCCGCGGCAGGCCTCCCGCGAGGACTGGACCGCCCGAATCCCACGCGGGCCCGTGCCTCGGGCTGGCCTGAGTGGGCCACCGTGACAGCATGGCGAGACCCACTCTGCGAAGCTCGGCGCGAGCTCCCGCGGCAGGCCTCCCGCGAGGACTGGGCCGCCCGAGTCCCCACGCGGGGCCCGTGCCGAGGGCGGCCCTCATGCCCGAGCGCCAGCGCTTGCCGGGGCCTCGCGTGCCCCCCCCCCCCGAGCCGAGAGGGCCCCGGAGGCCCCGGAGGCCTTCCGCGGGAGGCGGTCTCGAAGGGGACCTTCCTGGGACACCAATGAATACACACACACATAATACAGGGCAGCTTTCAATACATAGGATTTTTAAACATATCGGATTTTCAATACACGATCAATCTATGAATAGATTTGTGCACGAACTCATCGTTGTTTTTAATACTGAACCCATGCATTTGTAATACATGATCCGCACGCGGAGCATGTATTGAAAACGGCACTGTAGGATTCCCAATCTTTTCCCTCCTGCATTCTGGGCCTCTCCCCCGAAGGCGCCGAAAGCCTCTCGGGAGGGCGGGAGGCCTCCTGAGAAGCCCCGCCGCAGTCTGAGGAGGCCTCCTCGCTCTCGCCTCCTCCCCTCGCTCGCCGCCGATATGCGGTGGCCACTCGTGGGAGCCTCCCACGCCATCTTGCTGGCTCTTGCAAACCGACGCTGATCGACGCTGATCGGAGCTACATCGGCGCTAGTCGGCGCGTTGTCATCGAATACCGAACAATTGCGCACGCCAATACACCCTAAAAACCGAATTACGGGAACCGTCGAGGCTCCCATGGTTCGCCAGCGAACGATTTTGTTATGGGCCAGTAGGCCCGATGCAGACACCATTGAATTCGGTCAGGTCGGATTGCGCCCAGGATTTAATCGGCTGGAGCGGAATGAACCGAGTATCGTTTAACCGATCCCCATCCCCAGCGGCGTGCCTCGGCGAGGAAGCCAAAATCATTGATTTTAGCAGGGTTTTGGCCCCATTTTGGCCTCCTGGGGGGGCAACGCTAATTAAAGCTCAGCTCTTCTTTGATAGATCTCCTCCAAGATGGCACAAAGAAGCGCCCAGGAGGCCCCAAGAGGTCCCAAGATGGCCCCAAGATGGCCCCAAGAGGCCCCCAAGAGGCCCCCAGAAGGCCCCCAAGAAGACCCTCAGAGGCCCCAAGAGGCCCCCCCCCCCCGAGGCACCCAAGACCCCGAAGAGCCCCCCAGGATCGCCAAGAGACCCCCAAGACGTCCCAAGAGGCCCCCAAGAATCGCCCAAGAGATACTCCAAGAGGCTCCTAGAGGCATCCAAGAGACCTCTGGCCCTTGTGCTTGCCCTCCTCCTCCTCCTGTTCCTCCTTCCTGCTCCTACTCCTTCTCTTCCTCCTCCTCCTCCTCCTCCTCCTCCGCCTCCTCCTCATCCTATTCATCCTCCGTCTTCCCACTCCCTCATCCATCCATCCATCCACCTCCTCCTTCTCCTCCTCACTCCTTTGCACGGTTCGGCCGTCCTCCTCTTTGCTGCCGCACTTCCCTGATCACCTCAACTCGCCTGGATATCGCTTCGGGATGGGCTGGTGGGGATAAGCGAAGCGTCAAGAATTCGGTCAGGTCGGATTCGGATTGCGCCCAGGATTTAATCGGATGGAGCGGAATGAACCTAGTATCGTTTAACCGATCCCCATCCCCAGCGGCGTGGCCTGGGCCCCACTGGCCGATTCGCCCCCCTAGATGGGGATGCAGGTCGTTCCCTTCGGGTTTCGAGGGGCGTATCCCCGACTGGGGTGGTCATGTGGTGGGGGTCTCGAAGGGGATGGGGATGGGGATGGTGGTTTTCGCGCGTGGTTTTTTCGCGAAATGATCAAGGATGTTCCTCGATGGCCCTCGCCGAAGGAAAAATGCACACGTCCGAGCGATGCCAGGATTCACGTTCGTTTGCGTCCATTCTTCGTAAGTCGGGCATGTCCCTCTACAGGAGGACCATCCAAAAAAAGTATCAAGACAGTGCAGGGCGATTTTTGGATCTGTTCTGTTTTATGTTTGAATGATTTTTGAACCTGTTCTCTTCTTCGTCCACAATCCGCCTGTAGGGGGACATACCCAACCTGACATTAGCCGCTCCCGATTCACAAGGGACGAACATAGCCGTATCCGGTATCCTCGGGAGCGGCCAAGAGGGGGGTGTCCAAAAGGGGGGGGTGCAAATCATGACCGGCGGCATGTGCGCGACCCAGCGGGGGGGTCAGGGACGTAATGAAATATGAGGAGGCGCCATGATGTCTGGGGAAATGTCATGGCCCCCGCCATGATACCCACTCCCCCTAGTCCCCCCCTCTTTTCTGCCCCCGAGTATCTGGTATCCCCGACCTCGCGGCCTGGATTCCGGGGCGCGAGCCCGTGGATGCCCAACCGTGCGGAGACTGAGGAGGAGGAGGAGGAGGAGGAGGAGGAGGAGGAGGAGGAGGAGGCAGAGGAGGAGGAGGGGAGGAGGAGGAGGAGGAGGAGGAGGAGGAGGCAGAGGAGGAGGAGGAGGAGGAGGAGGAGGAGGAGGAGGAGGAGGAGGAGGAGGAGGCAGAGGAGGAGGAGGAGGAGGAGGAGGAGGAGGAGGAGGAGGAGGTCTCTCTGCGCGGGGCATCCGCTAGCAAAAAAAGATGCCCCTCCTCCGCGGGGCCGCCCGGCCTGCGGGGGGCCGCGGGTGCGGACGCGTCTCTCGACCACGGCCCTCGACGTCATCTCGTTGCTAGGGGGCAAACAAACCTACCTCGCTTTTGACCACCCTCGCTTCCAAGAGATACCAAGCGATGCCAAACTACGGCCTGTACTGGTCAGGCCGCTTGACGAGGAGGCGCGTGGTACGACATGGTTTTGCCTGGAAGCGAAAGCGGGGTAGGTAATTCACGCTCTGAGATGCTCAGATCACGGTGGAGGGCTCTTGACAACTTTCGGCCTCGGGAGGCCCTCACCGTCAGGTACCACTCTCGGCTATGCGCAAGGGTGACCCTGGGTAAGAGTGACCTTTGGTGCGCGGCTGCTGCTGCTTCGTTTTCAGCCATTTGGGGACCCATCTGTGCCCGCACCAAAGGTCACTCCGGCGAAAGGACACTCTTACGTCTAGTCGACACTCAGGGTGAGAAGGCGGCCCCCGGGACGGGAGGAGGGGCCCAGGCCTCTGGGGTGCTGCCTTGCCGAAGAAGCACGGCATCGCATGTCTGGGTGGGGAGGCAACTCCTGGGAGGTCTTCGTCAGAACGGTTAGGGACTGATTAGGGGCCATCAAGCCCGATGAAAAGGCCATTGGGCCAGGTCAGGCCAGATCAGAACCACGATTAACCTGGACAAGGCTGGATTACGCAGAATCGAATGGGACTATGCCAGACAAGGCTGGCTTTAGAGCAAGGATGTACTAGCGTCGATGCTGAATTCGACCTCCCTGGAGTTGCATCCTGACCCCCCGCCAGTACCAGCTTGGAACATACCCCTGTCCCAAATGTATGCATCCCCTCACTTTGGCGCCGATCTCGAGGATTCGCCCAAAGTCTCTGAGGGCACACACTTGAGATTGTCATCCTGGGGATGGGCTGAATTGGCGGCGCGCCCGGGGGGAAGCGAGAGGCGGCGGGCATTATCAGAAGGCTCGGAAGTCCCTCAGCTGTCTGAGCAGTTTTCTGAGCCTTCCCCGAAGACAAACAAAAACAACTTCTCGGAAGGCGCGCGGGCTTCTGAGCAGTCCCGCCGCCTCCTGAGAAGGCCTTTTCCTTCTCACTTCCCCTCCTCGCTCGCCGCCGACTGCTACCCCGCCGTTCCTGCTGCATCTGATGGGGGCCTCGTCTGTCCCGTCGCGCCGCTGTGCGCGCCGACAAGCCCGCGCCAAAAAGCAAAGTGCCGAACGCGTCGCGTCGCAGCTGCACCGGCTCCGCGCCGCGTCCGCGCCGGATGCGAGAAGGTACTCCAGATGTTGTAATTAATAAAAGGGAGGGGGTCTGAAACCCTCCCAGACGAGAAGTTTTAGACCCCCCCCCCCTGGGAGAACCCTCCAAAACATCGTCCCCAGACCCCCCCAGGCCCTCCAAGATAGCCTGGAAGAGACCCCCCCCGAAATGAGACCCCCTCCCTTTGTAACAAAATCTGGAGTACCGCAGCTTGCGGGACCTGCGAGGCGCCCCGACGATGCAGCGTAACCACCCCCGCCGCGCCACTCCCCGCTGCCCATCGCCGTGCCTCCCTTGGGTTGGCGGCGAGCCCGCGGGGGAAAGGAGGAGGGGCGGGCCTTCTCCGAAGGCTCGGCAGTCCCCCGGGCCGTCTGATCAGTTTTTCGAGCCTTCCCCGAAGACAGGAACGAGCCGCTCAGAGGGCGCGAGGGCTTCTGAGAAGTCCCGCCGCCTTTCTGAGAAGGCCTTCTCACTTCTCCCCCCTCGCTCGCCGCCGACTGGAGGGCACCTCCAGGGACCCTGCCCTCCGCCGCTGTCAGCTTGTTGCCCGAGGACCTCGACCCTTGCCCACGCCGAACCATTCTGCTGTGAGCGGTCCTGAGGCAGGGAGGCGGCCTTCATGATGACGACGACGCCCCAAACACGGCCGCCACGCTTTCTGCTGTACCGCCTGGAGATGAAGGGGGGCTCTACACGGAACCTGCGAAAGATCAGATCGTTGCAGTCGGACCTGGGACAGACTGACACCCTTGAAGGACATGAGACCCCCCGCCGGCCAAAACACGCAGAGCATCCAAGGGTGCCCCCCCCCAGGGATGCACAAGAGCATCCAACAAGCACGAAGAACATTAGGATACCCTCCCCGAACCGACCTCGATCTCATACCTCGGTCCGACTGTAATGCCGATTAGAGGGGCCACTGGGCTGACTCCGGCCAAACTCGGCGCAGGAGTGAATCGGATCAGGCGGCAAGATGAGGCATGACCAGGCCCGAGGAAACACCAGCGCCGATGCCGAGTGAAGCTTCTCATGAGCTGCAACATAACCTGCACCCCCCCTCGGTGTGCCTCCTACTGCCCGGAGGAGGGGGAGGAGAAGGAGGAGGAGGAGGCGGAGGGGGACGAGGAGGCGGAGGACGAGGATGAGGAGGTGGAGGAGGACGAGGAGGACGAGGACGACGACGAGGAGGAGGAAGAGGAGGAGGAGGACAGGAGAGCAGAAGGCAGCGGAGGAACAGGAGGGGAGGAGGAGGAAGCGGACAAACAAGAGAAGATACCCTCTGTGGTGAGACTGGTCCGTTTTCATGCTCCTGGTCTGGTCCCTGGTGCGCGACTCGCCTTGCATCAATGCCGCAAGCGTTACCGCCAACAGAACAACATGTTCGTCTGTAGTGTGCACGTTGCGGCACCCTAGCCCACACCACCAAATGCACGTCAAGCTGAGGCGCCTGTCCAGAGAGAAATTATATGAATCCCGTTTACTTGTTTGCTCTTCCAGGCTCCGCTCGGTAAACGACCAGTATGAATCGACGAGGTTTGGCTTGGTGAATAGATGGGACAAAGATCGAACACCATCCTCTCATGATAATTACCCCTTCGGCTAAGCGTGCATACAAGCCAGTCGAGATCGGCACAGCGTGTGCTCTTCTTTCGAATACGAGAGAGAGAGAGAGAGAGAGAAAAAAAAAAAAGAGAAATAGAGAGAGAGAGAACAATACAAAACAAAACAACGTGCCTTGGTCTCCGCCGTCAGCTGCAATCTGGCCTTGCCGGCGATAGACGCACAGCCACCATGGCCAGGAAGGCTAACAACTAGAGCAAGACTTCTCCCTACGACTCAAACTTCGCCTATGGCCCTGTTGGGTGGGGCAGGATCAATCAACATCGAATCGGGAAATCAGGTCGCACCGGAATGTACATCGCGGCATCGGGCTGCATCATAACAGAGCCGACATCGGATAGGACTGGCCGCGTCAGGATGCGCAGTGGCGCCATGCGAGCATTGGGCCGCATCGGTCTTCGGAAAAGCGAGATCCAAAATCGATATCGAATCGGATCACTCGGACCGAAATTGACCCTGACGTGCCCTCCTCTTCTTCCTCCTCCTCTTCCTCCCCAATCCCACTACGTCGTGTTTTTTTGTAACGTGGATCCCTTATTTTTTTTGAGGTGGAGGAGGTGGAGACGGAGGAGGAGGAGGAGGAGACGGAGGAGGAGGAGGCGGAGGAGGAGGCGGAGGAGGAGGGGGAGGAAGGCCATTTGGAGGAGGAGTGGGGGAGGGGAGAAGGAGGAGGACGAGCGGGAGGAGGAGGAGGAGGAGGAGGAGGAGGAGGAGGAGGAGGAGGAGGAGGAGGCGGCGGAGGAGGAGTGAACCCAGTCCCCTGGTTTAGTTTCTGTCATGCCGAATCGTTTCTTGGAGGCCCCTGGGGCCTGCCAGCAAGAGGCACCCGGCGGCCGAGCCAACGGGACCCCCCAAACTCCCGCCAGCCTTTTGGTCACGGCGCTGAAGGGGCCCAGGGGCACACACATGAATACACACAGATCCCAGGATCCCACATCGTTTGCCAAGCTTCCTGGGTGCTCGTCTTCCCCCCCACTTCCCACATGCTCCCCCATTTTCCTGGGGATCGACGATTGACTGTGTCGGTGTGTTTCTCCCCTCCTGAGACGCGAGGTGGTCTGCGGTGACCCTGTGGTGATGCGCTCGACATCGAACCGCCTCTCCCAGCAGCATCGGCCCGAGGCGGCACGCCGCTGCCGCGCACTGGCACACACAGCGGCGAAGAGCCAGCATGTGAGACGACCAGGCCGCCGACCTGGGCCCAACATGAGACTTGCCAACACGCGCGGGATGGTCGATTGACGCCGCCCCACCCTACGCGCGCCCAAAGCACCCGCGACCCAAATTTTCGGCAACGGATTGCGATCGCGCCAAATCTCGGTCGCGACCGGAGGGAGGATAACGTCGGCAGCGGAGAGGCGGCGCGTGGGGGTCCAAGAGCGAAGCTCGAAGACGTCGACGGTTCGCTCCTTACCGGGATGGGCGACAAGAAGGCACAACTTCGGCCGCGACCAGTTCGTCCCGAGCGTTGCCGGAAATGTTCGGTACCAGATGACCTGAGGGCCCCTTCCTCGGGACTGGCTTCTCATGCCGAGTCGTCTCTGGGCGGTCCCGGGGCACGGCGAGGACCCCAGGAGGCCGAAAGTGGCAAGCGCCGTCCGTCGTGATGCTTCGGCAGCGCGAAGGCATGCTGATCTGGGCAGTTGACGTCGCCTGGTCTTACGCGCGGCCGACGAGAAAACCCCTGGATTGCACGGTTCCCCCCCCCCCCCCGGGCCGTAGGCGACCCGAGGAGGAGGGTAGGAGGAGGAGGAGAGGGAGGAGGAGGAGCAGGAGGAGGAGAAGGAGGATGGAAGGAGGAGGAGGAGGAGAGGAAGGAGGAGGAGGAGGAGGCGAGGAGGATGAGGAGGAGGAGGAGGAGGAAGGAGAGGAGGAGGAGGAGAGAGGAGGAGGGGAGGAGTGAGGAGGAGGAGGAGGAGGAGGAGGGAGAAGAGGAGGAGGAGGAGAGAGAGGAGGGAGAGGAGGAGGAGTCGGGAGGAGGAGGAGAGGAGGAGGAGGAGGAGGAGGAGGAGTGAGGAGGAGGGAGGGAGGAGTAAGAGGGAGGAGGAGGAGGAGCAGAGGAGGAGAGGAAGCAGGGAGGAAGGAGAGGAGGAGGAGGAGGAAGAGGATGAGGGAGAGGAGGAGGAGAGGAGTGAGAGAGGCGGAGGAGCAGTAGGGGAGAGGAGAGCGGCGGAAGGGAGGGAGGGGAGTGGAGGGGAGGAGCAGGTGAGGAGAGAGAGAGGAGGAGGGAAGGGAGGAGGAGGAGGAGGAGGAGGAGTGAGGAGGGAGGAGGAGCAGGAGGGAGGAGGAGGAGGGAGGAGGAGGAGGAGGAGGAGGAGGAGGAGGAGGAGGAGGAGGAGCAGGAGGAGGAGGAGTGAGGAGAGAAGAGGAGGATTAAGGAGGAGAGGAGTAGGAGGAGGAGGAGGAGGAGGAGGACGGGTCGCCCAAGCCCTTCGGAGAAGCCCTCCTCCCCAGGAATGCCCTCGCCTTCTCGGACGGCCGCGCCTCCCATCCGCCGCATCCCCCCTGCGCGCGTTCCGACGGCCGGTCGTTCGCCGCTGTGCACCAGAGGTCTGTTGATGCAAAACTCCGAAGCAGCGAGCGAAAGACGGAATGAACTTCGCGTGGATTTGCTCCAATCTTCATTCCTGGCCCAGAGCAAATCCGCACGAAATTCACCTCGAAATCCGGAACGAACTTCTCCAGGACACTCCGGGCCTATCCCATCGCTCTCCGAAGGAGATCCGCTCTGCAATGTCAGCGCCACGAAACATGCGCACGCGGTATAAGCAGAACCACGGCGTGAGGTGTTGCCGTGTTCGGCCGCTGGGGGCCCCTCACTGGGCCCCAGGACGGCAACCAGACGGCTCGGGATGAGAACAACCTTTCGGGAACGGGTCGGAACTTCCGAAGACCCCCCAAGGAGCAAATCACGACATGGCATGCCTGGCTGAGAGATGTCTCTTTGCTGTCGCCCTGGGCCTCCAATGCGGGCCCCGACAACCCTCCACAGGGGTTCTGGATGGCGCCAGGAAGCCCCCCAGACGGCTCGGAGCGCTCCCCAGACCAGCCAACGATGGCCCAAAGCTGCATCAGCACGTATGCACAGAAGCCCCGAGCACGCCCCGAGAAGGCCCCCGAAGGCCCCCCAGAGGGCGCCAAAAAGGCAAATCACACGATCCCCATTTGGCCCTTCGAAATACTATGCGCGTTTACTTTTTTGTCTCAACCCAGGACGGTTTGAAAAGTGTCCAAGAACGACCTCATGCAGCTCAGGAGGACCCACGCACGTCCAAAGCAAGAGGGCCCCAAATACAAGCCCAAGAGAGAGGGAAAAGCAAACAAACCGTTGGAGCCTCCCCCACCGAGACTGCCAGCGCGCCCCTATGAGGCCCCTGCGAGACTCCCTGATACCCCCCAAGGTGTCCCGAAAAAATATTGACACCGTCACATGTCATTCCAGCCGGCTCCCGCGACTACGTCTTTATGTCAATCGGTAAGATTCAAGGCACGCGGCGCGAGCTTTGTAAATCGTGTGTGAATTGTATGTGTTTGTATGTCTACAGATGACTAGATATACATAAGTGTGGATGTACACATCTGTAAGATATACATGTATGTATATATATATACACATGTACATATACATATATGTAGGAATGTATGGACATACTAGAACCACGCGTGCGCTTCGCGCGCGCTTAGGTTCTAGCCAAAGCCACGGAACAGCTCCGAAGACGGCATGAGCAGGCACAGGTCCAAGTATGTGGCGCTAGCCCAGAAATCCGACCTCCTCCCCGTGCTGTTCCTCCCCCTCCACCTCCTCCTGCCTCTCCGCCCCCTCCTCCCCCTCCCCCTCCTCCCCCCCCTCCTCCTCCTCCTCTCCTCCTCCTCATCCTCCTCCTCTTCTCCTCGACCTCCTCCTCCTCCTTCTCCTCCTTCTCCACCTCCTCGCCCCTCCTTTTCCTCCCCCTCTCCCTCTCTCCTCCTCTCCTCCTCCTCCTCCTCCTCCTTCCTCCTCCACCTCCTCCTCCTTCTCCCCCCCCCCCCCGTCCTTTTCCTTCCCCTCCTCCTCCTCCTCCTCCTCTTCCTCCCCCCCCTCTCCCCTTCCGCATCCTTCGAATCGTCGTCGTCCTCCTCCTGCTCCTCTCCGCCTCCTCCTCCTCCTCTTCGTCCTCCTCTTCCTCCTGTTCCTCTCCTCCCTCCTCTCCACTCCCATCCTCCTCCATATTCTCCCCTCCTCCCCCTCCTCCTTCTTTTCCCCTCCTCGACCTCCTCCTCCTCTCCTCCTCCACCTCCTCCTCCTCCTCCTCCTCCTCCTTTTTTGATCTTCATCCTCTCCTCCCTCCTCTTCCTCCTACTCATCCTCATCATCATCCTCCTCCATCCCCCTCTCCTCCTCTTTCCTCCTCCCTCCCCCTCCTCCTATCCTCCTCCTCCTCCTCCTCCTCATCCTCCTCCTCTCCTCCTCCTCCCCCCCTCCACCCCCCCTCCCCTCTTCGTCTCTCCTCCTCCTCCCCTCCTCCTCTCTTCCTCCTCCTCTCCTCCTCCTCCTCCTCCTCCTCCTCCTCCTCCTCCTCCTCTCCCCTCCTCCTTCTGCTTCTTCCTCATCCCCCTCCTCCCCCTCCCAAGACACTCGCCGCCGCGATGTGTTCACAACGTGTGCCCAGGATATCTGGACGACTTCCTGGGGCCTTCTGTTCATCCCGACTTGTGTTTTACGGTCGTGGGGCCCCGCAAGGGCCCCCTGGAGGCTGGAACTTGTGCAAAGCTTCCCGTCGTGTTTTTTGTCCCGACGCGAGGTGGGAGCAAAGAAAAGCGACACCACCACTACCACCAGGGCGAGGAGCCAGGGGATGCCCCCTGGTGGTGTGGCCACACCTCCCCGCTCGAGACATCCCCGACCTCCAGCTTGAAGGGGCATCGCGGACCTTCTCGATGAAGGTGGCTCCCCTGGTGGTGGTGGTGGTGGTAGTGGTGTCGCGGCGACGATACCCCGCGAGACCAGTACATTGGGAAAAAGCACCAGCATGGCCCGAGGAATCTGTTTGTCGTTCGCCTGTGACATGCATCTTGGGAGCCCTTCGGGGGCTTCTGACGGCGTCTTGGGGGCCTCCGGGGCGCTTCTTGGAGTCTCCTAGGGGCTTTTTAGGGCCGAAGGCCCGAAATGTTCATTCGGATTCCCTGTCTGGGCCCCTTCTTAGAGCCGTCTTGGGCTATCTTGGACCGTCTTGGAGGCCTCTTGGGCTGCTTTGGTCCCTCTCGGGCTGTCTTGGGGCCGTCTTGGGAGCATTGGAAGCCTCTTGGGCCGTATAGGGACTATCGTGAGCGTCTTGGACCGATCTTGTGGCGTCTCGGAGCCCTCATGGACATCTTGAGTGATTCCTGGGGCCGATTTGGAGGCCTCCTGGAGGCCTCCTGGGCCGTCTGGAAGCCCCTTGGAGGCGCCAGGGCAGGGGTATCAAAAAGGGGGCCCCATGGTTTTGAGGTGAGCGGGGCCCCCGAGCTGGGGACCTGGTATTCATCCATATTACATTATACACATACATCTAAGCCCCAGGTGGCGCCGCGACAACTCAAGAGACTCCCAGAACGCCCAAACAGGTCCCCCAGTAACTCCAAGACGGTCCAAGAGGTTCCCCAAGACGACCCGAAAAGAAACTCAAGAGAACGCCACACAAGTCAAAATCGTGCCATTCCTGGAAGCCCAATGGTTAGCCATACTCGATGTTGTTCTTTCCAAGGCTCCAGAACGATTCAAGAGGCCCCCCCAAATCGTCTCCAAAACGGATCCAGAGGCCCCCCACAAAGCCCCAAGAGGGCCCCAAGAAGGCCCCAAGACAGCCCCAAAGAGGCCCACGACGGTCCAAATTAACCGCAGGACGGCCCAAGAGAGCCCCGATGCGGCCTGTGGTCGTGGTCGTGGTCGTTGTCGGCGTCGTCGTCGTGGTACCGTCTGCCCAAGGCCGCGCGGGGCTCGCTGGCTGGCGAGCGCATCAACACTCCAGGGCGGCAGACCGTGGCGACGCCGAGGGGTGCCGAAATGAATGGTTCCGAAAATGTCAGTGGAGCCCCCCTGTGGGCCACGAACCGCGTGAGGGGTGTGTTGAAATGGACCCGAAACCTTCGGTGAAGCCCCCCTGTGAGGCCACGCACCGTGTGAGGGGTGTGCCGAAATGGACCTGACACCTTGGGGTGGAGCCCCCTGTGGGGCCGCGAACCTTGTGAGGGGTGTGCCGAAATGGACCCGAAACCTTCGGTGGAGCCCCCCTGTGAGCCCACGAACCGCGTGAGGGGTGTGCAGAAATGGACCTGAAGCCTTGGGGTGGAGCCCCCCTGTGGGGCCGCGAACCTTGTGAGGGGTGTGCCGAAATGGACCCGAAGCTTTCGGTGGATCCCCCCCTGTGGGGCCACGAACCGCGTGACGGGTGTGCCGAAATGGACCCGGAGCCTTGGGGTGGAGCCCCCCTGTGGGGCCGCGAACCGCGTGAGGGAGGTGCCGAAAAAGACCCGAAGCCCGACGTGGAGCCCTGCTCTCCGGAAGCCTTGTAGAGAGTCCCCAGAGGCCCCCAGAACCCCTCCCCGTAGAGGCCCCCCAAAGAGGCTCCTCACAAAGGCTCCCCCGACCGAGGCTCCCCAGAGAAGCCCCCCAAGAGGCTCCCCAGGAACTCCCGAGAGGCACCCCAGAAACTCTCCAAGGGCGCCCCAGAGATTCCCAGAAGCTCCGCAGAGGCTCCCCAGGAAGCCGCCCAGGAGCCTCTCAGTGTTCCTGTGGATTCCTGGGCAATGCAAAGACGGTTATGCCTCAAATTTGGGGGTGCGGCCGCCATTTGAAAACTTCTTCTTCCGGGCGCCTGCGGGCGAGCATGGCGGGATGGGGGTTGAAGCTTAATGTGAACGAGATTATCCAAAATACTTGCGAAATCATTTCAAACGAACCCGTGTCAAATTGCACGACCGCCGGATCTTGCTTTTTTGCAGGGCCAACCGCCCGCTGCATACGCTCAAGCCCGCTCCTGCTCCCACTCGCGGCGCCACGATCAGATCCCGGCACTCGAGACGGTCCGCTCCGAGGAACAAACAACTGCATAAACACATACGTTTGACGATCCGCGCGGATTTCTTAGATCTGAGCTGGAATCCCCCTCCCTGGCGTGCGGAGCGCGCCAAGAGCGGCGAATGAGGCGCCTCCAAGGGGGGGCCCGCGCCGAGCCAAGAAACCCGCGCCAAAAACTCGTGTTCGTGCCGCTGCTTCTTCTTCAACGATCAGATCCTGGCACTCGAGACGGTTCGCTTGCTCCCACAGATCCCAGGGTCGCGATGAGATCGAGACGCCCATATGGGCCCCCCAGCACTGCGGGGCCCGTGGAACGAGGGCGGGCCGCCCGAACAGCCCTGAGACCCGACGTCAAGACAAAATGCAACAACGAACAAAAAACTCGACCAAAACCCTGGACCTCATCTTTCCGCTACCCGTTTCGAAACAGATCGATTCGAGGATTCCGGGGCCCTCAGCGAGGAAACATCATCCGCTGTGAAAAAAAACGGCGTCCGGATCTCAGACAACGCTCGCAGTCCAGACCCTCTCCCAGCCGAATTCAGCCCAGATGCGAAGATACATGCCATGCAGTTGCAGGGAAGCAGGATCGGAGGTCGCGCGCCAGGATTGCACCGGACGATGAGGGCGTCAAACTTCAGCATCAACTGCCGGGGCGCACAGGTGCGTCGTAGCAGTGTTGCCCGACGGGGCGATAGCGACGACGATTGCGAAGGAGGCGGCGGCTGCGCCGACCAGCTTAGGCACGGAGCTCCCACGACGGGCAGAACTGGGGGGAGGCCAGGACGCAAGCGCGCAAGCACGCTCCTTCCGCGCGCGCGAGCTCCAAAGACGATAGGACAACAAACAATGACATAGACATGAACCCCGGGAACTCCACACGGGCCGCTCGGATCGGCGCTGGGCCCCCTGGCGTCGCCTCCAGCGCCGCCCCCGGCGCGCTCCGCGCGCCACGGAGGGGGCCCCCGCGCCGAACCACGCGATCCGTGCTGGCATCCGAAGCACTGTTTGCCAGACTGAGGGGAGTCTGAGCGATCTTGCACTACAGCAGGGGCCCGACCACAAGAAACCTTCCACAAGAAGCCCAGCCCCGAGACCCCAGGACGTCCATGGATCTCCTGGGCGCGGGAACGCCACGTGTTTTTTTCCGCGGCAGAACCATCGGGGCCAATGGGCCTCCACTGTGCCTTCCCTGCTCCGCGGATCTGGCGCCCCCGCGCCAGACCCGCGGACCCACGAGCCGTGTCATCGCGTGCCTGGCGGGGAGGGGGCGGCCTGCCAAGAAGGCAGATGGAGTCTTTTGGAAGGCATGGGCCCGCTTAGAGGGAGCAGCCCGGATGCCCCCCCCCCCCCCCCCCGCAGGAGGAGGAGGGGGAGGAGGGGGAGGACGCCCCCCCCCTCGAGGAGGAGGACGCCCAGCTCGAGGAGGAGGAGGAGGACCCCCCCCCCCTCGAGGAGGAGGACGCCCCCCCCCCCCCTCGGGAAAACTTCTCGGGAGGACGCCCCCCCCCTCGAGGAGGAGGAGGCGGAGGCGGAGGAGGAGGAGGAGGAGGAGGAGGAGGAGGAAGGAGGACCAGTGTTAACCCAAGACTCATGGGTCTCCACTGCGTCCCTGCGCGCAGCGTCGTCGGATCGGAGCCGCTGCACGCCGTGCGCGCAGCGCCTCCCCCCAGCGCCGTGCGGGCGCGCCGCGCGGGCACACCGCGCGGGCGCACCGCGCGCGCGCGCGCTGCGCGGGCAGCGCCATGCGGGCGCTCGGCGCGTGCGCGCCGGCACGGGGAGCACCCTTCAGCTACGGCGCGTTAGCTGCAGGTCGGGCATGTTCTGCCACAGGCGGACCACGGAAGAAGCGTTCAAAAACGATAAACACGAGTCAAGCATGGCCGAAAGAGCACGAGCCATCGCCCCCCATACTTGTTGTTCCACTGTTCTTGGCGATTCCCCCTTGCGGAGGGACGTGCCCGACTCGACGTTGGCTGCTTGTGCTTCGCCTTCCGCGCGCGCGCGAGCTCCAGAGAGGGCCGTCCGCGGCATCACGCGGGCTCGCGCCCTCGACCTCGCTGCGGGGCGTTAGGGTTAGGGTGTTAGGGTTGAGTTTATGGGGGCTAGTTTTAGGGTGGTAGGGTCATGGTTGGGGTGTTCAGGTTCGGGTTAGGGTTGTGGGGGTCAGGGCTAGGGTGGAAGGATTAGGAGCAGGGTGAGGGGTAAAGTGTTACGGCTACGGTTCGGGGGTTAAGTTCACGGTGGTAAGGTTAGGGGGTAAGGTTAGGAACAGGGTCAGCGCCCTGTCCCGCCTGCAAGAGATTCGGTGGGGTGCGCAGGGAGCGGGCCGTCTCGGAGGCTTGGGGGAGATGGGGGGGCCTCTTGGAAACCCTCCCACCTTCCAAGACTCCTTGTTTTTGACAGTGCTCGACCAACACGGTGTCTTCGTTTTCGTTATGTTTTCGTTCTCCCTCGTTCTGTCTTCGCTCCGCCTTCGCTGCAAAACGAAGCCGAAACGAAAACGGTCCACGAACTTGCCAAAAAACCGTTTAGGTCGAGCCCTGTTCTTTGAAGCCTTCCGACCTCTCTGACAAGCCCTCCCCCTTCTGTGCGCCGCGAGGCGAAGTCGTCGCGCACCTTCCTGATCTCCTCGCCCTGGAACTGCGCTTCGCAAGACTCACCCTGCTCGCGAGCCGTGCAGACGCAGGGCGTGCAGCACCGTGCACACCTTTTTTTTTCAGAGTAGCGGCGAGATCCCAGAAGCGCGTACTTGGCGCACGCTTTGTACAATCCCTGTTCACAATTCGAATCGACTTCAGTACGCATGCTGCTACTCTGAACGGGTAAACCAGCGCTTCCACAACAGGACCAGCCGAACGCGGAACTCACGGTCGGAGGGGGGGACCTCCGCAACCCTTGCCGCACACTGCCCCCCCTGCACCTCGCCTCCCCCCCCCCCCAGAAAAAAAAAACAGACCCCGCCCCTGCCCCGCAGCACGGGCGCCCCGGCACCGCCCTCCCCCCCGGGGCCGCGCCCTGCTTCGGGCACCGCCAGAATATGTCCAGATCCACTGCCGCGGGGTCGTACCCCAAGGAATCGAGGAGCGATGGATATGGATATCTGGCCACCCATGCGGGCGGGCAGATATCCATATCCACCACTCCTCGAGATCCCAGGGCACGATTCCGAAGCGGTGGATATGGATATGTTCTGGCGGTGGACTTCGGGCACCCGGCCCGCCGCAGCGCGGCAGGGAGGCGACCCGCGCGCGCGCGCTGCGTGCCGCGTGCCCGGGCTCGGGCACGCACACGGGCCGTCCGGCTGCGGGAGCGGGGCGCGGGGCGCGGGGAGCGGCCGGGGAGGGCGGGAGAACGTCCTCTCTTCCTCTTGCTCTGTCGGGCACGCGCTCACATTCGGTCGGGCCTGTCCCCCTACAGGGGGATTTTTGGGGGATTTTTTTGTTTAAATATATATATATATATAATATCCCAATGGTCAAAAAATGATCAGAACATCGTCCCCGGACTATCCTCATTGACTATTTTGGAACTTCCCTCCTGTAGAGGGACAAGCCCGAGTCAACGCCAGCATGGACTACGGATCCGTGGATCTGGCGCGTGGGCGCCAGCTCCACGGGCCTGGGACCTAGTACCCCCCGACACGCGGCGCCCATGCCGACTCGTTCGGCGACGCAGCGCCTCAACTCTTTGCACGGAAGCGGAGCCCGTGGCTAATCCACGCGCCTGGATTCATGCTTGCGTTTCCGTATCCCAAAACATTGAGCAAGGACCGACCGTCCCAGTATTCCGTATTCCTATAGGCCTACCACGAAATTTGCCCAGAACCCAGCAAGTGTTCTCACAAACAACGCTCTCAGAACATTGACCCGATGCGTTGAAACAAGACAGTCCCAGCCAGAAGCGTTCCAAGGAAACTTCGTGGAAACCACAAGAGGTTCTCAGAACATTCTTTGGTGGGCCTATATGAAGGGGCCCCAGGACACACAAATAAATACACACAAATAAAACATATCCCCCATATGTTCCAATATTTTCGGGGTCTCAGTCTTCCAATCCACTTCCCATATTTTCCCATCTTTTCCTTGGAATCGATCATGAATTGTGTCTGTGTGCTTTCTCCCCTCCTGAATTTCGTGGAAACCATAAGAGGTTCTCAGAATTTTCTCTGGTGGGACTATAGGCGAGCCGAGAGATGCTACGCCCCTACTTGAACAAAAAACCTTTTGTCCTGCGCCCCCCCCTGGGCGGCCCGCGGCCCGCCGGCCCGGCACCTCGTGCTCTCCGCCGCCGCCGCCCTGGTGCTCCCTCTCCTTGCTGTATAGAGAGACCCCAGGACACACAAATAAATACACACAAGTGAAATCATCCCCTATATTTTCCCATACTTTCTGGGTTTCTGTCTTCCCGCCCACTTCCTATATTTTCCCATGTTCTCCTGGGGAATCGAGGATTCATTGTGTCGGTGTGTTTCTTCCCCTCCTGATCTACTTGCTGTACCCGCACGGGGCCCCGCCTCAGCAGGTGCACCGGCGCCGCAGCCGCCTCGGTCCCCGCCGGCGGGGCTGGCCGCGCCAGCCCACCCAGGGATGTGATCCGTCCCCCCTGCGTGGCACTTGCCTTGGGCCTTTGACTACCTACCAGACCACCCCAACCCAACCCGAAGACCCGAATTTCGGGTTGGGGGGGTACGGGCTTCATGTGTGTTTTTTCAATGTTCCCCGACCCCCCCCCCAACTGGAAATGGAGGGCAAATTGAGGCCTTCGGGTTGGGTTGGGGTGGTTTGGTGGGTGGTGAGCCTTGCCTCCCCCCCTCTGCGGCCCCGCCCGCTCTGTCGCGTTTCCCCTCACTTGCACGCTGGCCAAGTACAAGGGTGCCCCCGTCTAGCTGGCCATCCGCCAGCGCAGCCGACCCCTGCCTAGCCGCCGACGGGAAAAGTGTCCTCGACCCTGGCACCCCCTGGGCCTCCCTCCCGCACGCGTCCCCCCCAAGCGCAGTGGCGGATTCGGGCGGAAGCACAACCGGACAGAGCAGGCAAGTGAAGCGAAGCAGCGTGCGAGTGCTTTGCCGCGCGTAGGGCGACGACGAGCCGTGGACGAACTCCCTCCATCACGAGCACGATCATCGGCCACGGCGGCCACGGCCACGACCGCGGGACCCTAGGTCCAGCCGTGCACCGGAGGAGAATCAGAGATCTCCAGCGCGCTCGCCACGCCACGGGGAGACATCGACGGCCAGGGGGGCAACGACGAGACACAAAGACACAACCGGCCAGAAATTTGGGCGCCCGAGTTATCCGGGGTAACTCGGGTCCGGGGTAACTCGGGTTTGGATTCCCGAAAAAGGAACCCGAATTAGCCCTGACCCGAGTTATCCCTGATGATGTGGGGCTCTGGGCGCCCGAATTATCCGGGGTAACTCGGGTCCGGGGTAACTCGGGTTCGGAATCCCGAAAAGCGAACCCGAGCTAGCCCTGACCCGAGTTACCCCTGATGATTCGGGGCTCTGAGAAATCATAAGATCCGCACGGGCCAATGAACGAGCGCGGGTATGCGCCGGGGCGGCGTGCGGGCATGTATGGTTCCCCCGCCCACGCTGCCCCTAGTGCACCTCTCCATCCCTCTCCGAAGGTGTCCGAGAAAAGATGTTCATAGAGTGAGAGGAAGATAGGGGGAAAACAAACCTGCCTCGCTTTTGACCACCCTCGCTTCCAAGAGATACCAAGCGATGTCAAACTACGGCCTGTACTGGTCAGGTCGCTTGACGAGGAGGCGCATGGTATGACTTGGTTTTGCCTGGAAGCGAAAGCGGGGTAGGTAATTCACGCTCTGAGAAGAGGTGCGCCGACAACAAACGTCGTTGCATTGCTTCGCATCTCCAACGCGCACCGAGAACGTCGCCGCGGAGGGGCCTGGAAGAACTTGTCGTGCTCCTCGTGCACGTAGTGGACCATTTGGCCTGCACCGCGAGATGCTCGCTAGCCGAGTGTGGGTCGGAAGCTGGGCGAGAGCTGGCAAATCCGTGGCTGCCAAAACGGTTCTCCCGGAAGAACAAAAAACAGCTCCCGGAAGAGAAAAAGACGGGCTGCTTCCCGGAGGAAAGAGCAATTCCCAGGAGCTCCGTGTTACTTCGCAGCCACGGGTTTGCCAGCCTTCGCCTGGCTTCCGAGCGGGTCTGCGGAGCGTCGCAGAGCGCGGTTCGACACGTGGGGCGGGCAGCGCACTGCCGGGAGGGCGCCCAGGAGCAGCGCCAGCGCCCCGAGGCAAGCGGCAGCCGCACGAGGCTGGTCGGCTGCCGCGAGCGCCTCCGAAGCTCAGCGCCGCAGCCCGCCCCGCCAGGTCTCGAGGCCTCTGCTCGCCTTCCCCCCTTGTGGTGGGCCTGTTTTCCACCACCACCACCAGAAGTAGGAGGTGGAGGGGGTCCTCCTCCTCCTCCTCTTCTTCCTCCTCATCCTCCACCTCCTTCCCCCCACCAACTCATGGTGGTGGTGGTGGCGGTGGAACACAAGCCCATCACCTTGGCCTCCAGCAAGTGATCGAATTGACGTGAGCAGGGCAGGGCGAGGCCAGATCGGGGAGCTATACTGACGCGGGTCCAGACCAAGGTCAGTCAGGCCTTGCAGGATCCTGCGCCCAAGCCCGGGTCAATGCGACCATGGCTCTGCAGGATCCTGGAGACTCTGGCGTTCTGGCTGACCCCGTGTGCATTGACCCCCGTCTCGAGGCTCCGAGCTGGAGCAACCACCCGCAGCCGGGCTCGGGCGTTCCCCTCGTCGCCCCTCTTGCGCATATGCCCGTCAACCCTGCGACAAAGAGAGGCTCCGTGTCGTCGTCCAGCGTATCTGTGTTCCAGCGTATCTGTGTTGCGGCGTCAGCTCTGCGATCAGAAGTGAGCCTTCGCAGCAGATGATGGAGGACGCGAGGAAGCAGGAGGGGTACGGCGGAGCCAGCCCGGCAAAGGCTCTTCATCTTACCATATTATCCTTCCTCCGCCGCCTTCTCTTGAGCGTCCTCTGGGTCCTTTCTGCCATCATCAGCGCAGGACGCTCACGCATCCTGGACTCGTGCCCTTGGGGGCACGGCTGGGGATCCGCCCCCGATAGTGCCCTCACAGGCCCTCCAAAGGGGCCCCTAAGATCGCCCCCAACCAGCCCCTCGGGGCTCCTCAAAAGGGGCTCACGATGTCCCCAGGGCGGACACAAGAAGGGCCGACAAAACGATCCCGCAAGCAGATCCTCGAGGACACGGCTGGGAATACGCCTCCAAGATTGCCCCAAGAGCTCCTGCTGGCCCCCCGGACGCCTCCAAGAGACTCTCCAGAGGCTCCCGAGAGCTCGCCGAGAGACCTCCCATGAGGCCCCCGAGTGGGCCACCGGGGGGCTCCCGAGAGGCTCACACATCCTAGGAGCCTGCAGCAGCGCTCCCGCCCCCGCTCCCGCTGCGACGCGCACCCGCAGACCAGGCGCGGTGGCGGGCCGAGCCGAAGGCCACTGGACCCTTTCCCCCCCTTCGATAGGGGCCTCCTATAGATGGGGTCCGAGTGGATGGGGTCGGAGGATGGCGCCGCATCGCCGATGCTTCGACCTCGTTTGGGCGGCCTCGAGACATGTACCCACAGACCTGGCGCGATGCGGGGTGGGCCGAAGGCCTCTAGACCCCCCCAAACAATCTTCAAAGCAACCCAGACATCCGACGTTGAGTTTTTGTTTCACAACGTGGCCTCCCAAGATATGTTCTTTCTCCTACATATGTTGTTGACAGTCCTGGAGTTGTGCCAGGGCCCCCGGAGGCAGACCACTTGCAAACATCCTCCGTCGCGATTCGGTTCGCAAGGGGTCGGGGAACTTCCTGCTCTGATGCTGTCCGTGGCTTCTTTGATCGTTGGATGCCAGACTTTTCTGGTCGCGACCGACGAGATCGGCCGCTGCCGATGTTGCTTCAAGCTCCAGTATCCGTCGCGACCGATTTGCTCCGACATCGGCTGCGACCGATTTGGAGTGCCGTTCGGTCGCTACCGATCGCGACCGACAAAGCAGTGTATGATATCCAATGAGCTGGGTGCCGAGTGCACCGCACCAAATCATGCGCTTGTGGGCATGCTCGAGCAAGCGGCTGCCAACCACGCGCGGCCGTCCGGGCGGAGGTGCAGCTCATGCCTGCCTCGATGCACCCGTTCGCGAACGGCATGGAGTCCTCCCCCCCCCTTCCGTAGGACGCAACTCCTCGGAGGTCTTCGTGAGGCCGATTTGAATCCATGAATCCCGAGCAAAGGGCCAATGAGCCGGACGAAATCAGCCTGAGCTCAAAATTAAGCCTGGGATGCAGTCGGATCAAGCGGGATTGAGATGGCTCTCGACCACGCCAGCGCCGGTTGTGCTGGACAAGGCTGGATCATGCTGGATCCGGATGAATTTGCTCTCCCAGGAATTGCATCCCAGACCACTGACCCCCCACGTCGCGATTTTATCACAACGCGGACCTACGCAGAGGTAAGACGAGATCAGGACCAAGACAAGATCGGACCGGGAACAATGGGAGATCTCTGATGTTCGGCGGCCCTGGAGGATGCATCCCAGTCCTGGCCCCGCCCGAAGAGGCGTCCACCCATTCCACGGGGCCGGCTTTTTCATCCCGAATCGTTGTGTTGGCGGTCCCGAAGCCCAACGAGGGCTCATAGGGGCCGACACTCGCCAAAAACCTTCCGTCGGGGCCTTGTTGCGCCTCGAGGGGGCCTGGGCCCTTCACAGCTTATCTTTGCGCGGCTCGGAGGGCGCACTTGCCTCGCCACCCCGTGGCGGCCGAACACGGGCGGTCGGCCCGCGCACTCCGCCTCACCATCGTCCCATCCTGCCTGGGCAAAGTCGGGATGGGACTGGGAGTGACAACACTTTCAGTGCGGGGCCGCGGCAGGGGGGGACCGGCTCAGGAGGGGAACCATTGACCCGGAATCGGCGACACATCACCGATAGATCGGCGATAGGCCCCAAATAGCGAAACCGCACGTCCCTGGGCGGGGTGGGTTAGCAGACCACTTCTCGGCAATGAGTGGGCGATGGGGGGTCGATGGTTCACCCCCTGAGCCAATCCCCCCTGAGCGTTGCCCCCTATTCATGGGGCAGAGAAGCAAGCGAACACCTACGAACAACGCGCGTCATGAAGAAGACGAACACGTGATCTGCCCGTCATGAGAATCCGGCTTCCCCTGTGACATATCAGCCAGAGCATACAAGCCCAACAAAACTCACAGGAGGCCTCCAATAACTGAGCTTGGATCCCCCGCCAAATACCCCGAAAGACCTCCAACTGCGCAAGTACTGTGTCGGAATTGGCAAATGCCCACTGACCGAGCGCAATCACCATGTACAACCACTCATGGTGACGGAAGCCTGCCACGAATCTGTAGCGAATGCTGGATGCGGCGGCGCATCCACCCCGACAAAATGCACAAGAACCCGACCCCTCGAACGGGTCTGGAGTGCAGCAGCGACGCGTGCTGGAGCACCTCCAGGCTGCGCGCAACACGAAAACAACGAGTAGGCGATCTGCCGGAGGGCCAAAGGCTGACGATCCTGAACCGCCCGACGTGGACCGCCCAGGCTGGTGTGCGGGCGAGCCAGCAGCTAGGACTGGGTATGTTTTCCGACGCCACGACTCCCACGATCTCTGCCAAGGTCCGCTCTGACCAAGACTCCGGAGCGACTCCGCCCGGTGCGACGAGGGCCCGTCAGGATGACAAAAAGACGGTGCAACCTGAAACCTCACCATCGCTCGGACGTCCATTCCCTGTTTTTGTTTGCGGTTTCGTGCGTGGCTTTTTCGCCAAATTATAAAGGATGCTCCTCGATGGTCCTCGCCGAAAGAAAAATGCACACGTCCGAGCGATGCCAGGGAAAGAAGATCTCTGGTCGGCAGGTGCGTGTCGTGACGACCCTTGCGGTGATTTTTTTCGAACGCCACGCGGATCGTTGAACCTTCGCTCGGTCGCTGTGCTTTTAGGCTCGCGCGTAGCTCCTCCCCTCACGCCGTAGGCGGCCTCGCCCGGCCGTGTAAATTAGATCGGCCCGTGGCCCGGACCTTTCAACCTCGAGCGATTGACAGCATTTCGATCGCCAGGTCGTTTTCATGCTGGCCGCTTCTGGGCCACGGGCGGCGCTCAGCCTGGAAAACGACCGCGGCGGGGTCGTTTTGCTGCGCCGGCACACAACATGAACCTGCGTACCATGTCGGTGAGGTGGCGGCAGCTCCGGCGCGAGCAAAAAAGGCTGCCGACCCGCCCGCGCCCCTCGTAGCGGTGGTGGTTGTAGCTCTTGTCCGAGCCGCCGAATTCGGCGGGACTGGGGGGCGCTGCGGAGAAAGTAGTGGCACCGCGGGCTTCTCCTCCTCTCCCTCCTCGCGTACCCGCGTCTCCCTCGGTAAACGCCTCCAATAAACAATAAGATCTAACATTTGGGTACAGAGCGGGCGCGGCCACAAGAAACCCTCACAAGAAACCCAACCCTGAGAACACGTGCGCGAGGTGCACCTGAGGGGAAACCTGGAGCACCCTGAACGCAGCAGATCCTTCAATGGCTGCGGAAAGTCATCGCGAAGCGCGAGGAGCGAAGAAACCCAGGGTACCCTGACGAAAAGCAGATGGTTTCTTGATGCGCGCCCCCACTGTAGCAACTCCCAGGACATCTCTTCATGAGCGAGAGTAGGCCGGATGATGAAGGGGCGACGAAACCATATCCAGCCCGATTGGTTTCCAGGTGAGGCAAGATGAGGCCCGACAATGCTGGATTCACATGAGGTTGGCCATATCTGGACGCATGAAGGAGACTCCAGGGCCGATGTTTGGCAAAACCTACCAGGAGTATGCATCTTCAGCGTCAACAGTCCACCTGCGGGCGAGTTCGGGGTCATCGGGGGCACATATCAAGGCCAGCGGCATGCGCGCGGCCCAGGGGGGGGGGGGGCAGGGACGAAATGGAATAAGAAGAGGCGCCATGAAATCTGAGGAGATCTCATTGCCCATGCCATGATATCCACCCCCTCCTAGTCATCACCCCCCTCTTGGCCGCCCCCCATTTCCTCCCTTGCACCAGAGGGAAGCGGGAATTCCTCGCACTGGCCATGGCCTTGCCCCCCCCCAAGCTAAGCTTGCCTCAGGTCGGGCACGGCCTCCTACGGAGGGATTCCGGATGAAGGACTCAACAGAATCCAAAACACTCGAAGACTCGACAAAACGTTATGAAACATTGTGGCTCTCTGAATCTTCCTCCCGCAGAGGGACCCCGACTTAAAGCTTGCCCCTCCCCTGATTGGGCGCCCGAGTTATCCGGGGTAACTCGGGTCCGGGGTAATTCGGGTTCGGACTCCCGAAAAAAGGAACCCGAGTTGGCCCTGACCGGAGTGACCCCTGATGATGTGGGGCTCTGCGCGCCCGAATGATCCGGGGGAACTCGGGTCCGGGGTAACTCGGGTTCGGATTCCCGAAAACGAGCCCGAGGTAACCCTGACCCGAGTGACCCCTGATGATTCGGGGCTCTGTCCTGAGCTGCCCCGAGACCGGACGGCAGGGCCGCGCCGGGGGGCAGAGCCGCCGCGCGGCGGCCTCTCTCCCGGGCTGCCCCTCCCCCGCGCGGGCTCGGGGGTGGACGCCGGGGGGGGGGCGCTCGGCGAGGAGGGGGCGGCGATCAATCTTTGGGAACCCCCAAACCGGGTGGTGAGATACCAGGTGGCGACCTGGAATCCCCAAGAAGGTCACCGCTGGGTTTGGGGACGCGGGGTCACCACCGGGTTGTGTGACTCCTGGACCCACCAGTGTCCGGGACATCCTCGGAAAACCGCACGAGTCCCCAAACCGGGTGGTGACACCAAATCGCCCGAGACTCACCGCCAGGTGTTGTCACCACCACGTTTGGGGACTACCAACAATCGGCGGCAAGCGAGGGGGGGAGCCGGAACCGAAGGAGGAGAAGGCCTCCTCGGGAGGTTCGGGAGTCCCCCCGGCCTTCCGAGAAGCTCTCTCTCTGAGCCTTCCCCGATCGAAGACAGAAGAAACACAACAAGCCCCTCTCGGGAGGCGCGCGAGGGCTCCCGAGAAGTCCCGCCCGCATTCGGAGGAGGCCTTCTCCCTCTCGCTTCCCCTGCTCTTCTACGCCATGCCATGCCGTGCTCTACAATGCATCGCGTATCCTTTCGGGATCATTGCCCTGCTCGACATCCGACTGTGCGAGTAGAGAGGGGATCTACGCCATGGTAAGGGATGGGAGGGAAGGGGTAGGATGTCAGATATGACGCGAGCGCACCTAGCTTGCCCCCCCCCCCCTCGCCTGCCGCCGAATCAAGCAGTGAGCCGAAGGAGGCTGGCACTCCCAGCGCCTGGTTGCGGGCAGTACTTATATCCATATCCAGTGCGTCTTGGACGTTCTTGGGAGGGGCGCCGCCAGGCCGAGGCGCACTGGATACAGATAAACAATCTAGCCTTCTGGGGCCAGATTTTTAAATCCATATCCAGTGCGCCTCATGTTTTTGGGGAGGAGAGCCTGTGACTCCAAGACGCACTGGATGTGGATATACAGTCGGACCTAGGCCACAAGAACATCCCTCAAGAACACGAGACCCTCTGTCGGCCAAAACAAACAGAACATCCAAGGGTACCCTCACCGGGATGCACAAGAACATCCAACAAACACGACGAACACTACGGTACCCTCCCCGAACCGATCTCGACCTTATGCTTCGGTCCGACTGTAGACATTGCCCGCACTGCTGGCGCCGCGCCCAGGCACGTGCCGAGGGCCGCGCCCGCCTGCGGGGGGCCGAGGCCGGCGGAGCGCCGGGGGCTTCGCCCCTCGCCGCCGGGCCCCGGGGCCTCGGGGCAGACGGGCGCGGAGGGCCGCGCGGGCACGCGCGAAGGGTCGGCCGGGCAGGTCCCCCCATGCAGGCGGACTGTGGACGAGAGAGCAATAGCTGAAAGACTCCACAAAAAATACTCCCACAAACAGTTTCGAATATATGTATATATATACACATATATATATATACATATCTATATATATAGATATGAATATAATCTAGAAATCGTCCCGAGACCATGTTCGGACCATGTTCGAAGATGCCTCCTGCAGAGGGGCGTGCCCGACTTGACGCCAAGATGGACGACGCATCCGTGGATCTGGCGCGTGGGCGCAAGATCCACGGATCGGGGAAGTTGAAGGGGCCCCAGGACACACAAATAAATACACACACACAAATAACAATATTCCCCATATGTTCCAATATCTTCTGGGGTTTGTCTTCCCCCCCACTTCCCATATTTTCCCATATTTTCTTGGGAATCGACGATTAATTGTGTGTGTGTGTGTTTTTCCCTCCTGACCTGATTTGGCGACGGAGCGCGTCGAGCCTGCATGGGAAGCGCCCCCGTCCAGGCCTGCGCTGCCCCGAAACGTGCAGCGCTGCGCCTGTGAGCCCCCGTGACAAGGGCACCGCTGCGGCTGTGACTGAAGGGGCCCCAGGACACACAAATAAAAGGATTCCCCATATTTTCCTATATATATTTAGGGTGTTTTTTTGTCTTGCCCCCCACCACTTCCCATGTCTTCCCATATCTTCTGGGGAATCGACGATGAATTGTGTCTGCGTGTTTTTGCCCCCTCCTGGGTGGCCCCACCCCCCACCCTGCCCGCCGCTCCGCCTCCTCTTGGGACGCACATGGACATACTAATACTATATGTCCTCCTTGGAGGCGCGCGTCCGACCCGAACATATAGTTTACCCATCTTGTAGTATATCGTTTCCCGAGCGGTGTGGCCAGAAAGCGCCCGCCACGACGCATATACTATAAGATTTCTCGGTGCGCGCGTCGCCCCTAGGGGCGCGTCGCCCCTGGGGGGGCGACGCACATATAGTATAAGTATGTTGGGGTGTTGCCGATCCTCTCTCCCCCGCCCCCCTGCCCGCCGAGCGCGCGGGGAAGGGCGGGGCGACCGGACGTAGACCTGGACCAGGGCGATCTTGTACCTCGGGGCGCAGGCCAGGCGCGCGCCGCCCGTCGCGCGCTCCTGGACAGCAGCAACCCCTCGCGCGACGGCCGACGCGAAACGCCCGGACCGCCCAAAAAACTCGCCTCGGGGTGCGACAGGGAGAAGTTGTTTATGAGGAACAGGAATGGAGGAGGAGGAGGAGTAGGAGGAGGAGGAGGAGGAGGAGGAGGAGGAGGAGGAGGAGGAGGCGGAGGAGAGAAAACGGGGCAGGTCCCGAGCACAAAGCACACATTTTGGGGAGAGCGAGAGCTGCCGATGTCGCCAGTTACGCCCCAGACTCGGGTCGGGCGAAAGGGGGGGATAGCAAAGGGGGGGTTTGAGAATCAGCTCACGTGGCTGGTTTTCCCGGCGCCTCCCGGCGCAGAAGGCGGCCATGTATCGAGGAATGGGCCCCTCGGTGAGGCCGAAACCAGCTGCATGCAGCAAATTTCGTACCCCCCCCTTTCCCAATCCCCCCCTTTCGTCTGGCCCGACAGACCTCTCCCGGGTGCGCTCCGACTAGGATTGCGAGGCGAATCCGGCGGTGGCGACGAGGGCCTCCCAGGAGGCCCAAAAGGGGGGACAAAACGAGGGAAGGGTAGAGGTGTGGGTACCTCTTCCTCCTCTGCCCTTCGCCCAAGGCCCAGGGCCCCCATGGAGATAGTCGCCGTAAAACGGAGAGTGCTACCAGGTGGAGAGCCCGAACACGAAGCACACACGCTTCCGAAGGTGGGCTTGTTCTCGACCCTGGTGCCAGCCGTTCGCGCGCGCAGGAGGACGAGCAGAGGGGAGCACGCGTGGGCACCTGCCGGCCGCGCGGGAAAGGAGCAGGCGCCCTCGGCCAGGACGCTGACATGAGGACCACTTCGGGCTCGGGAGGGGCTCTGGTTTTCGGGCAGGTGGTGATGGGTGGTGGCCCAAACGGGGGGTACAGAACACAGGCCCTCAAGGAGCCTCGTAGGGCCCCTGGTGGGCGCTTGCTGGCTCCGAAGGGGGCGAAGAGAGGGACCCTAAAGGGGCCCCGTAGGGCCCTCTGTGGGCCCTTGCTGGCCCCCCAAGGGCCTCTGTAGGACCCGTTTCTTCACCCCCTATTTGGGCCATCCCCCATTACTCGTCATCGCTCGGACGCCCATTCCCCGTGCACGTTTCGCTTCGTTGCTCGATGGTCGAGGATGCTCCTCGAAAGTCTTCGCCGAGAAGAAGCACACACGTCCGCTGAGCAGGGTCCGACGGCCCCGGCACCACGACATGTTCTTAGAGCCTCAGGTTCTTATACCACAAGCCCGATGTGTAAAAAAACAAGACGCTCTCAGCCAGCAACGTTCCAAAACCATTTCGTGCAGACCACAGGCAATTCTCAGAACACTCTCTTCGGGAGCGGCCAAGAGGGGGGTGTCCAAGAGGGGGGGGTGCAAATCATGACCGGCGGCACGTGCGCGGCCCAGCGGGGGGGCCAGGGACGTAATAAAATAAGAAGACAGGGATCAGGCCGAGGCGCAACATCCGATTCGAATGAGGGCAGGCGGGCAAGGAAAAGGGGGGGGGCGCGGGATTCCCGCCGTCGCGGCCCCGCAGCCCACCGCACAGGCCGAGGGCCACTAGGGCACGGGCCGTGGTGGCAAGCGGCACACAGGCACCAGCCGCCGCCTACCACCATGGCCCGCCACCCTAGCGGACCTCGCGACCCGCGAGAGCAGCCTCAATGCGCCAGGACTGCACTGAAGCCCTCTCCGCAGGGCCTCGGCAGTCCGCCACGATGCCCCTCCAAATTGGGGCCTCTATGGATACTCGAGCACCGCAGCGGCGGCACAGCAGAAATTTGTCAGTGGCCTGCACCCAATGGCCCCGATACTCGAAAGTCTCGAAAGTCTCGAGAGCCTGCACATGCAGGCCATCATACGTGAACCCAAGTTCACGACACGCTGAAAGGACCGCGTCGCTGCGCGCCCTCGGAAGGAGGCCAATTGTGACGCTCTGCCCTGGCCGCCGACAGATATAAGTGGATCGGCGTCGGCTCGCACTTGCTGCCAGGCTGCTCCAGCTTCGCGCGAGAAAGCGCAGTCTTGCCAGAGCAATGGCACCACGTACACCTCCCCCCCCCTCCGCCACCTCCAAGTCGTGAGCAAGCAGAGAAAGCTGAGGCACGGCCATGGAGTTACGGCCTGGCCTAGAGGACATGGAAGGGGGTTCGGCCTGAGACGCTACAATATGAGCGGCCTGGCCCGGAAAACGGCACGTCTTTTTCACGTCTTTCAGCTGAGCTTTGAGAGCGTCGGTGGCGATGCTGGCTACAGCGTGCCGCTTCGCTCCCAACTTGGCAAAAAAGTCAGCCCACATATTGCCCAGATAATCGAAAACCGCCGTGTCCACGATCGATCCAGGCTCGGAGAACGCTCACCAAAGAGGAGGGAGTCGAGATCTCCGCGGGCAGGAGTCCAGCGAGCCCGAGGCCGATCATCAAACGGGGCTCCAGCTGGGCACACCTGGAACATCTCGCGCCAGATGCACGCATGCTTATGGCTGCCTTCGGTTAGATCGGCTGACCAGGCAGTGGCTTCATGCACCGCCGAGAGGTGATCACTAATAATTCCCACACTTCTCGGGCCCAGGCGCACCGCCTGCAACGTCGCGCACCTCTCGGCCCTGGGCACCGTTTGGATGGCCCCAGGGAAGGGCCCAAAACACGCCCGAACGGGCCAGCCCCCAGGACTAGGCTCGACAACAGCCCAACCGCAGCGACACGCTTCGGGTAGACTATTCGACAGGCCCGAGCCATCCGTAAAAAGATGAACGCCCCACGGCATGCTCGTGGCACCCCAAACCTGGGGAGGATATCTGGCTGGGACAGGCTCAATGCTCAGGGGAAAGAGAGGAACACCGTACGCCAACTCAAGAGTGTCGAAGTCGGGGGGATTCCTTTAGCCTTGTCCCGCAGCCATTTTACATGCTCAAGCACATCGTCTGGGAACATGGATGCCTCTTCTGGGTCCTGACCAGGCTCCCAGACTTTTTTGCATTCGTACCACTGATGGCCGAAAGAGCCAATCGCATCACACCCGAATTCACACTTAGGACTGGCTGCGTAGCCATAGTTGTGCTTCTTGGCTGGCGGCCAAAGCTCACCACTGATTAGGCCTCTCAAGGCCGCCTGCCTAGAGGGGTCCTTCTCAGCAAGAATCCCTAATCGGAGCGCTCGCCCCCAGACAGGTTCATCACCGCCAGCCTCGGGGATAGCTTCCAAAATCTGTCGCACTCGGGCACGGCAAATGCCTTCGCGCAACCTCTGCTTGACATCCCAGGGGCAAGTGGTGAAAAGCGAGATGATTTCACACTGGTAAGTCCGGAGCTGATGGTGAGAAATCAGATCCCAGCCAACTCTCCTCAAAGACAAAATGACCGCCCCGACAGGTCCCTGCGCACGATTCCAATGGGGGCGATCTCTTAAACGGGCCTGAGCAGTCGAACAAGCTACTCTCAAATCAGAATCGGACGCTCTACGATCCCAGACCCAGCGACAATACCTGAACGCTAGCGGGATCGTAGCATCAACGGTGGGGTCACAGCTGGGATCCTTATGCGCGAACAAGAACCCCGTCACGTGAGACGCACCACCCGCTCCCATACAGGCTCCCAGCTAAGGCCCTGAGGGTTCTGAGCGTATCATTGTTAACACCTGAAACTGAGGCCCCGTGGCCTCCACTTGGCATGAGGCCTGTGCGCCACAAGCCAGCAACCTTGGTCCCAGCACATTTCTTAAGCACCTGGATGCGGTGCTTCCTCTTGACCAGCGCAACTCGCCTCTTGGCTTCCACCTTTCGGAGAGCACGCCGCCCAAACAAATCGTGACCAAGGTTTCGCATATGCTCATAGCCTCGCATGCCCATCAGCTTGGCCGACACTGCCACTTGCTTGGAGGGGGCCAGGCTGGTGGCAACAAAACCTGACTTGTTGGGTTGCAGAAGAAGGCCAATCGGCCGCACAAGAGAGCATAACTCCCGAGCCGCAGCAAGGACCACCGTTCCTTTTCTCAGGGTCGGGTCCAGCCCAGTGCAACGAAACATCATCCATTAAAGTTCTAGCCTGGACTGGGAATCTTTCAATTGCAAACTTGACTGGCTGCAGAAGCACAGCCAACATAATCGATGTCGCTGCCGAGCATCCAGCCACAATCCCCTGGAACGACACAAATGGCTCCGAAAGCGAGCCGAACGCATCGATTCTCCGAGGGGCCAGGTAGGTCTGAATGACCATCCACCCGAGACGGAGCGGGAAACCAACCTGCCGAAAAATCTGAAACAGGACCGAGAGCTTTATCATGTCATAGCATTTCACCATGTCGAGCAATATGGGCGACTGAGTGCCATCCTCTGGCGCGGGCAACTTCAGCAGAAAGGTTTAAATCGAACGCAGAGTCCGATGAGCTTCTCCCCTCCAAGACCCCCAGAACTCCCGAGTACGACTCCCCGCCTCCCAATCATCAGAAACGGAACGTCTAATGCGTCCCCACACTCGTAAGATAGTGTCTAGGATAGCAATTAATATGTGGCCGCCGTCTGGTTTTGGCAACCTGACAAGCCTGCTTACTGAACGCTTGGTTGGCCAAACAAGAGCCTTCTCGCACTGCATCAGAAGCGACGCTAGAACCGCTAGCATCGCATCCGACAGGTACTGAAGCGAACGAGGGTGGATCTTGCAACAGCCCACCGCCGTCTTCACCCCCCTCTTTTCCGCCCCCGATCTCTGGCAGGCCTGCGGGCAAGCCGGGGCGCTTCGCCACTGCTCGAGTCCGAGCGATGCCAAGCTTACCGCCCGCCCGAGGTGCGCGGGCCCTTGCTCGGATCTACGCCGGGGTTTGCGCGGGGGCGGCACCGCGGCGCGCCGCGGCGCGCCGCTGCGCGCCGAGAGGGTCGAGCCCTGGCGCCCGAGCCTCGAGCCTCGAGCCTCGGCCCTCGAGCCTCGGCCCTCGAGCCTCGGCCCTCGATCTGCTCGGCCCTCGGCCCTCGAGATCCTCCCCTCGATCTGCTCGGCCCTCGGCCCTCGAAATCCTCTCCTCGGCCTTCTCGGCCTTCTCGGCCCTCGGAGCCTCGAGGCTCGACCTGCCGGCGGCCGATGCCCGGAGGTCCGCGCACCCCGCGCGGAGGGCAGGGGGGGGGGGAGGAGGGGGGGAGGAGGAGGGGAGGAGGAGGAGGGGGAGGAGGAGGAGGAGGAGGAGGAGGAGGAGGAGGAGGAGGAGGAGGAGGAGGAGAGGAGAGGAGGAGGAGGAGGAGGAGGAGGAGGAGGAGGAGGAGGAGGAGGGGGAGGAGGAGGGGGAGGAGGGGAGGAGGAGGAGAGGAGGAGGAGGAGGAGGAGGAGGAGGAGGAGGAGGAGGGGGAGGAGGAGGGGGAGGGAGGGGCAGGCGGGCGGGCAAGAGGCGGGCGGCTGCACGCCGGTGCATCGCGGCGCGACCTCTTGCGCGCGGGCTGCCGCAGGCCGCGCGGGTCACTACACTTCGAACTTCGAACGGCCGCGGCCTTCCTAAGTGAAGGGGCCCCAGGACACACAAATAAATACACACAAGTAAAAATGTCCCCCATATTTTCCCATATTTTCTAGGTTTCTGTCAGTCTTCCCCCCCACTTCAATATTTTCCCATATTTGCTGGGGAATCGACGATTAATTGTGTCTGTATGTTTTTCCCCTCCTGACACTACACTTCGAACTTCGTACGGCCGCGGCCTTCCTAAGGTCGGGCGGAAAGCGCGATCGGCGGCTGCGCTGGGCATTCCATTCTGGAGCCCCTGGGGGGGGGGGGGGCATCTCGACCGAGGACGCAGCGGCGCTGAAGGTGCAGGTGATGAGCGCGGTGCAGGCGGAGCTGGAGCAGTGGCGGCTGCAGGTCCTAGCCGAGGTGAGCAGCCGGTTGTCCCGCGCCTTCGCGGACCCGAGCGGCGGCGACACCACCAATCGCCGGCTCCAGAAGGTGGGGTTGGAGGGGAAAAAACGCTCCCAACGGCCCCTGGAAGAGGGAGACTCGTTCAACGGGAGTATCTGGCTGGGCCGGTTCCCCAATCCCACCTCGGGAGAACCCTCCCTCTGCGAGCTCCCGATAAAGAGGTCCCCAGAGAAACCCGCAGAGGCTCCAAGAGGCTCCCAGGAGGCCGCCGAGAGGCTCCCAAGAGGCCCCAGCATGCCTCCCCAGAGAACTCCAAGATCCTTCCGAAGAGACCCTAAGAAGCATCCCTGGGGACTCTGACCCACGTCAGCATTGTCGTCGCAGCGGTCGCTGCCGTTGTCGTCGTCGTCGTCGCCGACTCCCTTCAGGGTCGGCGGTTCCGGCCGTAAGGCCTTCGCAACCATTTCACATTGAACGGTCGGAGCCTACTTACAGCGCCGATCGCTCAATGTCGGCCATTTCGGGCCCCTGGCGGCGTTCCACCTTGAGCGCTCGCGCTGGGGTCGCCGCTGCGTCGATCCGCACGCCCGACTTGGGTACCTCCAAAAACTGGCACGATGCTCAACAGCAATGGATGTCCAACATCGCCAGCGCCCGCTGTTGAACAGGCGACCGTGCCTCCGACGGACAGCGTCCGCGGCGACACTGACAGCGAGGCATGTCTAGAATGGACAGGGATGAGGTGAAACGTCGGGAGGAGGATGATGATGATGATGATGAGGAGGAGGAGGAGGAGAAGGAGGAGGAGAAGGAGGGAAAGGAGGAGGAGGAGGAGGAGGAGGAGGAGGAGGAGGAGGAGGAGGAGGGACGACGAGGACGAGGAGGAGGAGGAGGAGGAGGAGGAGGAGGAGGAGGGACGAGGAGGAGGAGGAGGACCAGGGACAAGGAGAAAGAAGGAGGAGGACGAGGAAGGCGAGGAGGCGATGCATCGCCGATAGATCGGCAATGCGCAGGCCCTGGATGGCGACACCGCACGGTCCTGGGCGGGGTGGGCCCTCGGGCCCCTGTCGGCGAGGAACGGGCGATTGGGGGGTCGATGCACCCCCCACAGACCACAGAGCTCATCCATGTTGCCCGTGAAGAGTGGGCAAGGACCTACTGGGCTTCGTCCCCACTCTGTCCGTCTCCGTCTCGATCCCACCGATGCCGTAAGCGAGTGAGCCGGCCTGCGCGCACACGGGGCAGGAGAGCCCAGTCGAACCGATCAGTCGGATCGGCGATCGAACAGAATCGGATCGGCGGAGATCGGCAGCCAGAGCGGCAGACATCGGATCGGCGGGATTCGGCAGGCTAGCAAGACTTCCACTGAGAAGCTGGAATCCAACTCGGAATCCGAAGCCGAATCGAATCGGTCGAATCGGGATCGGAATCGATCGAAATCGACTGAGCAAGGGCCGACCGTCCCGGCTTTCCTATAGGCCTACCACGGAAATGTATCATATCCCAAACCTGTTCTACTAACAAACATAAGGTTCTTAGAACAGGAGCCCGCTGTGTGAAACAAGACAGTCTCAACCAGCACTGTTCGAAAAACATTCCGTGCAGACCACACAAGGTTCCCATAACATTCTTTGGTGGGCCTAATAGGCAAGCCGAGACGCTTCGCCACCGGGGCTTGAGCCCTGCCTCGGGGGCAGCTGCGCGACGACCCCTCTGCGCAGCGCGCGTCTGGCGCGCTCCGCCGAGCCGCCGCCGCCCCACGGCAGGTCGGGGGGGGCGGGGCGCTTCGGGGCAGCCGGCTGCAGCATCTGGCCCTGGTAGTTCTTGGCCACCCTGCGGGGCGATGCGTGCTGTTGTTGCGCTCTCTTTGCCATCGCTCGGACATCCATTTCCTCTGCATGTTCCTGTTTCGTGCGTGTCTTGGTTCGCAAGGTGAACCAACATGATCTTCGATTGTCCTTGCCTAGGAAGATGCGCACGTCCCAGCGATGCCTAGTCTCTCCCTCTCTCTATCTCTCCTCATCTCTCTTTCTGTGGCTCTCTTTGGTGGCGACATCCCCCCACCAGCCGCCGATTCTCCCAAATGAACGGGAGGCTGGGCGGGGCTCGGAGTTCGCCACGCGCGCGACGGATTCCGAACCCAACCCCCGCCGCCCAACGAGTTACCTGAATCGTTGATCGGCGAGGGTAGGGATCGGACTTCGCCTCCAATCTCTCTCTCTCTCTCTCTTCATCTCGGCCTCCTATATGAAGCAAGAATTGATAGGGTCAAAGCGTCGCGTCGCGTCGCTGTTGCACGAGCAACGTCGGGGCGAAGAAAATCAGGCGCTGCATCCTGCCACGTCGCTGATGCATCGGCGATGCCGCCCGATCTGCTGACCCCATCTGCTCTGGCTCCATTTTAGGGAGCCTGAACGCTCTCTCTCTCTCTCTCTGTCGTTCTCTCTCTCTCTCTCCTGCCTGTGGCAAGTCTTCGGCGACGCCACAAACAATGTCAGAATATGCGGAGGTCGTCCTGGCGCTCACACGCGCCGTGAAAAATCCGGTCCCACGTTTACGTCTCCACATGGACTGTCCCCGAGGTCCAAACCTGCGAACAACATGATCGACCCACGAACCCGGACAGGGATGCAGAGCTGCGAGGCACGGGAACGCTTCCGCTGTGCCGCGCCAGGCGACGCGCCTCTGGACCTGCCGGAGGGCATGCCACAGCGCCGAACAATGTGCCGGGGGGATGCGCCGCGAAACGGCCCAACTGATTTGGATCTTAAGCTTGAGCTGCCCGACGGACCAGCTCGCCCAGAGCTAGCTCAAGCCGAAGGCAGCAAAAGAAACAATCAACTTGAGCTCAAGATCCGTCTGAGTTTCGAAGCGGGCCGCCGAGACGACACGGGGCGCAAGGCGCATGGACGCGCCACGGAATGTGCCGGAGGAGCACTAGGGGATGCGCCAAGGGACGTGCCAAGGGATGTGGCAAGGGACGCGCCACGGAACGGGCACGGAAAGCGACAGGGGACAAGCCAAGGAACGCGACAAAGGACGAGCCAGGGGACGCGCCGACAGGGGAGGGGCATGCGCCGTCCAGCTCTGGGGCGTTAGAACTAACGTTTTAGCGCTTGTCCCGCTCTGGGGCGTCATTTGGGAACCCACGAACTTTCATACTTGTCCCGCCCTGGTGCGTTAGGAATTCAAATGTTTTCATGCTTGTCCCAGCTCTGGGGCGTCAGGAACCTATGCTTTTTCACGCTGGTTCCACTCTGGGGCGTTAGGAACCCATTTGTTTTCCCGCGGTTCCCGCGGTGGGGCGTTAGGAATCCCACTTGTGTTCTCGCTTGTCCCGGTCTGGGACGTTAGAAACCCATGTGCTTTCAGCTTGTCCCGCCCTGGGGCGTTAGTAACCCACGTGTTGTCAATCTTGTCCCGACTTTGGGCGATAGGAACCCACGTGTTTTCAGGCTTGCCCTGCTCTGGGGCGTCGGAAACCTACGCGTCTTCGTGTTTGTCCAGCTCTGGGGCATAAGGAACCCACGTGATTTCACGCTTTTCCCGCGCTGGGGCATCAGGAACCCATGTGTTTTCGCGCGTCCCGCCCTGGGGGTTTAAGAAACCATATGTTTTCACGCTTGCCCCGCTCTGGAGCGCTAACGGCTCACGTGTTACCGCGCTGGTCCAGCTTCGGGGCGTAAGGAACCCGTGTGTTTTCACGCTTGCCCCGCTCTGGGGCGTTGGGAACCTATGTGTCTGCACGCTTGCCATGCTCTGGGGCGTGAGGGGCATATGTGTGTTCACGCTTGTCCCGCTCGGAAGTGCTCGCTGAGGCAAATCTACAGGAAATGACTCGAGCCCCAGGAGAGGAACAATATGAGAGGACAAGAAAAGCTTGTCGCTCTAGACATCTTCAACACATGCTGCAAAACAAGCGTTTAGCTCGAGACATTCGCGACACACGACAAATGCGCAATTGACCATGTGCTTCATCGATCGGGATATCGAAACACCAGCGTTTCGCCTGAGACATCGTCAAATTTTAATCCGCCGGTTCTCCTTCGTGCGTTCGTCGTGCCCAACCCCCGCGCGGCGCCCCCATGCCCCCGACTCCCGCCGCTCCGCCGCCCGACGGCGGACCCGCTGGCCTGTCCCTGCTGCTTCCTTCCTTTCCCGGCCCTGCCGCTCTCCTCTGTGTGAAGGGGAACTGGGACACACAAATAAATGAATAGACACAAAGAACCAGATCCCCCATATTTTCCAATACTTTCTGGGCTTCTGTCTTCCCCCCCACTTCCCATATTTTCCGCATTTTCGGGGGAATCGGTCATTAATTGTGTCTGTGTGTTTTTTCCCCTCCTGACTGTGGTCAGCCCCCCTGCCGGCGCACGCCCGCACCGCTGCGCCCGCGCCTCTCACGGCGCCACAGTGTACATGCAAGGCATTGTTTTCGTCCGATCTGGCAAACTCGAGGTGATCTGGGCATCTCAGAGAACCCATCCGAGCTCAGAGCTTCCAGTCTGCATTCGCACACGGCTCTGAAGCTGCGCCTTTCCTCTTGAGCGGAACTCGTAGTCCGAGGCACTTGATATGGCAACGTGCTGCCAGTGCCAGAACGCGACGCTCCTGCAACTCGTCGTCCTCTTCTTCGTCCCCCTCGTCCTGCTGCGTCTCCTCCCCGAGGCCGTCCACGGCGAAAAAACACATACCAAAAAGCCGACCGACTCAAGGATCCGACAGCGAAACCGACACGTGTCCATATCAAGTCCCCCCCGAGGTGCAGGATGTGGCTATGTCTGGGTCCCAGGGGCTCCAGACGGGTCCGTATCCACCACCCCCCCGAGGTGCAGGAGATATGGCGATCACAGCCTCGGATCTGAGGAACGTGGGGCCTGCGTTGCGCTTGGATTTGTTCCCAAGGGTGCTCCGGCTATCCAGGGGCTGTTTCTTTGGCGGGCCGCCAATCTACACTGCCCAGAAAGCTAATCCCTCTGCTGTCCGCACGTGCCCACTTTCCTTTTGTGAGCAGGCGAGAACTTCGGGTGCAGAATCAAGATTCGCACGTGTCATTGCACCATTCACTGCGCTCCGTCTCGGTTAGCCCGCGTGATCTGTAGTGCAAACGATGCCTACGTGTGCTTCTCAGCCTCAGCAGACCGAGAGGGAGAGAAAGCGAGCGCGCGCGAAGAAAGAGAGAGAGGGGGGAGAGAGCAATGCGAGTGTCCTCGTGACCGAAGATATGTCAACGGGGAACGCGGACGGGTGGCTCTTCTCCAGGAGCTCCTTGGCCTGCGGAGCGGGTGACAGCGCCGCTTCCTCGTGTCAACCCGCAGAGTAAGGATGCGCGATAGGGATGCAAGGCCCTTGGAAGCCCATCTCGAAGCGTTTCGAGCGGGGCGCGGCCAACGAGAGTGTCCAAGGATGGACCCAGGAAGCAAGGATGCAAGGGTACCCTTGGGAGGGATGCATATCCTTACTCTGCGGGTCGACTGTATGTCGGAGTTCGTTCACTGTCACGTGGCTCACTGTCAAGTCTCGAGAAGGGGTGGCTTTCGGGTGGGGGACCAGCTCGAGTGGGAAGCATCGACCTGGAGTCGGCGATGCATGGCCGATCGATCGCCGATGGTAGAGGCCTCCTGGATGGAGATCGAGCAGATGGGGTCGGAGAATCGCGCCGCACCGCCGATGCATCGCCGCCGGCGCGGAGAACATCGGGCCCCACATCGAGCCGCATCGGCGGTGCAGCGCGATCCTGCGAGCCCACCTACTTGTGTACCCCGCTGGGCCCAGCGATGGGCCCCCGATGGTGGACCTGCCACCCCAGACCCCCGACATCATGATTTTTTCATGACGTCGACCCCCAGAGGTTTGGACCCATTCCCCAGGACCGGTGTTTCCTCCTGAGTCGTTTTTTGACGGTCCCGAGGCCCGGCAGGGGCCCCCAGAGGCCGAAAATATGGAAAAACTTCCCGTCGTGATTTTTTCATGACTCGAGGGGGTCTGGGTCTTTGCCGCCCCCGAGCGAACCTTCCCCCCCCCCGCGCCCATCCCATCCCCCCCCCGGAACTCGGCGGAGCGCGCGCCGAGGCGGCGGTGGCTCCAGCTCGGCCCCCGGACCTCCCCGGGGGCAGGCGGGCCCAGGAGCGAGCCGCTGGGTCGAGCCAGCGATCGAGATGCCTCGGATCGGCTGACGAACGAGCAACACACACCCATACCCATAGGGAGGTCGTTGGGAGGAGGACTGGCTATGGGTATGGGTGCGGGTTGTCGGGCCCTGGGGAACGCTCCCATTCGAGCGGGGACCTCCATCCGACAACACGCACCCATAGCCCTCTCCGATCCCCCTATGGGTATGGGCGTGTGTTGTTGGTTCGTCATCGGCGGAGCTCGACAGCCAGGTCGGGATGGACTCGGGTCGGCGGAAATCGGCAGAGCAGTCGGGCCTCACTGAGAAATCAGGGTCCAGAAAACGGAACCCGAGGTCGGATCGAGTCGGAATCGGAAGCCATCGAAATTCGGGGGCGCGCAAACATGAATTAGCGATCCATGGATTTGGCGCGCGGTCGCCAAATCCATGGATCGGGGAAGGTGCCCTCCCCAAAATGCGGCCGGTGCCGCCTCGCTCGGCGGCGGAAGTCCGCGGTTTCCCCTGGAAACGGGGCCCGTCGCTAATCCACGCCCCCTCGATCCACGTCTGCGATCGCCGGAGGTGGATCGGCGAGAGGCCCCCGGCAGCGAAGCCGCACCTTCCGGGGGGGGTGGGGCTATCGGGCCCCCACCGGCGACCCTTGAGCGGTGGGGGGTCGAGGCGTGCCCCCCCCCCCAGGCAGAGGTCGACCCGTCCCCCCCCCTGGCCTGCCGCTGCCCCTGACAGAGGCCACCCCCAGGGCGGCCGGCGGAGCCAAGACGCGGCGGGGCGCCCGCTCAGCTCTGGGGCTCGACGCGAGCGTGAAGTCGGGCCTGTCCCCCTACGAGGGGATTTTGGACGAAAAATACAAAATACTCCAAACATATTCCAAAAATGGCCCAAAATTGTCCCCTGACTATTTTTAACTATTTTTGGTTACTCCCCCTGTAGAGGGACAGGCCCGACTTACCGCAAGCGGTGTGTCTCGTTTTCGTTGTCGCTGTGGTGCCGTTTCCCCCCGTTGTGTCCCAAATGTGCCCTTGCTACAAAACGAAATCGAAACGAACACGGCCCGCGAAATCGCCAAAACACCGTTTAGGTCCACCCCTGCTCAGCTCGAGCTCGGCGCAGAGCGCACCACCCCGTTTGCGCCGTGATGGCGGCGCGCTGGTCTCTGACACCGCGCGGATCGCTCAGCCTCGAATGAGCGGCAACTCTTCGACCGTCAACTCCGATCCATCATGGCCGATCCTGGGCCGCCGGTGGCGCTCGACCTACTACCCTCGTCAAAATTAACCTCAACAATTGCTGGCACGTCATTTCCATTTCGGCGCGCCCCTCAATGTCGACACGCCGCCCCTTCAGTTGTCTGCAAACCGTGAGGCGGGAGCGATGACACACTCTTCACTGCTGCTGGGCTGCCTGAGCAGCCATTTCATGTGCTTGGATGCGAGCGAGAATCGCTTGCATCCCAGGGGTTTGTACGAGGCCCTCCAAGCCAACTCCACTCGACACAGGCGCCGTCTCAGGAGGAGGGGGGAGGGTAGCAGCATAGCAAAGATAGTTCACTCCTCGTCTTGAGGAACCCGCACGAGAATCCTCGGCACTGTAGTGAGGATACAGTCCAGCTTTGATGCGTGAAAGCGTCGATCTGGCTCCAGGAAGTTTTCGGCCAATGCAGTCTTGGCCGAGCTTACGACACCGTTGCGAGGTATATGCCCCGCAAGTCGTACAGAAAAAGAGGCTAAGCTTTTTACCCTCACGCTCCACAATGGATTGGGCCAACTCGTGGCCTTTGGTGAAATCTAACACTCCCCGCCACGTTTTGCGAGGTCCCTTACAACCGAGCAATGGGGGGGGACGCTTCATCACTTGAAAAAGTTAGGCACCTCAGGCACCTGGCACATTCTCTATCTTTACCTATGATCTCCCAGTGGTGCCATCCACCAGATCTTAGAAACTTACATCTCGGGCCGCCTTCTTTTCGCTCGAAGTGCTCCGAGGGAAAAACACACACAAAACTTTGGCCGCCGCTCGGCTCGCAAACTCGAGTTTGTTAATTTCTTCTCCTAAGGTGTCCCACTGCGAATTAGAGGCTCGGGGGTGAAGGAGAAGGGCTTGCTTGGCTAACGTATCCGCGAGTTTGTTTCCCACACCGATCCTTCTCTCGGGCCCTGGGAGGCTGTCGAGGACTTCCTGGGACCTGTGGGCTGGGGTGTGAACGACATTGAACGAATGCGAGGGCAAAGATAGTCTGACCGAAGTTGACTCGAAAGCTTGACGTCGACCGACATTGAAGGGGCGGCGCGTGCAAGTACCCCGCACTCATCGATACTCGGCCCCAGAGCTTCCGACAAGCAGTTCAACCACGTCAGACATTTTTGAGGTTCATTTTGACGAGGGTTGTAGGACGCCCGCGGCGGGGTCGCCGTCGCGTTGACGCGGCGCGGACCTGCCGTACACCGCCACACCTGGACGAGAAAGCGGAACGGCATAAGACACACAGACGCTCGGAGCTCCGCGCGGACGTCTTTCGGCGGTGGACAGACCTCCCTTTAATAGACCTCCCCTTAGTGAAAACGGCCTGGGACCGAAACCGACGGACCTGGACCCGCAACAATGACGGCCGCGACGCCCTCTCGCGAACCGAAAACGGCCAATTCCTTAATCGACGTGTCAGGGTAGGAGATCTGTCCTCCCCGAGTCTTGGATCTTGGCCAGGACCCCTGGCGGCGCCGCCAGCGCCGCTCCCTGGCGCGCTCCGGACTTCAACGCAGATCCAAGAGATCCGCGCGGATCTCCCCAAGCCTGTCTGAGCTTAGGTCGGGCCTGTCCCCCTGCAGGCCGATCTCTTCGACGAACAATTCAAAATACCCCAAACATGCTCCCGAAGGGAAACGAAAACTAACAGAACTCGTCCCCAGACTATTTTGTCCACTAGTTTTGAGCATTCCTCCTGTAGAGGGACAGGCCCGACGGAAGCCTAAGCTGTGCTGCCTCCCTCGAGCTCCACGGGCCTGCCCCGGGTGCGCCCCCGACGACGACGGCGCTCTCGAAGGGCGAGCCCGACCGCGGCGCGACGGGAAGGCAGCGGGATCGGCACGGCGTCTTCCCCTGACGCTCCCTCGCGTCTGCCGCGCTGGACGAACAGCAGGAGGGCCCAGAGTCGAATCGATGAGTCGGATCGGCGACCGGATTCAAGCGCGGGATCGCCCGGAAATCGACGGCCGAGTCGGGAGAAGTCGGATCGGCGGAAAGCGGCAGGCTGGCAGGCCTCCGTTGAGAAACCGGAGCCCGAATCGGAGGCCCAAATCGCCTCGAATCGGAATCGGCAGCCATCGAAGTCGAATCGAACCGAACCATTGCAGAGAGAGAGAGAGAAGAAAAGGAATAGGAGGGGGGGGAAAAAAAAACAAGCAAAAAATAATAAAAACAACAAAAAAATCGAACCGGACGAGCCCTGCCCCGGTGCCTCCCGGCGCCGGAGGCAGCCACGCATCGAGGAAGGCGCACGAAACGGCGGGGCCGAGCCCGGCTGCACGCACGGCAGCTTTCTCGCAGCCCACCGCGAGGCGGGGCCTTCTCCATGCACGGCCACCGCCTGGAGCATCGATCGTCGGGGGCCTTGGCACGCGTGTGGGTATGGATATTGTGGATGCAAGACATTCGCGCGAAACCAGATCATAACGCTGGAATTCCGCCGCTCCAGGAGAATGAATGCAGTCTGGGCCACGAAGAGATGGGGCTCAAAAACCTGCACCTGTGGTTCGCGTTTTTTTTGTTGTTGTTTACTTTTTTGGCGACGGCCGCCGATCGTGCCCGGCTTGGAACCCGCGGTCTTTGAATGGCGAACTTCCAACGTTACCCATCGGTCGGAAGAAGTAGGTAGAAACATGAAGTAGGAAGGCGTTGAAAGTAGATTGAGTTTCCGCCCGCCTCCCGAAGAGGAGGGAAAAGGGACAACCACTCGACTCTTGAAGCAGGAAGGCACTGAAAGTAGATCAGAATCCGGGAATCCAAAAATACCTACTTTCAACGACCGACGGGTACGGATCAGTTTCGCGCGCCTCGTTTCCATCCACGACCTCTTTGGCCCCCCCCCGGGGCCAGCACCCATCCATGCCCACCGCCCGCCTTATAGGTCCCTGACGTCGCTCCCCCAGACGGTGGCTGCGGACAAATCTCCTCCTCGGATCCACATGTTCCCAAGCCCCCCCCCCCCCTCCCCACTCGTCTCCTGCGGTCTTCCTCATGGTCTCCCATGTGGTCTAAAGTATGGTCTCCCGCGTGACATCTGGCATGGCCTCCCATGTGATCCCCCAGCTTGTCTCCCGTATGGTCTCCCGTATGGTCTTCCGCATGGACTCCGCTCGGCGTTCTCGGCATGTTCTCTCGCACTGTCGTCCCGCATGGTCTCTCGTACACGACTCCCCTTCTGTCTCCCGCATGCTCTCCCTCCATGGCCTCCCGGGTGGTCTCACTGAAATGGTCTCCCGTCTGGCCTCCTGTACGGTCTGAATGCTGGTCTCCCGCATGGTCTCGCTTCGGGTCTCGCTTCGGGTCTCCCGTCTGGCCTCCCTCATGGCCTCCTTTGTACCCTGGATGCTCTCCCTCGTGGTCTCCCCTGGTGGCCTCCCTGGTGGCCTCCCGCGTCCTGCTCCCTCCAGCACTCCCGGTGCTGGTCCGCACTTTCTCAGCTGCCCTCCCCAATGATCCCCGCAGCACTCCCAAACGCCTGTCCGGGGTCTTCTGCCGCCGCGGGGGGCGATCTAGATGTCCCTGCGGTGGCACGTCGAGATGTGTAACCTTTACCAACCGCGCCCTGGGGCATTCGTCCCTGGTGTCGGAACAGCTATGGTATGTCCGGGGAGAACGCAAAGGGGGGATAGCAAAGGGTAGGGTAGAGAATCAGCTCACGTAGCTGATCTTCCCAGCGCCTCCCGGCGCCGTGAGGTGCCCCTTTATCGAGGAATGGGCCCGGAGGCGGGGCCGAAAGCAGCTGCATGCAGCAGATTTCGTACCCCCCCCTTTCCCTATCCCCCCTTTCGTTCGGCCCGATCCTCCGCCCTCCTCCGCCCTCCGCCCTACTCCGCCCTCCTCCCTCCTCACTCCTCCGCCCTCCATCCTCCCTCCTCCCTCCTCCCTCCTCCCTCCTCCCTCCTCCCTCCTCCCTCCTCCTCCTCCTCCTCCTCCGCCTCCCTCCTCCCTCCTCCCTCCTCCCTCCTCCCTCCTCCCTCCTCCATCCTCCTCCTTGCGGTCCCTCTCCCCTGCCCAGGCCGGAGGCACGGCCCGCAGCCCCCAAACCCCAGCTGGGCCAACACACTCTCAGACGTCTTGGCTGCACAAGGGCGCCTAACTTCGCGCTTCGCGATGCGCAAGCAGCTTCGCGCTCTCGCGCCGCCCCCCCCCAAGGGGGGAAAAGAGGAGGATGAGGGATGGGAGCCGGACCGCGAAGCGCAACTAACTCCGCGCCCTCGAAGCGCCCCTGTGTATGGGCGCCGACGGCGAAATGTGCCGAAAGCGAAGGCGAAGCCTGTGTGTGCGGAACGTGATGTCCACACCCCCACGCCGTTCTTCATGCGCTGATCATCCCCCTCCGCTTCCTCTCCTCCTCTTCGAGGGGGCCAGTGCCCCCAAACGGGACTCCCCCGGTCCGCGCCAGGACTCGGCAGCAGGCCGATGGGACGCTCCCCCGTCGCAGACCACGAGAGGATGGCCAACCTTACGGGAAACGCGGGGGAAGGACGAAACATAGGAGAAGAAGAGGGTGAGCAGGAGCGGAATTTCGATCAAAGTAAAAGCGGCATGGGCTGGGGAACCTGGCAATGGGCTGACTCGAGCTCCCGACACAGATGGGGCACGCCGGCCGTGGCTGGAGAAAACTGCAGGTACAGTCGAGGCCAGTCCACAAGAAACCTTCCACAACAAACCCAAACCTGAGACCCCAGGACATCCAGTGATTTTTGCTGTGGGAAGGTCGCGCATTCCACAGCAAAACCCTGGAAGCCCAGGAAACCCAGGGCACCCTGGAGTCAAGCAGGGTGCTTCTTGGCATGGGCCTCCACTGTAGGCTGGTCAGGACTTGAAGAAGTGCAATGGCCGGCGCCTGCCACCTTCTCCGAGCTTCACTGTGCACCTGGGAATTGCTGGCCACGCCAGTCTGCCAGGTCTGGCCAACACCCTGCCACCTCGACGGAGCCGATCGCGCGGCGCCTCCTGTCTGCGACGCACCGCACACTCCTTGGGTGACGCGAGGTGATCCAGACCCCCATTGCTTCAGAACCGGGAACTACTCACAAGCACGTGCATGACGTGCGCGCGCAGGGCGTTGGAGTTCCCAATGAACAGAGTTTGTGCATCACTCGGATGGCCACTTGATGAAGGTAGTGACGACCCACACTCTATCACCGCGCACCTGCATGAACTGACGCGCAGGAGGAGCGATAACATAACGAACACCCCTTGGACGTACCCGACACCATCTAATCATCACGAGCTGCACAGAGCCCGATAATAATGCGAGGCGTTCGGAGGGGCTGAAACGCAAATTTCCTCAGCCTGTGGGATGCCCTTGCGATGAAAATTGGCCTCTAAGAAGAACTCTGTTTGACGCACCCCCCGCGAGAGAAGCATTCTACACGAATCAGCAATGCCTTCTTGCCGATCAGCTGGCCGTACTTGGTGGCCTCTGCCAGCTCCTCGTGCAGTCAATCGCACGTGGGGAAAGAGAAACTGATGCACAGCTGTATCGGATAACAGCCTGCCACTGGAGGGATGGTTGGTCAGCGCCGAAGCCTTCCGAACCCCCCAGTATGACCCGAGCAGATATCGACATCCAGACTGGACACCACAGCGAAGCTGGTCATATCCAATCTGGTGCAAGTGCAGGACGACTTTCACAGGCTCAGAAGTGGCAGAGATACAATCAATCCAAAGAAAAAACAACGCTGGCTCCCCACACTATTCCAATCATACGGGTTCCTTCGTGCCAAAGGAGTCTCGCAATTCACGCCGTCCCACCCGCCCGAGACTCTGCCCTCCATGCAATTACGGCGGATGCAACCCTCCCATATGCAGGCAATGCTACAAAGAAATTTGAGCATAGCACCACCAAAAAAAACATATACCCTGCTCCAGGGAATGAGCTCTGTGACATCCGGTCATCCCAGGTTCGGAAATGCTAGCGGTGTCAAAGGGGTCTCACCATGCCAGCCGTCCCATGTCGAGACTTTGGACACTGCATATTGTTCTGGCCGACCAACCCTCAACGCTCTCCAGACGCTGGAATGTCCATAGTCTTACGTCTTACCATGTCAGCCCTCACAGGTCCTTTTACCCCACCGCCAATTTCTGGCTATTGCAGCTCGACCAGGTCCAGAAACGATGGCATCGCCATTATATTTCCCCCATCACTCGATCACTGCACAATCCCGAGACTCACCCCGATGCATTTCTAATTGCTCCATCCCCATCCTGTCTCCATGCTCCATGCGCTCCCCGACAGCTGCTTGACATACGGACAGGAAATACCTACTGGCCAACAAAGGGACGGGCGTGCCTGCCTGGGGGTGGCAGCTGTGATCGTACTCGAAACATGCCGCGGACGGCATCTGCAAGATTCACCAACAATTGTGATTCGCATGCTGGACAACTAGTATCGGGGATGGACAGACCTCCCTTTAGTAAAACGTGGTTTAGTGAAAACGACCTGCGGCCCAGACCGGGCGGACGCAAGCCTGGAAAATGACGGCATCGGCGCCCCCTTGCAAACCGAAAACGGACCATTCACTCATCGACGTGTCACTGTTGGGGGTTCTGTCCACCCCCGATAGTAGACAACCGGTCTGCGATGCATCCGCTGCTATGGGACGTGCCGTGCCTCTCTCCCGCGGAGCATCGGCCTTCATGGAGCGGACCTCCTCCTCCTCCTCCTCCTCCTCCTCCTCCTCCTCCTCCTCCTCCTCCTTCCTCTTCCCTCCTCCTCCTCCCGTGCCAGCAGGCGGCGCTCCGGGCCTCACGTGCGGCACCGGGGGGGGGGGCATCCCTGGACCTGCTCGAGCCTCCTCGGCGAGCACCGCAGGGCCAATAGGCTTCCCCTGGGCGGGGCCAGCTGGGGTCGCACTGCCTCCACAGTCGGGGCGCTGAAAAAGGAACCCTGTTCGTTGGGGAGGGGCTCCGTGTTCCCTAGTTGTGTAGCAGTTTGCCTTGGGTTTCCCATGGGAAATCGAAGTTCAATGTGTGGAGAAAAGGGGCATCGTTCCTTACTTAGGGTTCCTTAGGTCAACGCCCCGACTGTACGCGAGCCCGCTAAAGCGAAGAGTGGGCGCCATCTGAGCCAGACCGACGCGAGCCACCGCAAGGGCTGCTGGGCGACGCCTGCCCGGCTGCCGTCCCCGGCCCGCGGCGGCCGAGGCGAGGCGGTCCCGCCACTCGGCGACAGTGAGATAGAGAGGAGGGCCTGGCACTGGCACGTGCGGTAGAAGCCGCGCTTCTGCCCGCTCTGGTCTCTTCCCCCCCCCATCCGCGCGCCCCGCCCCTCGAAGCCGAAGACAGTTACCGCACAGCACGAAGGTACGCAAGGGGAGGATGCAACGATACTCGTGGGCGTCCACGTGGAAACCCGCCGCAAGGGTGGCCAACCGAGTCGAATAAGACTGGGTCGAGACGGCAAGATTAAGAACACCAGCGGATGCAAATACGCCTCATCCTCATCATAGGCGGCGGCTTCGCGAGCCGCCCAACCCTAGATCCTAGATCGAGGAGGTCGACGACTTGTCGTCCTTTCCTGGATCTCCCAAACAAATCCTCGCCGCCTCAAATCTCGTCCAACGTTATGCCAAATCAGATATTGCCGCGAGAGAAACCTCCGGACGGATCCCCGATGAATCTGCTGGGACATCTTGCCTCCATTGGGGGGTTAGGATCTCATCAGCCTGCCCCACCCAGGCGCTCCTCCGCGGGGATGTCTGTGAACTTGGCGTTCGGGTTCTCGTCGTTGCAGAAGGCCTTCAGGCATGCGGAAATGCCGACGCACGAGCAGTTGAACTCGCCGACGATCCACTGCTCGTCCTGTGTTGGGGGGCCGCTACCCTCCTCCCACCCTCCGCGCCTCCCTCCGACCGTCCTGCTCCATCCGTGAAATCCTGGCGTCGCATTTTGTCACAACGGGTGGTACCACCTTCATCAAGGCCCCGGGGCCCTCACCGATCGCTCCAGCTCGAAAACGCATCAGAAAGATTGGGTCCCGGGTTCCGGTTGAGCTTTACTGAAATGCTGCAAAGGTTGGGGAGAAACCACAAGGTACCAATATCACTACTCCACGGATATCGCCAGGTGTGCCTTCTGACCAGAATTTCGAGGCGAACCCAGCGGTGGCGACGAGGGCCTCCCAGGAGGCCCAAAAAGTAGAGGAGCGAAGGGTAGAGGTTTGGTGAACGTTTTCTTATTCGGCGTTTCGACATTGGGCGGAAGGGGGGGGAGGGGGGGGTCTGGCTCCGGACCTTTGCTTAATTAGCGCGGCTGTTTGGAACCGTGCGTGCTATCGGGGAGACCCCACCTGCTCGAGACAGGCGCCAAAGACGGTCAAGATCGCTACTCCATGGGGGGGGGGGGAAGGGTGTGTGTGTGTGAGGGCCCGCGCCGATCGGCAGAAGAAGGAAGAACAACCTATCACATGGGTCCCTTTTTTTCCTCTGGGGGCCCCAAGAGACTCCCAAGAGGTCCCCAAGAGACCCCCCAGAGGCCCTGAAGAGGGCGAATCTCGGGGACCGCAGGGAAGAGCGCCCCCACGGCAGCAGACCCCCGGGACGGCTGCCCGCCGCAGCCACGACGGGCTGCGGCCACGAGGGGCCGCCGGCGCTCTCCGGGTGCCCAGAGCCCCTCGCTGGGCGTCAGAAGAACTATTTTGAAGGGGTCCCAGGACACACAAATAAATACACACAAATCAAATTATTCCCCATATTTTCACATATACATATATATATATATATATATGTATAGATGGTTTTTGTCTTGCCCCCCACTTCCCATATTTTCACATAATCTCTTAGGAATCGACGATTAATCGTGTGTGTGTGTGTTTTTTCCCTCCTGATATTTATTCGGCGGTGGACACACCTCCCTTTGGTAAACCTCCCTTTAATGAAAACGGCCTATGGACCGAATCCGACGGACCTGGACCCGCAAAAAGTGACAGCCGCGATGCCCTCGCGCGAACCGAAGACGGCCGATTCGCTAATCGACGTGTCAGGATAGGAGTTTTATCCGCCCCCGATTTATAGTTATGGCAACGTTCCCCAATCAGTGCTTGCACTGAAGGGGTCCAAGCGTAAATCGAAAATTTTGGCGAACATTTCCCGCCGATGCTGGTGGCTGGTTGGGTTCCCGGGTTCCCAACTCCGGGTTCCTGGGTTCCTGGTCATTGGTTCCGGGCCGATTTCGGTGGGTTCCGGGTCCTCGGGTTCCCGGTTGATCTCCTCATCGATCTCTTTATCGATCCCATTTCAAACCATCCACTGACTGGCACCCATCTTAGATCTCCCCCCCTTCCGGGCTGCCTGGACACGTAAAACGAGTCCTCCGACTCGGGGCCACCATGTTAGATATCCCAATGTATGGCCTGGACAAGTGAAAACACGTGGCTCCAGCTCGGGACCCTCAAGTTAGATACCCTCAGGGTGGCCTGGACACGCGGAAACACGTTGTTCCAGCTCGGGACAACCTGGTTGTATAACCCACTGGGTGGCCTCGACACGTAAAAGCACGTGGAGCACCATGTTATATGTCCACCTGGGTGGCCTGGACACGTGAAACAACGTGGTTCCAGCTCGGGACCACCATGTTAGATACCCGTCTGGGTGGCCTGGAATGTAAAAACACGTGGTTCCAGCTTGGGACCACCATGTCCGATAGTCACCCGGGTGTCTTGGACACGTCAAAACACATGGTTCCAGCTCGGGACCACCATGTTAGATGTCCACCTGGGTGGTCTATTCACATGAAAACACGTGGTTCCAGCTCAAGACCACCATGTTAGATACCCCTCTGGGTGGTATGGACACGTAAAACACAGGGTTCCAGCTCGGGACCACCATGTTAGATGACCCAGGGGGGATTCAGAAAATCACCCGCCGAAGAAACTGTGTCAAGTTATTACAAGTCTGGCTCTTCTTGGCCCCTTCGCTGGGGGTCCCCAGACGACCACATGTCAGATACCCCCTGTGGGTGGCCCGCATGCGTAAAAAAACACGTGGTTCCAGCTCGGGGCAACCATGTTGGATACCCCTCGTGGGTCGTCTGGACACGAACTAAAACACTTCGGGACCACCATGTTAGATCCCCCACTGGGTGGCCTGGACACGTGAAAAACATGTGATGTCAGCTCGGGACCGCCATCTTAGATACTCCGTGGGTGGCCTGGACAGATTCAACTCTGTCACATCCGGGGACAACCATGTTAGATACCTCCCTAGGCGACCTGGGCACGTGAAAACAAGCATTTCGCTTGAGACATCGTCTGAATTCTGGCACCAAGGAGAGAAGCAGTCTATAGGACAATACCCCTTTGTTAAAGAAAATTAGCCCGCAGAACCAACGGTGCACGCCGGAGGCGCTTCCCGTTTAACAAGCGTTTCGCTCGAGACATCCTCACCAAATCAATGTTGAAAAAGAAGCGTTTCGCTCGAAACAAAAGAAACTGCTCACTGCACCATATGTTTTACCAATCGGAACTTCAAATACCAGCGTTTCGCTCGGGACATCCTCAACATTCAAGCCGCCAGCGGCCCACTTCGACCTCGTTATTATCGCACATTCATCCGCGGGCCCTCCTCTTTGAACTTGGCACCGGGGACAGCTTTACCTACTGAAAGAGAACCATGGGCCTGCGCCCTTTCTGGGAAGAGTAGAACGAGCGAGAGAGAGAGAGAGAGTCAGATAATGCCGCCGTGCACGTCATAGGTGTACTGCTGGTGAAGATGGGGCAAACTAAAGCAATAAAGCCCAACCCACTCCACACGATTGTAAAGCTTGCTCTGAGAGCGAACTCATGAGACTCATGAGGCCCTCATCCCGAACCACAATGACCGAAACCGGAATGCCTTGAGCCAAAATGACGTGCCCTTGAGTGCCACTGAGCATGCTGGTCAGTGTGATACTCAGCTCTTCAGATTCTCGCCCCCAATTTACCACACACGACACCTAACATGTGGGCGTGAACTGGCGGCCGTGCGCCGCTGGGCAGGCTTTTCTGGCTAACCATGTGCTCTGAGGGTTGGCGGCCCCAGTCCATTTTCATTACTCGCGTTCGTCACCTCAGCGCATTCCTCCCGCATGCCAGGGCACGAGCTCCTTAACAAGATGATCTCTGCGGGACCCCCCCCCAGCGTCGGACCCCGGACCTCTCATCGCGTGCTGCCGCGGTGCTCGGAAGAAGACCCGTCGACTCTGATCCCACACCCCCGACGTCGGGCTCTTTTTTTTGGTTTGTTTTTCCCATTGCGCGAGCTCCACAAATCTGGACACCACTTCACAGAGACCGGCGCTCCATCCCGAGTCGCCTCTTGCCCAGAGATGCCGGAGACAGCGACACTGAAGTCGGGCCTGTCCCCCTACAGGGGGATTTTCGACGAAACATCAAAAATACCCCAACAATTGTCCAAACATGGTCTGTATTTGTTTGGCCTTCTTGGAATATTTGGGGGGTACTCTTTTCTGTCCGTCGGAAATCCCCCTGTATGGGGGACAGGCCCGACTTACAGCGACCCACCCCCCCGTCATGCCTCTGTTCGGGGTCTGAGCTTGGCGGCGCGATGTTTGACGGCACGCAGGATCGCAGCGCGCCCCGGCGAGCCTGGCTGGAGCAGGCGCAGGGGCGCGGCGGGGTGAACCTCCTCGAGGACAGGCGCCACGGGCCGAACGCGGGAGCGGGATCCGCCTGGGCCCCTCCTCCTCCTCCTCCTCCTCCTCCTCCTCCTCCTCCTCCTCCTCCTGGTGCTCCTCCTCCTCCTCCTGGACCCCTCCTCCTCCTCCTCCTCTCTCCTCCTCCTCCTCCTCCTCCTCCTGGTGCTCTGCCTCCTCCTCCTGGGCCCCTCCTCCTCCTCCTCCTCCTCCTCCTCCTCCTCCTCCTCCTCCTCCCTCCTCCTCCTCCTGGCCTCCTCCTCCTCCTCCTCCTCCTCCTCCTCCTCCTCCTCCTCCTCCTCCTCCTCCTCCTGGTGCTCCTCCTCCTCCTCCTCCTCCTGGTGCTCCTCCTCCTCCTCCTCCTGCTGCTCCTCCTCCTCCTCCTCCTCCTCCTCCTCCTCCCTGGGCCTAGGCCCCCTCCTTGGCATGGCCTCGGGTTGCGCACAGACAGGAGGCCCTCAGCAGGCCCCCCGGAGCGGCCCGGGGCACTCTCGGCACCCCGGCACCGCCTCCGGGGACGTCCCCGCGGCGCTCCGCGCCCCAAGATTGATACGCCGAGACCGACCAGCACGAACTGCCCAGGGGGCCTGTGGAGGCCAGCGGGGACTGCCCGGAGGGGGGCCATCCAGCCCGAAGCCTGGCCATCTCTGGCCTTCCTTCCCCTCTGCCCCGCGCCTCGAGACTACACCATCGACGATGAGCATCTGCTGCTTCTCCGGATCGCTGTCGTGCTCCACGCAGTCGTGCAGGACACGACGAGAACGATCGGGTCTTCGAGCGGAAACGAGTCACATTCGAAACAAATCGACCACCAAAACTGGCACGGACGAACACGGCAACAATACAAATGCAGGGAGAGTTTGGATACATCCATCGCGTGGGACCCTTCGCTTCAACTCCCTGGGGAGACGCGTTGATGAAGGAGTCACATTCGAAACAATTCGACCACCAGAATCGGCACGGCCGAACACAGCTACAATACGCATGCAGGAAGAGTTTGGACACATCCATCGCGCGGGATCCTTCGCTTCAACTCCCTGGGGCGACGCGTTGATGAAGTCGCTGGTCCACCTGCTCCCCAGCAGGGAAGACCGAGAAGAGCGAGAAGAGTTGAGGGGGCCCTAGGACACAAATAATAAATAGACACAACTGACAGGATTCCCCAGATGTTTTCAATACTTTCTGGATTTTCGTCTTCCCCCCACGTCCCATATTTCCCAATATTTTCTTGTGAGCCGACGATTAATTGTGTGTGGTTTCCCCTCCGGAAGAGTGTCAGGAAGAGGCCCACGAGGAATCCGCCGAGCTTGGGGGCAAAAAACCCCAGCCGCTCTCCCGCTGCGACCGGTGAAGGCGAACGCTCCTGCTTGAGGGCTGCTCGACTGCAGTCATCGAGCAGCCATGATGCCAGCGGAGAGGGAGGGAGGGAGGGAGGGAGGAAGTTTGGGCTCCAAATGCGCGGACACCTGCGTGTGGAGCCCTGCGTGTGGGGGCTTTCTCGGCATGCGGAGCCTCGCGTGTGTGTTTGTGTGTTTGTGTGTGTTTGTGTGTGTGTGTGTGTGTGTGTGTGTGTGTGTGCGTGTACGCTCCTCCTCCTCCTCCTCCTCCTCCTCCTCCTCCTCCTGGTGCTCCTTCTGCTCCTGGTGCTCCTCCACCTCCTCCTCCACCTCCTCCTCTTCCTCCTCCTCCTCCGCCTCCTGCCCTCCTTCCTCCTCCTCCTCCTCCTCCTCCTCCTCCTCCTCCTCCTCCTCCTCCTCCTCCCCCTCCTCCCCCTCTCCCCTCCTCCTCCTCCTCCTCCTCCTCCTCCTCCTCTCCTCCTCCTCCTCCTCCTTCCTCCTCCTCCTCCTCCTCCTCCTCCTCCTCCTCCCTCCTCTCCTCCCTCCTCCTCCCCTCCTCCTCCTCCTCCTCCTCCTCCTCCTCCTCCTCCTCCTCCTCCTCCTCCTCCTCCTCCTCCTCCTCCTCCTCTTCTGTGTCCTCGAGCACAAGCGGCGCGCGACCGGGCGGCCACCCCTTTTGGCTCCAACCGGTCATGCAGCCACTCTCGGTGTCTCATCGCGGCGTGCTTGTGACAACCTGGAGATCCTGCAGCATTCACTGGTGTGGGTCTTGCAGTTCTCGATGGGTTGGCTGTTTTTCTTCAGCAGCTTCCTCATCGGTGCTGGCCACGTGCGACGTTGTGTTATACTTCGTCCACGTCGCTTTCGTGCTGACAGGGTGCAGACTGGATCCTTTTGTATCGGAGTTCTCAAGCTTTCCTGTGCATCGATTTCGTGGTTCGTCCCAGGCTGCAAGGGCAATGGGGGGAGCCACTGGCATTTACCTACCCGCCTGCGGTCTGGGCGTATTGCAGGCGAGCGGGTGTTGCTGTCACGACCGTCGTGGAGGACATCCGCCCCAACGGCAGGGTCGATGGGGGAGCCGCACTTACGCACCCGCCTGCTGCCTGGGCGTATTTCAGGCGAGCGGGTGTTGCTGGCACGATCGTCGTGGAGGACATCCGCCCCAGGTGCGGGGAGCCGCTGGCATTGACCCACCCGCCTGCTACCTGGGCGTATTTCAAGCGTGGTGCTGGAATGGTGGCTCACAGAACCGCTGATTTCCATGACAATGTGGGTCGGCGATGCGTCGGCGACGTCGGCGCTGCATTGGCCACGTCGGCGTGGGCTCCGCATCGAGCCGCATCGCCGAGGCATCGGCGAGGCGGCGCGATCCTCCGACCCCATCTGGGCGCCCTGGCCGGGGCCCGCGGGCCGCCCTCGGAGGCGCTCGTGAGGGGGCCCTCTTCGTTGCGATGCCCGGGCTGCCTCGTGGTCGGCGGGCGGGGGCCGCTCCGGCGTCGTCACAAGGAGGTCGCCGAACTGTCCTGAGGCTTCCGCCAGCCAGTCGTGAGCCGTCGTGGGGGGCCGTCTGGCGAAGACGGCTTGGGGCATCCTGGGACCGTTGGGATGCCTCGGAGGGGAAGGCTCATCGATAGCTGGGACGCTGCCAGGAGCGGCTCGAAATCTGCCCAAGGCAGAAAGGACAGCAAGGGTCTGAGTAACAAGCAGAGGCGCCAAAGCAGCTGCCAGTCTTCCCATTGCTGATGCCCTCCCGAAGAAAAGTATACGTCGGCGGCGCGCCCGGGAGGGAAGTGAGAAGGGGCGGGCCTTCTGAGAAGGCTCGGAAGTCGCCGGGCCTTCTGAGAAGTGTTCTGAGCCTTCCCCGGAGACACAGAAAACTTCTCAGAAGGCGCGACGGCTTCTGAAAAGTCCCGCCGCCTTCTGAGAAGGCCTGCTCCTTCTCAGTTGCCTCCTCGCTCGTCGCCGAATATAGATGCATTCGTCTCCCAAGGACCTCCTGGACAACTCTTTTTGGGAACCCTGGAGCCGTGTTATCAGAGAGCTATTTCGGTCTTGACGGGTTTCGTTGCGTTGGGGAGAACTCGAGGAGTTGGCTCTGGGTGGCCACGTAGTCATTTGAGGTCAATCTTGAAGCCCTCGCCGTCATGGAGGTATCGCGCCCCCCCTCCCACAGAGCCCCGAACTCTTGTCATGGAGGTATCGGCCCCCCCATCCCACAGCGCCCCCAACCCGTGAGCGAAAGCGCACATGTATGCGGAGCGTTTCTATACCATCCAGAACGTGGTCTGCCGTATTCTTGAACCACAATGATACTACAGACCATGTTCGGAAGGTGTGCGCTTGCAGTGTGACCATATCGGCGCATGGGTGACCACCTGCGCAACGCTGCAGTCGGGAACGCACAACCACATTGATGCGTACCCAGGAGTCGGGAACGAGCATCCTGTCCAGAGTTTCACGGAGAGCTGCGAGTGCATTGGGGCCCTAACCTTAGGCCTCCTCAACCCTCGAACAGCAACTATAGGAGAAGGGAAACAGAAAGACGGAGGGAGGAGGAGGAGGAGGAGGAAGAGGATCAAGATTTGATGCTGCCACCCACGCAGACCGTCAAGCGTGGGCCGTCCAGACCGTTACGGCATGTGCCTCGACTCTGGCGACGCATCGAAGACTCCGCCACCCCGCACGGGGCAGCGCGCGGAAGCGACAGGAGCGTATAGGACACCAATGATCGTCCTGAGGAGGAGGCGTCCGGCGAGCGACTCCTCCACACCGACTCGGCTGCAGCGTCGGACCGGGCTGCCGCGGCACGGAGCCGGAAGCGAATGGGATCGGCCGCGCCCGGGTGCAACAAAACAGCGCCGTGGCTCGATGCACCTCCTCCTCACTGAGCCCAAACGTCCCACCAGAACGGCTGCCCCTGATCTTCCATCTCCTCCTCCTCCTCCTCCTCCTCCTCCTCCTCCTCCTCCTCCTCCTGGAGGCTTCCCCCGGGATCCTTAAACAAAAGGCTCCCCACGAGGCCGCCTCCGAGGCCTCCATCAAGGGCCCCCCCGAGAGAAGCCACCGCACCAGACACGCGTGGCAGAGGAGCAGAAAGCACGGCAGAGGCGGCGCCCCTCGGCGAAGCGCGCGGATCTCTCTTGGAGTGGCGCCGGACTCCCCAGCGATCCAGGAAATCCGCGCGGACCTCCTCCGAGAGACTACGGGGCAGTTTTTAATACACAGGATATTTTCAAAATATAGGATCTTCATACATGATCAACTTACGAATGAACTTATGCATGAACTCATCTTTGTTTTGAATACTCAACCCCTGCATTTGTAATACATGATCCGCACGCGGAGCATGTATTCAAAACGGCAATGTATACAGCCAACCCGTACAGTCAGGATGAGCGACTTTCCCAGGCTACCCCTGGATCCTTCCCCTTCGGCACCTCCCTGGCAACCTTGGCTGGCCAGCCCCACTCGGAGAAAGCATCAGCATGGCCTGGCAAGGCCCTCGCGTCCCTACCTCGCATCCTCATTGTTTGGGTTGACTGTCAGCGACGTGAATGAATGTTTTTTTTTTAGAGACCTCCTAGATGGGGTCCGAGTAGATGGGGTCGAAGGATCTCGCCGCATCGCCGATACATCGGCGATGCATCGGCGATGCATTGGCGATGCATCGGCGATGCACCGGCGATGCATCGTCGACGTGGGCGATGCATCGGCGCCGTCGACGTGAAGCAAATCGGGCCCCACATCGAGCCGCATCGGCGATACATCGGCGATGCGGCGCGATCCTCCGACCCCATCTACTCCGACCCCATCTAGGAGGCCTAGATTTTTTTTGGGGAAAAAGGAGAGAAAGAGAGAGAGAGAGAGAGAGAGAGCGCGCGAACATCCGATACCACCATTCGCTTCGCCACGCCTGCCAGGGGCCCCCCGTCCTCGGGCCGGGCAGGCAGCGGCTACAAGCGAATCCGCGGAGCTGGACGGCAGCGTTCCGCGTCCATCCCCACCGGAACCTCCGCTCGACGGCACTTTACACGCTGGCCCTGCAGAGAGAATCTACGGTTATGCTGTGCTTGGCTCTTCGACGTGGGGGCGGATGCTGCTTCTGGCTCCTCGACGTGGAGGACGGGGGAGACAAATCGGCAACAACTGCATCAGGTGGCGACACCCGCTCCCGACCCACCCCGACCATGTGAGCGTTTTCTCATTCGGCGTTTCAACATTGGGCGGAAGGAGGGGGAGGAGGGGGGCTCTGCCTCCAGACCTCTACTTAAGGCGACTGTTTGCAACCTGTGTGGGAGAACCCACCTGCTCGAAACAGGCGCCAAACACAGCCAAGATCTATTCCATGGCGGGGGGGACGGGTGGGAGGACCCGCGCCGATCAGCAGAATATGAATACGAAAACGATCGCTATCGACTCTCCCGAATCGATGGGAGGCGGGGGGAGGGTCTGGACTTCGCCACGCGCTCGACGCATTCCGAACTCCTCCCCCGCTGCCCATCGAGGTGCTGGAATTATTGATCAGCGAGTGTAGGCTTCCGATTCCGCCGCCGATACACCTTTTTGTTCCGCATGCCTGTTTCGCTTCAAGCTTCCACTCAAGGAACCGTCCAAGCGCGCTCCCGTGTGCTCTAGGCGAGCCTGACAACAGGCAACAACAACTCGGAGCTGGCGTCGCCGAGGAGCCGAAGCAACTCTCGACGAGCTCGGTCTCCCCCCGAAGATCCGAAACAACTCTCGACAGCTCGCTCCGAAACAGCTCTTCGCCGCCGACGGGCGGGGGCGCGCAAGGCGGCAGCGGTGCAGCGCAGAGAGGAGACAAGAAGAAAGGGGAAGGCGGAGGAAGAGGACGAGGACGAAGGCGGAAACGACCGCTGCGCACAGCGCGCGGCGAGGGCAAACCGGGCGAGGACGCGGCCGCGGGGCGTGAGCCACAAAACCCCGCCGTTAGGCGCGCGCGCGCCCGCGCCAAGCACGGAGGGAGGCCAGGAGGAGACGGAGGAGGAGGAGGAGGAGGAGGAAGAGGAGGAGGAGGAGGAGGAGGAGGAGGAGGAGGAGGAGGAGGAGGAGGAGGAGGAGGAGGAGGGAGGAGGGGGAGGGAGGAGGGAGGAGGGGAGACCAGGAGGAGGAAGAGGAGGAGGAGGAGGAGGAGAGGAGGAGGAGGAGGAGGGAGGAGGAGGAGGAGGAGAAGCAGGAGCAGCAGGAGGAGGAGGAGGAGGAGGAGGAGGAGGAGCGAGGAGGGAGGAGGAGGAGCAGGAGGAGGAGGAGGAGCAGGAGGAGGAGGAAGCACCCGCCCTGGCGCACCACAGCGGAAGGGGCTCGACCGGGAGCTCCAGGGATGCCATGAGCTGGGCGCGCGCGGCGGGCGGAGCGGGGCGGGGCGGCTCTGCAGCCCGCCGCCTGCTCCGCGTGCTCCCGCGGCTCCGCCGTCGTCGCTCGGCCCCCTCCTCCCTCCTCGCTCTGCCTCCTTTCCTCCCTCCTGCGTCCTATCGCTTCCCCCCCCCCTCCTGTCTCCTCTCTCCCTCCTCCTCCTCCTCATCCTCCTCCTTCTCCTGCCCCTCGCTGCTGCATCCTCCTCCTTCCTCTCCTCATCCACCTCCTCCACCTCCTCATCCGCTCCTCCGCTCCCTTCTCCTATCATCCTCTTCCACGCTCATGTTCCTTCGTATCCCCCCTCCCCATCCTTCTCCTTATCCTTCCTCCCTCACCCTTTTCCTGCTCTTCTCTCTTTCCAACCGTCACCACTGCCCCCACATCCAGGAGATGAGGGTAAAGGAGCCACCGAGCAAGGGGAATCTCAGTGGGGACGGAGCGCAAGAGGAGGTGGCAGTTGGCAGCGGGGGAGGGGAGAGAGGAGAGCAGGTACAGTAAATGAAGGGAATGACGGTTACACGACGCCCAATCCCACCAGCCTAGCCCTTCAGGGCGGAGGTAGCCCAGGGCGCTTCCCCGTCCAACCCCCTTCCCCCCATTCGGAGAGAAATTTAACTCTCCCCGTCCGCTCTCCCCCTCGGCTTTTTCTGGAGAGGGCCCGAGGGGTTCGTGCGCCAAGACGGCCTCCAAGATACCCTCCAAGATGACCCACGACATCTCAAGATGGTTCAAGATGGCCTCCACGATGCCTCCCAGAGGCCCCACGACGGCTCCGAGTGGCCACGGAGCCTCCCATGGATACCCCCAAGATGCCAAACTCAGTCCCCCAACATCTATGTAACACACTCGATGCTTGCATTGTCGCCCTATCGCTTCCAATGGACTTCTGCAGCCTCAGGATGGCTCCAACACGTGTGCCAAGAGAGCCCCTTGTGCGCTCCGAGAGGGCCTAAAGAGCGTCCTATGGCGCCCCAAGAGGGCTCCAACAGGAGAGCTCTTGGGCCCACATGGGGCAACCCTGATGAACACTCCACTCATGTTTAAGATTGTCCAAAGATGGCCGGACATGTTCCAAATCGGACCCCAAGAGACCCCCAGGAGAGCAATAACGGCCTTCACTATAGCCCCAAGAGGGACCCGAAATGGCCTGAGAAACACTGGCAACCTCACACCGAACGATCCGAGAAGGCATTCCTGGTTGACTCCCAGGTCTGCTCATGCTGATCGAGCCTGGTTGTTGTTGACGGCTGCTCCCACTTCTTCTTGGGCTGCTGGTTCTCACACTTCCCTGATCAACTCTAACTCGCCTTGGTATCGCTTCTTGGAGGGCTGGTGGGAATACGCGAAACGTCAAGAGCCTGAGCGAGCGGCACGCGGGCGCGATCTGCCACGCGAGCGTTATGGCCCACGCCGAATGCCACACTCCAGAAAACAGTGCCGGTGCTCCACCCACGAGATCGATGGAAGCATTGACGGCGCCACGTGCGTCAACATCGGTTTCAGAATCCTCACATCGAAGCCAAGGTAGCAACGGCAACCGAGACCGGTGTTGTGCCTATCCCCGGACCTCGCAGCACAGTATCAACGCAAGATCTGGAAATCTTGATTCAGAACGAGCCAGGCTGAAATAAATCTAAGCTCATACCTGGAACCGTTATCTTGAACGGACGCCTGTCATTTTCCACACCGCGGCCACGACTGGCAAATCGCTCCTTACCACGGGTGCGCCAAAACGACAACATAATCACCAACGTTTGAAAAGCGAGGCATCCTCATCCTGATCCAGAGAGCCCACAAACAATACGAACTCCCAATTGCGCCCTATTCCTCCCGTTCTCCTCTCCCTCTGGGATGAGACCTTGGGGAGCTCCGCTTGGAACTTATCACTGACGTGCTTGTACTTCTCCTGGCAACATGCGCGGATCGAAAAACATCACGGCCAGAACAAAGCCTGACGAACAGATGACACGCTCGGTTAGTTACGACTTGAGGTGCCTCTAAAGGTGCTTTGGATTTCTACGATAGCGCAGGCTGCGTAGCGGATCCCCAACAGCTGATTGGAAATTCAGGAGAGGGCCGTACATCTGAGCAGGTGGATACAAAACAATACGAGCTCGAAGTGCTGAGCTGGACACACACACGCACACACACACACACACCGCACAACAAAACTCGAACAACTCATCGCACAAGCAATGGTCACACCAACATCATAATCACCAAACTCAATACAATACAACGGCTAAGACGAACACATCACACGACATCCTTACACGCGGCGCAAGGCGACACAACAATGAACATGATCGGGATTGCTTCGATTAGCTCGACTGACCAAAAAAACGACCAATGAGAGGGTTCAGCGATGATCTGCGTTTCTTTTGTAGAGAGATAAAGGTCTCCAACAACCGAAGTCCTGCAGCGTCGTAATTACTCTGTGTGTATGGTGCGAAGCCTTGTCCAAACTCTTCTCGCGACGAACTATTCATTTGGTCGGTCAATCTGTCACTGCGATGGAGGGGACGTTCACCCACGTGATAACATTGACGGGCTATACCCACAATGTGTTACGCTCGTGTTTCTTATGGAGAATTTCTCCTACGGGTCTCATGCCTGGCGCGGTAGACATGACTCCGTACTGCGGCACTACGCTGGCATCTGGCGGCGAACGTGGCTTCAGCCACGATTAACGCTACGTTGGTGTCAGCCAGGTGCGCCGGAAGTCGGGATCGAGTAGGAAGAGTGAATGATTGCCCTGCCCCCCACTGGAAAAATAATGCAGCATTTGTAGGTCGTGTAAGAGTAGTCTGGGGGACTTCCTTTGGCGCAGTTTTTCATCCTGGGTCAGATTCTGACGATCCCAGGGCTCGAAAACTGCCCCAAGAGGCCAAAAGCTACGAAACGCCAAAGGCGACGGATACAAGCATATCGACTAGGCCAGTTCTTATGTATGCAGCGCATTGTTGGAGGGGAGGAGTGGGAGCGGGCACAACAGCACTATGAAAAGCCAGGCAACGCAATGGTGAGGCCACTAAGCTGCCTCAAATGCCATGCTGACGAGCGAAATTGAAGCGTCAAGCCACGTGCCACACTCCTGAAGAAGGACTTGACGAACGTGGACAGTGGAATCAGGCAACGCTTCCGGGGCGCCTCGGAGTCTCCATGCGACTGCATGGCTCGGGGCTATCTTCTCGCAACGCCCCCCACGGTGCGGCAACAGCCCCGGGGGCAGGGGGGCGACCTTTCATCGATCCGTCAAGTTTTGCTTCAGCAGGGTTGTACAACGGCTGTCCTGCGAGCGACGGCTTGCACACCGCAGTACTCGACCACCGGCAACGCACTCTTCCAGGGAAGCGTGCGGCCTGACGCCCCGCAAGCACAGGCCCACGGCGCTCCTCCGTCGGCCCGTAGAAGGTGTACACCGAGCCCGTGCCCCCGACGGCGGAGATGCCGCCCTCCTGCGAGCGTATGCCGCGGGGTGGCGAAGGGGCGACGGCCAGAGGACGCCCCGAACGGGTCGACCCGCATCTTCCCGCAGTCGTTCACAGACGGCGGACACGTCCGTACCCGCGCCCTCGCGGCCTGCATTCCGGGGCACGATCCCGCGGATACGCGGTCGCATGGATACGCTCCGCGCGGCCCAGTGGCCAGGCCCGCGAGGCCGCGGATAAGGACAGATGTTCAGCCCACCCAGATCGACCCGCATCTTGCCTCCCTCGTTGCTTCTCTCGACCCCTCCCTCGCCTCTCTGTTGGGAGGCAACTCCTGGGAGGCCTTCGTGGGAACGACTACGCAAAGGCTGCTAGGGCCGATGAGGAGGCCACTAAGCCGAATTAGCCTAGATTAAACTTGTAAGTCAAGCAGGTTGAACGGATTTAACAGCATGAGTGCCAGGTTAGGCTGGATTCGGCATGGCTTCGACAGCGGGCATGCCAACGTCGATGCTGAATTAAACCTCACAAGACTTGCATCCCAACCTCTTTCTCCTCCATCATGTTCCTCGTTTGTCCAACCAGCACCATATCTCTATCGTCCCTCCACTTCCATTTTGTCCTCAACCTCTTTATTCTCCATCATGTTCCTCGTTTGTCCAACCAGCACCATATTTCTCTCGTCCATCCACTTCCATGTCATCCTTCCCTCGTCTCCTCTCCTCTCTTCTTTGCCTCATCCCTCGTCTCCAGCTCCTCCCTCCCCCACTCTCTCGAGTGATGCCAAAGGTGACCCTGACCCGATGTGGTCCCAGCCTCTCCATGCCGTTCCAGATGGCCTGTGGAGCACCCCGTGCGAAGCCAAGGGAGGGTCCCGAAGCCGCTCCCGAAAGGATGCGAAAAGACATGCGGCAGGGGCCCGACCACAGGAGACCCTCCACAAGAAAACTGCACCCCGAGACCCCAGGAAAGCCCATCTCGCTGCGTGGTGTGGGAACGCCACGCTCTCCATGGCAGCACCACTGAACGCCAGGACACCCAGGGGCACCCCGGAGGCGAGCAGGGCCCTCTCTCTTGGCATGGGCCCCCCCGCTGCACCGCTCCGGGGCGAGCTCCCCCAAAAAACCCCGGCCCGCTCGGAAGGAGGATGAGGAGGAGGAGGAGGAGGAAGAGGAGGAGGAGGAGGACGAGGAGGAGGACGAGGAGGGGAGGATGAGGAGGGGGGGACAGGCGGCCGCGGCGCCCGGCGCGTCCCCCGGGGCCCGCTGGCTCCCGCGGAGTTCCTGGGCTGTCCTCGTCCGAGCCTGTGCTCATCATCGAGCATCGCTTCGCCGATCCCCGTCCCCGGCGGCGTGGCCTGGGCCCCGCTGGCCGATTTGCCCCCCCCCCCCCCCCCCCCCCAGATGGGGGTACGGGTCGCGCCCCTCGGGCTTCGAGGGGTGCCTCCCAAACTGGGGTGGTAGTCTGGTGGGGGTCTCGAAGGGGATGGAGACTGGGATGGGGATCGGTGAAATGATAGTTCCCGACTCTCACGGATTCCCGAGCTGTCCTCGTCCAAGCTCATGCTCAGCATGCCTCCTTCGGTGGCAACTCGTGGGAGCCGCCCACACCACCTTGTCCGCTCCTGCGAGTCGACGCTAAGTCGACGCTACAGCGACGCTACATCGGCGCTAGCCGATGCGTAAGCGGCGCCATCTCATCGACTCCCGGACGCTTATCGACGCGAAAGACAGAAATACGATGATACACAAGGCTCCCATGATTTGCTACCGAAGCCTTTGTTACGCTTCCAGTCCACAGGAGCTCCTTGAAGGCGTAGCTCGCAGCTCACCAGAGCAGCACAGCCGCGCAACACCGCGAAACACCGCGCTCTTCACTGATCGACGTTGAGCGGAAATTGCGCGGCGTAGGTTTCCAAGTCGTTTCCCTAAGGCTCCGACGGATGAATCGGGCACGTCACGTCTGGCGACCCCCCGACCCTCCCCCTGCCCTGGGGTTGTTAAACAACGACTCGGTATGACAAGCTGCTCACAAAAAACAAAGGTCCTGATCAAAGAAACGGGTCTTAGACCCCGGGACTTCCCCTGGGACAAGCCCCAGAAGAGGCTCTGGAACGGCAACCCTGGACAATTGGCAACATGTTGGCCCCGATGCAAGGCCTACTTCCGTGCTCAGGCGCGTGGCAAGGTGATGCATGTCGTCCAGATCGAGGTCCGATCAACACGAGGTGCAATACGTTTGGGCTCCCTCGAGACTGCTGCGTTCCGGGAATCATGACCATTCCAGGTGCGGTGCTTGTGCGCCACCTCGCGGAGGGACCGTCCTAAGAATCCCTACCAATAGGGAGCGCTGTGCGCGTCCTGTGTTCACAATGGCCACCTATCGGGCGCCCTAAGCGCTGTGTGACTTACAATGCTTCCGATGACGCCCTATCGGGAACGTTGGGTGTATATTTCTTGTGGCGTCCGATCGGAAACGCCGAGGTCGGCGAACGGTGCCCCCGATACCATGATCGACCCACGAACCCGGAAAGGGTTTCGAACTGCGAGGCATGGGACAGTTTCCAAGCACCTGAATTGGGCGATGGGCATTGGCAATGCTGAATACATCAATGGTGATGATCATGTGCCAAGGGCCAAGGGCTGCATTGTGCTGCTCTGCGCTGTGCCGCGCTGCGCTGTGACGTACGTGCCATGGGGGTGTGCCATGGGGGTGTGCCAAGGGACGTGCCGAACGATGTGCCAGGGGGACGCGACATGGAACGTGCCAGGGGGACGTGTCATGGAGCGTGCCATGGAGGCATGCCAGGGGGCATGCCAGGGGGCGTGCCATGACGCGCCATGCGATGTGCCAAGTCGGACGTGCCACAGGACGCGCCACGGAACATGCCGCATGCCAGGGGGACGCGCCACGGAACGTGCCAGCGGACGTGCCAGGGGACGTGCCAAGGGGCGCGCCGCGCGATGTGCCAGGGGGACGCGCCACGGAACGCGTCAGGGGGACGCGCCACGAAACGTCAGAAGCGTGAACGGGGAATGCCAAAACTTACCGTGCCGCTCCCCACTACTAGGAAAAAAAACAAACCTACCTCGCTTTTGACCACCCTCGCTTCCATAAGATACAAAACGATGCCAAATTGCAGCCTGTACTGGTCAGGCCGCTTGACGAGGAGGCGCGTGGTATGGCTTGGTTTTGCCTGGAAGCGAAAGCGGGGTAGGTAATTCACGCTCTGAACTACTCCGTGTCCCACGGACGAAAGCGAAGGTTGTGCTCTGTGGCTCCCAAATCGTACGGGTGAAACGACCCTCCGTGCTTCCTGGGGCCCGACGCTTGCGGACACGAGGCGCCCGTGTGTTCCGTGAGCCCAGAGGATCACGGGCGAAGTTCGCCCTTGCGTTCTGCGGGCTCCCCCGAGGCGAAACGGAGGAAAACAATACCTCCTCATCGGTCGGAAGAAGTAGGTAGAAGCATGAAGTAGGAAGGCGTGGGAAGTCGATTGGGTCTCCGCCCGCCCCCTGACGAGGAGGGACGAGGGGAAGCCACTCGAGCATTGAAGTAGGAAGGTGCTTGAAATAGATTGGAACCGGGCGAAACGAATCCATCAGTTGTGTGCGGAACCCGAGGCCAGGCGGACGCAAGGACAGATGCCCCGTGTTCTGTGGGCCCCGACGCCCAGGGGTGGAGAGACACCCTGCGCGTCGTTTTTGTTTTTGTTTTTGTTGAACCCTTCGCGTCGTGGATCCCGAACCTTGCGGGCGAAAGGACCCCCGAGTGGCGTCCCGAGGCTCGAGGCACTGGCGAAAGGAACTCCTGTGCTGTGTCGGGCCCGGCTACCTGTTCCACGGGGTGAACAAACATGTACCGAGGGCATCTTGGTCGGGTCCGTTCTGGCACGGACCTCCTCCTACCCTCCTCCTGCCTCTTGTTCTCGCCATCCATCTCGCCATTCTGTCGCAGACGTCGGCTGCTGCGGTGCCATGCTGCTGTGATGTTTTACACAGGGCGGGGAATGTCCGGCGGGGCTTGGCTGAGAGAGCCTGCCAAAGTCGTGAGACCCGAAGGGGGAACAAACAAGGCGACGGCTCTGACAGACGGTGCGGCAAATTGAGGTAACATCAATATCACGATTCGCACCAACTGCGCCTTCTTCATATCTGAATACGCAAGATGGCGAGATGAGGAAGAGGTAGGGAGGCGTGAGCCGTGTCAGCCTGCTAGAGAAGAGGCCGTGCAAACATGATCGACCCACGGACCTGGAAAACTAATTTAGACACGCGAGGCATGGCTACGTTTTCAAGACATCTGGTTGATCGACAGGCAACTGCAATGCTGCAAATATCGATTGTGATGTACCGCGTCATGGATTGTGCTGTGCTGTGCTGACATAGGACGTGTCGCGTTGCGATGAATTGCGTTGTGCTCTCTAGTGTTGTGGATCGATGCGCCCTTGCCATCTGAATCCTGACCGAACTGACCTAGATCCTAAGCTCGAGCTGCAGGAGCGTGCAGCTGGCCCAGTGCTGTTTGCAGTCGAAGCGTGTGGGGCGCTCAACCGCTCGGAGGAGCAAAATCCGACCCACGTTCGAAGCAGGACGAGACGACACAGGGCGCGGGGCGCTTGAACGCCCCACGGAATGTGCCAGGGGCGCACTTGGGGATGCGGGTTGGGTCCTCAGCTGGTTTGGCGTTCCGTTCTTGCTAAGGACTCTCAGGTTCGGCATCCTGCCCACCGCCGCCGCGCCATCATCTGGCTCAATCAGCAGCTTCGGGCTTTTCTTCGCGCGCTGCTGGCTGGTAAGGCCAGCGCTGCTCAGCGTTGGAAGTCGAGACTGCTGCAGCCACCGCTCGCGATAGAGGGTGAAACGGACGTGCTTGGTGGCATGGCAAGGGGACGCGCTGCGGAACGAACAGGGGAAGCGCCGGGGAACAAGCCACGGGAGCGCGACAGAGGACGAGCCGGGCGACGCGCCGAGGGGGGATAGGGGCATACGCCGTCCCGCTCTGGGGAGGAAGGAACCCAAGCGTCTTCACGCCTGTCCCGCTCTGAGGCGACAGGCACCTAACTGTTTTCACGTTTGTCCCGCTCTGAGGCGCTAGGAGCCATGTGTGTTCACGCTTGTCCCGCTCTGGGGCGTGAGGAGCCATGTGATTGCACGCCTGTCCTGCTCAGGGGCATGATGAGCCCACGTGTTCTCAGGCTTGTCCCGCTTTGGGGCGTTGGGCACCAATGTGCTTCGCGTCTGTTGTCCCGCCCGAGGACGTTAAGCACCACGCGTTTTCACGCCTGCCCCGCTCTGGAGCGTTGGGAACCCAAGTGTTTTCATGCTTGTCCGTCCCTGAGGCGTTAGGAGCCCACGTGTTTTCACACCTGCCCCGCCCTGGGGCGTTAGGAACCCATGTGGTTTCACGCTAGTCCCGCTCTGGGGCCTTAAAACACATGTGGTTTCACGCTTGTCCTGCCCTGGGGCGTAAAGAACTCACGTGGTTCACACTTATCCCGCTCTGGGGCGTTAGGAAACCACGCGGTTTCACGCTTGGCCCCCCCCGGGGCGTTAGGAACCAACGTGTTTTCACATGTCCAGGCAGCCCGGGGTGGGGGGATACTTAACACGCGGGGAGGGTTCAATAGCAAAAACAAGTTGAATCGACACCGAATGATGGGGGGCGTTCTGATGGGGGCCTCCTGGGGGCTCCTGGGACGTCTCCTGGGGCCTCCAGAACAATTGGGAAACACTACATGTTCGCGCTTGTCCCGCTCTGGAGCGTTAGGAACTCACGTGGTTTCACGCTTGTCCCGCTCTGGGGCATTGGGAACCTACGTGGTTTCACGTTTGTCCCGCCCTGAGGCGTTCGGAACCCACGTGGTTCCACGCTTGTCCCGCCCTGGGGCGCAAGAAAACCGATGCGTGTTTTACGCTTGTCCCGCCCTGGCACGTGAATAACCCACGAGTCGTCACGCTTGTCCCGCTCGGGGGCGTCAGAAACCATGTGTTTTCACGCTTGTCCCGCCCTGTCGCTAGGAAGCCACATGTTTTCACACTGTTCCCGCCCTGGGGCCTTAAGAACCATATGCTTTCACGCTTGTACTGCTCAAGGACATGAGGCGCCCACGTGTTCTCAGGCTTGTCCCGCTCTGGGGCGCTAGTCACCAATGTGCTTCCACGCTTGTCCCGCCCTGGGGCATTAAAGGACGCACGTGTTGTCACACCTGTCCCGCCCTGGGGCGCTAAGAACCCATGTGCCGTCACGCTGGTCCCGCTCTGGGGCGTTAGGAGTCCACGTGTCTTCACGCTTATCCCGCCCAGGGGCGTTCAGAACCTACGTGTTTTCACGTTTGTCCCGCCCTGGGGCGTTAGGACCGTGTGTTTTCACGTTCGTCCCGCTCTGTGGCGTTAAGAACTTGCGTGGCTCCACGCCTGCCCCGCTCTGGGGCGTCAAGAACCAATGTGTGTTCACGCTTGTTCCGCCATGGGGCATCAAGAACCGATGTGTTGTCACGTTTGTCCCGCTCTGGGGTGTTAGAAACCAATGTGTTTTTACGCTTGTCCCGCTCTGGGGCGTTAAGAACCCACGTGTTTTCACGCGCTTCCGCATTCCAACATACACCTGGGCATCCTGGGGCGCACAGGCCTTTCGAGTTGTGCAAAACAAGCGGTTCGCGCGATGCACCCTCGCACTTTCTCCGCGCAGGACGCGCCATCTTCGAGCGGGCACGCAACAGCTCAACCTTTGCTCATGTTGGGCCCAGGTATCAGTTCTCCAGACCTCGCTGTTCGTGGCGAATTCTGCGCGAAACGCCTCGCACCCTTTTTTGCAGAAGGAACACAAGGGTCTGCGGACCCCGTGGTTGATCGAGGATCCGCGAACGAGCACGCGCGAAACACGCGCTTTCTAAGAGCACCATCGGGCGGAAAACGACCGACCCTTTTCGAACTTGGCGCGGGGGACACGCAACACTACTAGAAGAGAACCCTGGGCCCACGCCCTTCTGGGGAAAAATCACTTCATGACTGCTTGCACTCGGCTGCCAGTCCATACAACTTGTGCACGGCCGATGCACTTCATGCACTGTGCTTTCTGCCCCCTGCATCCATCGACTCAGCGACGGCAAGGGCAGCTGCGCACGCCTTCGGCTTCTTGTGGATGATGCCCACACACTCCGACGACACCATGTTGTAGCGGAGCTCCCCCTTTGGCCAACGGTAAAGATCGCATATGTTCATGGTCATTGCCACCGGAGGATCGCACTCTTACAAGTGGACAAGAGCCCTCTGGCAAAGATCGGGGAGACGACGCGGCCGACACGAGAACACGCCCAACGCGGTCCCCCCCCTGCGGGCACGATATATGTCCATATCCTCTGCGTCTTGGACTTGCCTGGGAAGGGGCGCCAACAGGCCGCGGCGCAGGGGATATGGCTCAACATCTGACCTATGGGGGCGACAGTGTTTTATCCGTATCCACGGCGCCTCTGGCATCGGAGGAAGGGAGCCCGACACTCCAAGACGCAGTGGATCTGGATACAGTGGGGGCCCAACCGAAAGAAACCTTCCACAAGAAACCCAACCCCGAGACCCCAGGGCGTCCGCCGATGTTTGGCACGGGAACGTCGCGCGCTCCATCGCAAAACCATCGAGAACCAAGAAACTCAGGGCACCCTGGAGGCAAGCTGGGTGTTTCTTATTCGAACGCCCGAACTGGGTACGGCAAGAATGGGTACAATGCCCAACAGCAAGTGTTGTCCCAAACCAGCAGCGGCCGCTGCTGGGCAGGCGGCCTTCTGTTTCAGATAGACACAGGCCGCGGCGGCGCGGACAGCGAGCCCTGCTCAAAACCAGCAGGAACTGCTGCTGAGCATCGTACCCATTCTTTCCGTGCCCATCTCGTTCGCGCAGATCTTGGCATGGGCCTCCGCTGGGACAGTCCTGCCCGCACCCCCGCGCGCCTCCTGGGAGCCCCGCGGAGCGGCGGTGCGGCGACAGGCCGCGCGGGGACCTCGGCGTCCCCAAGGCGGGCCTCGCCGCGCGCGGCCCGCCGCGGCACGGCGCTCTGGGGCCCACGGGGTGCCTCCCGGGGCTCCACGGGCAGGCCACCGGGGAGCCAGCTCGTTCGAGGCATCCCCTGTGGAGGAGACCGCACACCCACTCCCCCCGAGTCTAGGGTGTCGCTCGAGGGCTCCCGTGCAGTTGCAGACGGCTCCCGGAGATGCCTCGCGACTCTCCGGGAGCCCTCTCGGGCCCCTCCCCTCTCCTCTCTCCTCCTCCTCCTCCTCCATCCTTCCCCCGCCCGCCCATGGTCATGCTCATCCGCCAGCTCCTCCACCTCCGCCGATGTAACTAACTACTAGAGGGACGTGCCCGACTCAGCTGTCATTGCGCACGACACGGCGGGGTCCGCTTGTGGGACCCACAACCCTCGTCGAAATTGAACGCAAGTTTTTCCCACCCCCGTCGCCCCCAAATTTCAATGTTCATCGACAGGCTCATCGCGGCCGGCGGGGTTCGAAGAAATCTCGAAGTCGCCGGCGTCGGCGTGAACATTGAAATTGGGTGTCGGGGGGCGCCGCCAGGTCGCGGCTAAAACTTCGTTTAATTTCGACGAGGGATGCAGGTCCGCTCCATGACATCCGCCCGACCACATCTCTTGAACAGGGACCGACCGTCTCGGCATTCCTATAGTCCTACCACGAAATGTTCTTAGAACCCAAAAATGTCCGAAGAACAAAAACAATGATCTTAGAACATAAACCCGATGTGTTAAAACAAGACAGACTGCGCCAGAACTGTTCCAAGAACCTTTCGTGGGAACCACAAAAGGTTCTCAGAACACTGTTTGGTAGGGCTATAGGCGAGCCAGGACGCTTCGCCACTGCTTGACAGGTCCGCTCCATGACATCCGCCCGACCACATCTCTCCGCGCCACGGGCAGGGATGGGTGGGACGGGGTCGGATGTCAGGGAGGGCGCGAGGGCACCCGGCTTGCCGCCTCCCCATCTCCTCCCTCCTCTCCTTCCTCCCCTCCTCCTCTCCTTCCTCCCTCCCTCCTCTCCTTCCTCCCTTCCTCCCCTCCTCCCCATCTACTTCCTCCTCTCCTGCCCTCCTCCCCTCCCTCCTCTCCTTCCTCTTCCCGACCCGCCACGTCGTTCTTTTTTGTTCGCAACGCGGGCCCCTGGTGGTCTCCGGACCCGTTCCCTGGGACTGAATCTTCATCCTGGGTCGATTTTTGACGGCTCCGTGGCCCGGCGAAGGTCCCCGGTGGGCCCCAGAGACCGACCACAGACGGCCCGTCGCCTTCCCCTCTCCTCCCCTCTCCTCCCCTCCTCCTTCCTCCTCCTTCCTCCTCCCTCCCTCCCTCCCTCCCTCCCCTCCCTCCTCCCCTCTCCTCCTCCTCCTCCTCCTCCTCCTCCTCCTCCTCCTCCTCCTCCTCCTCCTCCTCCTCCCCTCCCTCTGTTGGGGCGCGCGCAGCCGCCGCCAGCATGCCTCTCAGGCGGGCACTCTGGAGCCTCTCTCAACGGCCTCCCGCTGCCCGCGCACCGCCTGGACGCAGGACGTCCGAAGTGGGCCGAGCTGGGGCCCTCCACAGGCCGGGGGGTCGCCAGCAGGTGGCACGCACGTTGGTGGGGAGCTGGTTCCGGGAAGCGCCCTGCGAGCCTCGTCAAGAGCATCCAGAAGTCGAAGTCCTACGAGCGCGATGCTGCCGGGCACTCGTCGGAGAGCGGGCGCGTTCTTCAATGCTGGGATGGTGGGGTCGGTTGTCGGACAACACCGCGTCCGAGTCCACAGGCATCCGTCAGCATTGGAGTAGCGCTGACCCCACAATCACCGAATTCAGAAGTCCTCTATTCATTTTTGACGAGGCTTGTAGGGGTCTGCACCTTGGAGGCGACCGGGGAGGGGTCTGAGCTGGTGGCTGGACCCTGAGAAAATCGGTCAAGAAGTGGGGCTGAGGGCAACTCCGCTCGAAATCTGTACCTGGACCCCTCCAGACGGTCCATCTGCTGCAATGTTTCACCCCCGGATGCGTTTTTGACGGTCCAGGGTTCCGAAAACGGCCTCCGGAGGCCGAAAAGGGCAAAAACCCTTCCCGAACTTGGCTACCGCACACCCCCAGCAGGCTCCCAGATGCACTCCACCGGAAACGTACTGCAACATGTTCTTCAACATCTTCAGAGAGCAGAAACTCCAGCCTCAGAATGAACACCCTGACACACGAAGCCGCTTACTCAACGCACCGAACGGAATGGAACAGGCAAGGGCTGTTTCGTAGACGCCAAGGGCCGTTTAGGAAACGCCAAGCATCGGGTCCGGGTGTTCTCTCCTCCCCTGCTTCTTCCCCCCACACCAAGAGAACCCCCCATCTCAATGTCGAGGCTGGCCGCGGCCGACGGCTGAAAGAACTCGGGTCGCGCGGCGCCCCGGCCGAACATTGAAGTGTCAGGGGCGCGGGGAGGCGGGCCGCGCGCCGGAGTTGCGGGACTTCTCCGGGGCAGTGCGGTGCGCACAGTGCCCTCGGGGCGCCCCGCCTGTTCGGCGGGGCGGGAGTGCAAGACGCCTGCGCGTCCAGGCTTCCCCCCGTGCCGAGGAGCCACGGGGGATCGAACCTGGAAATGAAGATTGTATATATATATATATATACAATCTTAATTTCCAGGCTCTGTATAATGCGCTGATTCCAATTCGACGAAAATTTCGTGGTACCGTATATATCGCGCCATTTGATTTCCAGCTTAACATAGCGCAAGGATGGTTCTCACAGGCGGCGAATGTAGGGCCCGCTCCCTGAAGGCAGAACACACACACACATAACCCATAAGCGCTCGAGGACCCGCGCGGATTCCTTGGGTCCTCGGTGGACCCCTCCCATGGCGCGGGGGTCCGCGTGGACTTTCGAAATGTGATTCCTGTGACGCACGACGTTGTGCGATACATATGAATTCTATTTCTGAAGAACGTCAATACAACATAGAATTGTGATGATGGTCGCCATGACTCAGGCCCGACCGGGAACAAACGATCAGATTGTTCACCACATCTATAGAGAAATCAAAACACCTGCCGACGGTATCGCCGAAAACGTTTTTTACCAACGGTCAGAATATCACGGACGAATGCTCGATCTGAGGAACATCGCGCTTTAATCGAACGTGTGGTGAGAGGCACGAGGAACCGCGAAGCCAGCATCAGAACCGCCACGGACGAGGGGGCACTCCGCGCGAGCGCGAGCAGCATTCGGCGATTGCAGCTCGAAGGGTGGCGACAAAAGACTCTCTCTCTCTCTCTCTCTTGTACACCGTTAATCTTCCAGGGCCCTCCTTCTTCGTGACGGCCATCCTCCTCCGTCCGCCCAGGCGGCCGACGTCGACTCCGGCACGCCCGACGTGGGGGCGCAGAGCACGGAGCGACTCCGAGCAGCCGATGTCGTCGGCAGTCGGCGGCCGCCGCTGACAGGCAGGCGGCGTTCGCCCCCGGATGGGCGGCGCCCGTGGCGGCGGCGACGGCTGTGCCAAGTGGGCCAGAACGCCTCGTGAGCGTCTTCCCCATTCCTTGCCGTCCCCATCGCGTGAAGCAACAGCAAGCTCAACAAGCATGGAGTGCTGCTCACGTCATCTGGGAACGCGGCGAGCGAAAGGTCCGCGCGGACCCCCGGACACTGATGCTCATGTGCTTAGTTGTCTCATGTTCGACTGTCCGTCCCCATCCTGACCCCCGACCAGCCACAGAACCGACTCGAGGACGAAACGACCTTCCACAAGGGACAAACACACCCCGAGCAAGAACGGCCACCAATCCTTTGGGCTGGAGTGGTCTACCGATATCTTTATTCAAACAAACTCCTCCTCTTCGGAAGGTTTACCTCGTCCCGTGCCTGGGCTTTGTTGGGGGGCCGCGGCGCGGTGGAGCATCCAAGATGGCATCGGCGAGAAAGCCCAAAGCATTGCTTTGACTAGGGTGTTGGGCCCATTTGGGCGATTCTGGTGGCGCCAGGAGGGGGGGGGAAATTAGGACCCATCCCTTTTGCTCGATGGCCTCCACGATGGCCCAAAGAGGCCCCGAGGGCTCCCACGGGACCCCCAAGAGGGCTCCAAGAGGACCCCCAAACCCCCCAAAAAGCCCCAAGACCCCCCCCCCAACAGAGCCCCAGCATTGCTCCAAGATGGCCTCCGATGCTCCAAGACGGCCTCCAAGATAGC